ATTGACAGCGGTTTCTTGGTCATGTATAAAGTCATGAAGATTTTGGAGCAAAATAAAGGCCACTTTCAATGGAGTATGTTGTATGTTCATCGATATTTCAGGTACGTAATCCTGTTCTAGGCACGTTTTAAAAAGATGATCAATGCAATATTTGACGTTGTACTTTTAGACTGACGCCTGCGATGATGTTTTTCATACTATTCAAGGTAAAGTTAAAACCGTTCGTTAATAAAGGTCCTCTTTGGGAGCAACATCTGAAAGAAGATGAGGGATGTCGTAAATATTGGTGGACAAATCTTTTGTATCTGAATAACTTTTATCCAGCAAATACAATACGAGGGGTAAGGCATAATCGAAGTTGTGCTTTACTTTTAGGAGTTAGTACTGTCTGCAGTTCATCAACTTTTCTCCGTGCGTGTATTTCACAAGTCGAAGACTGAAAAAAGATAGACATGCTCTATGCTTAACAGTTAGGTTTTCATTTGAAAGGTTCCACATCCTTCAGTTGAACTTATAGCTTTATCATTTAACCTTGAAACTTGTTTGACGCTTAATGTGTGTATATAGCTAGGTTATTTTGCAAAAAAAACGTCAAGGTTTTCATTTGAAAGGTTCCACATCCTCCAGCCTGTTCAACTTACAGCTTGATCCTTTAACCTTCTAACTTGATTAGATTTGACGCTTAATGTATAATAGCTAAGTTATTTTGCAAGCATCGAAAATAATTTTCTATTTTCCCGGTGTGGTGTATGGTCGTAGTTCTTCTACTTATTTTCTCAAATCCGAATTGCTCAAAAATTTGATCAGTAAAAATTGCAAAGTGTTATTGGAGAAACTTAAATTTTATATATTTATTCCGTGTGCATAAGTTCTTTTGACCACAGTTTGCAGTTTGCTTTAATGCTAGCAGGTTATACTTACGAAAAGGTGTCGATGATCTGCCCGAATTCAGAATATTGAACCAGTTTAATGATCTACTTTACCAAATTACAGCGTCGTTGACCTACTGATTTAGTGTAATTTCAATAATTTTGTATTATTTATATAGTGTAATGGTCATTTGTGGTATCTTGCTGCGGATATGCAGTTTTTTATCATAGCGCCTTTCATCATTTGTTTCTTTTACCGGTGGGTATAATAAAACTATACACTGTAGATAGATTTATGGTATATATTCTCGATGATGGTGTCATTTTTGAATTGTTGTGCAAAACAAGATCGTCCGTACCTAAAAAATAAAAAGTTTTTAATGTTGTAATGAAGCTGCATCTTGATCAGTACTAAATATATATCTCAATTGACCTTTCACTTTCCCCTTTTTACATCAATTTTTTACTTATGCCCATCTCAACCTACTTTAAACTAACTTTCCGTATTATCAACGATATGTTTTCGACTTTCAACGCAAGGTCTCTATTGATTATATATAGATATGGTTATCGTGCAGTGGTTGCAACCTCCTTAGTTCTTGGTGGTGGCTCGATTGTTTACATTGCTGTCATGACAGAACATTACAATGTTCATCCATTAACTATGGTTTTAAGACATGTTACTTTGTAAGTTATTCAATATCCTTTCTCTTATGTGTATTCTATATTGTTTATCTTACATCCTATATCCTATATCTTGTATCCCATATCACTTTATCGTGTGTCATGTCTTACAACATATATCATATGTTATTAGAACCTGTATCATATCTTATTTACATTCTTTATTTTACGTCGTGTAATTTATGTGTTATAATTATCTTCTTTGATACGTGCTTATATTTATTTGTTGGACTGGTTAAATTTTTTTGACAGCACCATCATTTCTAATTCTGTTGCTTTTCTTCTTGTTGACGAACTTTCTAGGAAAAAGTTCATCGAATATTTTAATTATTTGTATGTCAAACCATATGCTCGATTTCCTCCTTGTTTGGTTGGTCTGGTATTTGGCTATCTTTGGCAAAAAGGAGCGCTGAGAAAAAATCAATTAAATTGGGTAAGATAGAAGGCCCTAGTGTGAGATGATTGATTTCGTGTTATCAAGGGTTTATGATGTATCAAATATATTTGTTTTTATTCACTAAAAATAAAAACTTTTTTCTAGACTAAAGCTTCGTTACTTTGGTTCTTATCAACTGCAGTCGCATTGTCTTTAATATACGGACCTTACACGGCAATCAAGGAAGATCCCAGAGCGTGGACGATGTTTGAAAAGATTTTCTACGCTTCTACATACCATCTTGTGTGGGCATTTGTGTTGTCTTGGGTTGTCTATGCTTGCGAATTTGGCTACGGAGGTTTGTAAAACATACATGTTTTCGTCCTTTATATGCATAGGCTGCGCACTTGACCCCCGGGTGGTCAAGAGAGTGGAACAGCTTCTCTCCACCCAAGAAAGTTTAAGATTGAAAAGTTGGAAAAATTTTAGACGTGTATGTCAAGAAGTCTGGAAGTCTCCCCTTAGAAATAGTAGCTCCAGTATGACTATGCTTGTGTGTAACAACGTGATGATGCTTTATCTAGTAAGACTGTGTGCTGTATATTTGTTAATGAAACTATATCGATGCTTTTGTAATTTTATGTAATGACATACTCTCATTTCAGGTTATGTTAAGGACTTTCTGTCGGCAAGTTTCTGGATTCCTCTTGGTCGTCTAACGTATTCAACATATTTAGTACATCGGTTAGTGCTTAAAGTTATGATGTATGGTTCAAGAACTGGACTCGTTTTCACAACACAGTGGTGGGTAAGTGATAAAGGCTTGGTAATGAGTTTTCACAACACAGTGGTGGGTAAGTGATAAAGGCTTGGTAATGAGTTTTCACAACACAGTGGTGGGTAAGTGATAAAGGCTTGGTAATGAGTTTTCTCAACACAGTGGTGGGTAAGTGATAAAGGATTGGTAATGAGTTTTCACAACACAGTGGTGGGTAAGTGATAAAGGCTTGGTAATGAGTTTTCACAACACAGTGGTGGGTAAGTGATAAAGGCTTGGTAATGAGTTTTCACAACACAGTGGTGGGTAAGTGATAAAGGCTTGGTAATGAGTTTTCTCAACACAGTGGTGGGTAAGTGATAAAGGTTTGGTAACGAGTTTTCACAACACAGTGGTGGGTAAGTTATAAAGGCTTGGTAATGAGTTTTCACAACTCAGTAGTGGGTAAATGATGAAGGCTTGGTAATGAGTTCTTACAACACAGTGGTGGGTAAGTTATAAAGGCTTGGTGATGACTTTTCACAACACAGTAGTGGGTAAATGATAAAGGCTTGGTAATGAGTTTTACAACACAGTGGTGGGTAAGCGATAAAGGCTTGGTAATGAGTTTTCACAACACAGTGGTGGGTAAGTGATAAAGGCTTGGTAATGAGTTTTCACAACACAGTGGTGGGTAAGTGATAAAGACTTGGTAATGAGTTTTCACAACACAGTGGTGGGTAAGTGATAAAGGCTTGGTAATGAGTTTCACAACACATTGGTGGGTAAGTGATAAAGGCTTGGTTATGAGTTTTCACAACACAGTGGTGGGTAAGTGATAAAGGCTTGGTAATGAGTTTTCACAACACAGTGGTGGGTAAGTGATAAAGGCTTGGTAATGAGTTTTCACAACACATTGGTGGGTAAGTGATAAAGGCTTGGTTATGAGTTTTCACAACACAGTGGTGGGTAAGTTATAAAGGCTTGGTAATGAGTTTTCACAACACAGTGGTTGGTAAGTGATAAAGGCTTGGTAATGAGTTTTCACAACACAGTGGTGGGTAAGTGATAAAGGCATGGTAGTGAGTTTTCACAACACAGTTGTGGGTAAGTGATAAAGGCTTGGTAATGAGTTTTCACAACACAGTGGTGGGTAAGTTATAAAGGCTTGGTAATGAGTTTCACAACACAGTGGTGGGTAAGTGATAAAGGCTTGGTAATGAGTTTTCACAACACAGTGGTGGGTAAGTGATAAAGGCATGGTAATGAGTTTCACAACACAGTGGTGGGTAAGTGATAAAGGCATGGTAATGAGTTTCACAACACAGTGGTGGGTAAGTGATAAAGGCTTGGTAATGAGTTTTCACAACACAGTGGTGGGTAAGTGATATTGGCATGGTAATGAGTTTTCACAACACAGTGGTGGGTAAGTGATAAAGGCTTGGTAATGAGTTTCACAACACAGTGGTGGGTAAGTGATAAAGACTTGGTAATGAGTTTTCACAACACAGTGGTGGGTAAGTGATAAAGACTTGGTAATGAGTTTTCACAACACAGTGGTGGGTAAGTGATAAAGGCTTGGTAATGAGTTTTCACAACACAGTGGTGGGTAAGTGATAAAGGCTTGGTAGTGAGTTTTCACAACACAGTGGTGGGTAAGTTATGAAGGCCTGGTAATGAGTTTTCACAACACAGTGGTGGGTAAGTGATAAAGGCTTAGTGATGATATTAACATTGGTTGCATTCACTCTGTGTTGTTAATTAAATGAAACCTTTGATTTACTGTAGTGATTTCAGGAAAGTTATGGTAAAGGCAGTAAGATTTAAAATATAAAATATGGTTGATTATTTATGCCACAAAGTGAACAATGCTGCGTTGAATAAAAAGATAAGGAGAAAGGAAAGAAAAAGTAATAAGGGGGGTCTTCACTTCTGGTAATAACACGCTGATGTCATACTGCGGACGTTATCTTCATTTTCCTATGCATTTCTAAGAATGTTATTTATCCATGATTTGGTGTTCTTCGCGTTAAATCAAACGATTTTAAATGCTAACCCCTCTTTGATTGCATGTTTGATTTTCTTTACCACTTTCCCCACAGATTGAAAAACTGTGAACAACCCATCTTTGAAAAAGTGCCGATGAGAAATGTATCTTTTTTCCAGGCGTACATCTACTGTGGTACCGTACTTTTATCACATGCCCTTGCATTCTTATTGGCTATCACCATCGAATATCCTGTTTTCAATCTCGAGAAACTTATTTTTGCGGTCCTGGAGGGAAGGCAACTTAGACTTAAGGAAAACAAGTGATGACAATGGAGGTTTATGATGACGGTATTTCTTGTGAACTTCAAAATATCCTTGTCTCAAACGAACCCATCATTATGTGTCCACCATCATACTTTTACATTGTTGTTTCTATTTGAAGATCATTTGGAGAGAGACTTTTCATTTTGATTTCAATAATTTTTTTATAGTTTGACTTCACTAATTTTTTTTATTTTGATATCGAGTTTAAAATTTTTTGAATCTAACATTTTGGCCTTTACTTAAATTTAACCAATTGATGTCGGGTCGGTTCTTATAGAATACTAACTCACGTTATGTTTTCCTGCAATATTTTTTCCTATTTTCCCCTGTGTTTGTTCTATATGGAATTTGTGTGTTAAATATATCACATATTACTGTTATGTTATACCCTCTGTCATAAGAAATTCTTTAAAAAGGAAAAATATAAGGTTTGTACTGAGCAATTACTCAAATACAATATTACTTCCAAGATTACAAAATTTCGTTGTCGTAATGAAAGTATAAACATCTTTTTTAAAAGTTTGAAAATTTTACCCTCCAATGGATAAAGTTATCCAAGCTTTTTGCAACCAGCGCCTGGTTTGCTACGACTTTTACGATTTACAAGGAATTTGGTTGTATTGGTATGTTTTATGTCCAAGTAAACAATCATTTTTCATTGTGACAACTTTAGGCCAGTTTAATGAGATTTCATGGTTGTAAACTTACGTCGATGGTATTTTTCTCCGTGATGAAAGAGTTTCTAGTCTCTAGGATGTACAAAAGTTTCTTCATCTTATTTTCTAAATTACAATGAAAAATGCAAGGTGAGAGTGCCTATTTGCAAATCATTGCAACGAGTTGCTTGAGCCATCTTGTGTTAACCAAGCTGCCCTCTCGGCTGGCATTACATGTAAAGTATAAAGATAATGCAGAAATATAGATCCTATAGGATTATCTTTGGCAAAAAAGCAAAAATACAAAGTGTAGGCTGGCAGAATGATTGTTTACATAGACACTGATATACTAACCATGCATGATTATGTAATACCTTCGTACATTTGGTATGCATGATAAGTTGCAATGATTTTAATATTTGCAGCTGAGACTGTAACGACAGACAGAATAATATAACTCATAACAGTCGTTCTGTAATGATGTTCTTTGTAAAAATATCTCAGGTTCTTTTGCTTTGTCTTCTCATTATATGCTGTTGTGGTGAGCATAACGAGTACAGCTCACGCTATGCTTACAATTTATCATCTTTGATGTTTAATGGACTAAGCGAGAAATGTAACAGAACATTGGAAAATATGAGTGCAGATACAAGATTGCGATGTAAGTGTATTTAATAAGGAGTGATTTTGTACTGATCTTTCCATATCATACTTTTTATAAATTTCATTTCAACCAAGTAACTAGCTCCATAACTTTTGACGGTCTTCCGAAGCCGGGAAGCACTTGATAACAACGCGCAGCTTTCATAAGGGAACGTCTAAGATGTCCCACCATCGCTTAGTAGAATTTTCGTGGTGAATCGGTTATAGGAGAATCTCTCCATAAGAGAATATGTTATTACTTGTTAAAGTAACTACTTTGTCCATTCTTTCAGATCTCGACAGTTGGGGCAAACCTGGAGCAGGTATTTTGAGCGGCAACGTGAAATAGTTTGGGGCGTTTGATCAATGCATCGCTATCTCGGGTGGAAAATATTGCCTCGTTACTATGCTTGGAAATATTACGAACAAGGTATAATCAGTTGTATTCATTTGAAAATGCCCACTGGGTAGGTCACGCGCGTAATTTAATTAATATATTTTTTAGACGATTCCAATATGGTACGGAATTTGTCTACCTAATGTTTGTGTCAACGCTGATTCTTCCATTGTCGTTCAAAACTTCCTCAATAACAGTAGGTTATCTTACGATTTTTTTAAATCGACTGTTTAGTACAACATGACAATCAAAAACTACGAAGCACGGCTTATCGCTAACCAACAAACACTGACCGACTACTAGACCAATCATCTTACAACCTTACATTACACAAAGCCACCACAATGAGAACATTAACAAGACGTGCACAAATCATATGTGATACACCCGACGCTCTACACAACGAAAATAACCATCTCAAACGTGTTTTTGATAAAAAAAAACTATAACTCTGATTTCATCAAACGCAACACTTACAAGCGCAATGAACCGAACGAAACGAACAACTCAACGACAATAGCAAAGATACTTTATATCAAAGGTACGTCTGAGACTATCTCGCGTATCTTACGACCATACAACATACGTGTCGCACATAAACCAATCACAACGCTACGACAAGTACTAACGAACATCAAGGACAAAGAACAACCCAACGAACGACAAGATGCAGATTACAAAATAAACTGCTCCGACTGCCACGCTTCCTACATAGGGGAAACTGGCAGGAACATAAGACTTACTGAACACAAACGAGCTACAATGAATGGAGACAAAACCAATCATATTGCCGAACATCACCGACTCACAAAGCACAACATTGACTTGGACCCGGCAAAATGCATTACTTACAACACTGACTATAGACAACGGCTTACATTAGAAAGTTGGTATACCAACTTGGAATAAACCCCCCTGAACAGATCACAGCAATTACCGTCACCTTAAAAACAACTCATTCACAATACAAACAAACAAGCACCTAACACATGACTAACCACGATGAAAATATACAATTGACACCCACACATTTCCTGTACACACAATACAATGGCGTAAGAACCAGATAACACATACGGTTAACCTGACGTTTACTCCTCACTTGACTGAGAAGATGACTACCGCGAAGGTTGTCGAAACGTCAGTCAAAATCAATACGAACAATTCTTCTCAGGACTTTACTAACCTGGACGATCTACATTTACAAACATGTAACGACTTTTTTCGTTACGATGTAACGATTTCAAACATGTAACGATTTCATTCGTTACAAACATGTAACGAATGAAATAACCATGGGCTAGCTTTGCACAATCAACAAAGATCTATGAATTTTACAATTTACATCCGTTTTTTGTTGCCTGTTTGCAGGCGACTTACTTTTTTCACATTGAACATTTATCATCAGTGTCAATATTACATGTTTGTAGATGTAGATCTTCCAGGTTGGTATAGTCCTGAGAAGAACTGTTTTTGTTGTTCTTTATCTGGTTGATTTGATGGAGCATAAACTCGTTTTATTTAATGTAATACTTTGTGTTTTGATGTAAACACTTCGTGTTTTTTCTTCTAATCAGTGATGTTTGAATTCACGGTACTGGAGGTGGTTCGTGGGGGCTTGGGTTCAATATTCATACATACGTGTTATAATCCCAATAAAACAGCTTATTTCAAAGGAACTTAGTGATGGGCGATACCAGCTTTTTCGAAGCGATACGATACTTGTCCGATACCAGACATTTTTAGTGGTAACGGTATCAAGTTTCGATAGCGATACCAACAAATTAGATATTTTCTATTTTAGGTATTTTTTGTTATAAATACGTTCTGTGTGTAATGGCGTATCTTTTCTTCTTATTTTTTCCGAATAGTTGGCAGTCAATTTTTTCCGACCGTTAAAGTTATCGATCTAAACTGCTATAAAGAACCGAAGTACACTTGGTCAGTGATATTGACAATGTAAGCAAAATTAACTTCAAGTCCACAGTCTGTCTTACCTCGCTGTACAAATTGGTTATGTATATTTGGTTGGATTACTGTCTGCTGCGGTTAGCCATTTTGTTTTTCTATTGGTTAGAAAATGCAGTTTACCAGCTGTCTTTATAATTATCACATGCTTAAATATAATAAGATTTACGCTGCACAAAAATTTACAATATAGTGAGAAATTTACTGTGTTTGAGTCCACATGTGTCTGATTTATTCGACAAAACTCACTGAAATAAACTTGACCGTATGTTTTTTCTTTTACAGAATACTGTGCGGTATTATTTTGTCATGTTGTTTAATTGGGACCTGTATAGATGTATATAAAGAGACAATACAAACAAACTGTGTGGAGTATATGTATTTGGGTAAAGAGTATAGTGTGATTAAACCACAAGAAATTCATTTCCCAGCTGAAACTACACCTTTGGTCTCTAAAAAAAATGGCATGACGGGTTATCGTAATGGTGGGTTGGACTATCATAATGGTAGGTTGGACTATCATAATTGTAGGTTGGACTATCACAATGGTGGGTTGGACTATCATAATGTTAGGTTGGACAATCATAATGGTAGGTTGGACAATCATAATGGTTGGTTGAACTATCATAATGGTAGGTTGGACTATCATAATGGTAGGTTGGATTATCATAATGGTAGGTTGGGTTATCATAATGGTAGGTTGGACTGTCATAATGGTAGGTTGGATTATCATAATGGTAGGTTGGGTTATCATAATGTTAGGTTGGACTATCATAATGGTAGGTTGGACTATCATAATGGTAGGTTGGACTATCATAATGGTAGGTTGGACTATCATAATGGTAGGTTGGATTATCATAATGGTAGGTTGGGTTATCATAATGGTAGGTTGGACTATCATAATGGTAGGTTGGACTATCATAATGGTATGTTGGACTATCATAATGGTAGGTTGGACTATCATAATGGTAGGTTCGACTATCATAATGGTAGGTTCGACTATCATAATGGTGGGTTGGACTATCAAAATGGTAGATTGAACTATCATAATGTTAGGTTGGACTATCATAATGGTAGGTTCGACTATCATAATGGTAGGTTGAACTATCATAATGGTAGGTTAGACTATCATAATGGTAGGTTCGACTATCATAATGGTAGGTTGAACTATCATAATGGTAGGTTAGACTATCATAATGGTAGGTTGGACTATCATAATGGTAGGTTCGACTATCATAATGGTAGGTTCGACTGTCATAATGGTAGGTTGGACTAGGTTAGAATACAACAAGAATTATGAAGGATGATGAAGGTATAGAGGTATTGATATTGAATTATAATGTTGTACTCGAATACGAAAAAAAATAGATTAAATCGAGTCTACTTAAACGATATTAAGTAACAGATATACTTAAAAATAGTATCTTTTTTAATTATCGAATAGCGTTTAAAGAGAGTTTTAAATTGGAAACAAGTGAAAAACAAAGTGAAATCCCAAAGAACAAAAGCTCAAATGATAAAAATGGTATTTAAGACAAACATACTTTTCAATGCATCGTTTATAATTAAAATGTTGTATATCAATCTACAGATTTCATCGTTGATATATTTCTTTGCTTCTCGCTGTTACGAAATTCTCGAAATATTATGAAAACCGATGCAGCTGCTGATAATTTACTCTCATTGAATGGCATAAGAGTTATAACGATACTTTGGATCATACTTGATCATACCTATGGTGTTGCGCGCTATCCACAAGGAATCCTTGGTAGGTCTTTGGAATTGCACGTTAAAGTGTTCTGTATTTTCTGAACAGAGTTATTTAATAGTATAACATTAAAAACGCATTCTTTTTTGTCATATGTAGAGAACTTGTTGGATTTTTATGACGAGACTAGAAAGTTTACAGAAATGATAATCGTAAATTCGTTTGTTACTGTCGATACGTTTTTCTTTCTTTCGTAAGTTGCACAGTTATATGTTTTGTTAACATGCAATTTCATTCCTGTTTCAACGTATTAAAACTATACACTTATTGACAGCGGTTTCTTGGTCATGTATAAAGTCATGAAAATTTTGGAGCAAAATAACGGCGTCTTTCAATGGAGTATGTTGTATGTTCATCGATTTTTCAGGTAGGTAATCCTGTTCTGCTTAAAGTTCGTATATCAGGGTTAGGTAACGAAATATTTTTCTGTGGATTTTTCAATGGTCATGTCCGGTACAGAGTCATCTACTTCAGGTCCCAAAAAGATTCATGCCATCTAATAGTTTGCAAATGATCTTAAATTCCATTTAAAAATCTAAAGAAGTTATTTCCCTAGCCCTGATTTAGTTACTTTAAATTGAGGAATGGTGATTGGAAATGGTTTGAATTAACAACAATTAAACTTTACTGTGAAATATCATTTGTTAGGCACGTGTTAAAAAGATGATCACTGCAATGTTTAACGTTGTTCTTTTAGGCTGACGCCTGCGATGATGTTTGTTATACTGTTTAATTTAAAGTTAAAACCGTTCGTTAGTAAAGGTCCTCTTTGGGAGCAACATCTGAAAGAAGATGAGGGATGTCGTAAATATTGGTGGACAAATCTTTTGTATTTGAATAACTTTTATCCCTCAGATATAACACGAGCGGTAAGGTATAATTGAAGTTGTACTTTACTCTAAGAGTTATTACTGTCTGCAGTTCATCCACTTTTTTTCTCCGTGTGTCTACTTAACAAATGCGCATGCTCAAAGACTGAAAAAATGATCGTGATGCTTTATGCTTAACAGTTACGTTTTCATTTGGAAGGGTGCCACATCCTCTAGTTTGCACTTAAAGCTTTATTCTTTAACCTTCAAACTTGTTTACAGGTTTAGGACTTAGTGCATGTATGTATGTGTGTGTGTGTAGCTGTGTTATTTTACAGGAACCCCCCAAAAATTTCCTATTTTTCCGTCCCGGTCTATAATCGTAGTGCCTTAATTCCTTCTATGTATTTTCTCAAATCGAATTTCTCAAAAATTTGGTTTGTAAAAATTGCAAAATGTTATTGGAGGAATTTAGATTTTATGTTTTTGTACCGTGTGCATAAGTTCTTTTGACCATTGCAGGGGGTAGGCTTAGGATGAGGTAAATGACGAAAAGGAATCGGTAATCTGTCCAAACTCATCGAATATTAACCAACTAATTGATCCACTTGACCGATTAACGTTTGTCCAGTGTTTTAGTGTAATTTCAATAATTTTGTATCATTTATATAGTGTAATGGTGTTTTGTGGTATCTTGCTGTGGATATGCAATTTTTTATTATAGCGCCTTTCATCATTTGTTTCTTTTACCGGTGGGTGTAATGAAACTATACATTGTAGATAAATTTATGTATATATTCTCGATGATGGTGTCATTTTTGAATTGTTGTGCAAAACAAGATCGTCCGTACTTAAAAAATGAAAAGTTTTTAATGTTGTAATGAAGCTGCATCTTGATCAGTACTAAATATATCTCTCAATTGACCTTCCACTTTCCCCTTTTTACATCAATTTTTTACCTATGCCCATCTCAACCTTTATAAACTAACTTTCTGTATTATCAACGATATGTTTTCGACTTTCAACGCAAGGTCTCTATTGATTATGTATAGATATGGTTATCGTGCAGTGGTTGCAACCTCCTTAGTTCTTGGTGGTGGCTCGATTGTTTACATTGCTGTCATGACAGAACATTACAATCTTCATCCATTAACTTTGGTTTTAAGACATGTTACTTTGTAAGTTATTCAATATCCTTTCTCTTATGTGTATTCAATATTTTTTAAAAACTGCTATTAAGTGTATTCAATATTGTTTATCTTACATCCTATATACTATATCTTGTATCCCATATCACTTTATCGTGTGTCATGTCTTACAACATATATCATATGTTATTAGAACCTGTATCATATCTTATTTACATTCTTTATTTTACGTCGTGTAATTTATGTGTTATAATTATCTTCTTTGATACGTGCTTATATTTATATATTTGACTGGTTAAATTTTTTTACTGCACCATCATTACTAATTCTGTTTATTTTTTCTTTTTGTGTTAATGAACTTTCTAGGAAAAAGTTCATTGAATATTTTAATTATTTGTATGTCAAACCATATGCTCGATTTCCTCCATGTTTGGTTGGTCTTGTATTTGGTTATCTTTGGCGAAAAGGAGCGCTGAGAAAAAATCAATTAAATTGGGTAAGATAGAAGGCCGTAATGTGATATGATTGATTTCGTGTTATCAAGGGTTTATGATGTATCACATACTTGTCTTTATTTACCAAACATAAAAACTTTTTTCTAGACTAAAGCTTCGTTACTTTGGTTCTTATCAACTGCAGTCGCATTGTCTTTAATATACGGACCTTACACGGCAATCAAGAAAGACCCCAGGCCGTGGACGATGTTTGAAAAAATTTTCTACGCTTCTACATACCATCTTGTGTGGGCGTTTGTGTTGTCCTGGGTTGTCTATGCTTGCGAATTTGGCTACGGAGGTTTGTAAAACGTACATGTTTTCGTCCTTTGTACGCATAGGCTGCGCACTGTGGCCAAGGGAGTGGAACAGCTTCTCTCCAGCCGGGAAAGTTTAAGATTAAAAATTTGGAAAAAGTTTAGACGTGTATGTCAAGAAGTCTGGAAGTCCTCCTTAGATATAATAGCTCCCGTACGACTATGCTTGTGATGATGCTTTATCTAGTGAGACTGTGTGCTGTGTATTTGTCAATGAAGCTATATCGATGCTTATGTAATTTTATGTAATGACATACTCCCATTTCAGGTTATGTTAAGGACTTTCTGTCTGCAAGTTTCTGGATTCCTCTTGGTCGTCTGACGTATTCAACATATTTAGTACATCGTTTAGTGCTTAAAGTTATGATGTATGGTTCAAGAACTGGACTCGTTTTCACAACACAGTGGTGGGTAAGTGATAAAGGCTTGGTAATGAGTTTTCACAACACTGTGGTGGGTAAGTGATAAAGGCTTGGTAATGAGTTTCACAACACAGTGGTGGGTAAGTGATAAAGGCTTGGTAATGAGTTTTCACAACACAGTGTTGGGTAAGTGATAAAGGCTTGGTAATGAGTTTTCACAACACAGTGTTGGGTAAGTGATAAAGGCTTGGTGATGATATTAACATGGGTTGCATTCACTTTGTTGTTTATTAAATGAAACCTTTGACTTACTGTAGTGATTTCAGGAAAGTTATGGTAAAGGCAGTAATTTTTTAAAATATAAAATATGGTTGTTTTGATTATGCCACAAAGTGAACAATGCTGCGTTGAATAAAAATATAAGAAGGGAGGGAAGAAAAAGTAATAAGGGGGGTCTTCACTTCTTGTAATAACATGCTGAAGTCATACTGCGGAAGATATCTTCATTTTCCCATGCATTTCTAAGAATGTTATTTATCCATGATTTGGTGTTCTTCGCGTTAAATCAAACTACTTTAAATGCCAACCCCTCTTTGATTGCATGTTTGATTTTCTTTACCACTTTTCCCACAGATTGAAAAACTGTGAACAGCCCATCGTTGAAAAAACACAAAATGAGAAATGTATCTTTTTTCCAGGCGTACATCTACTGTGGTACCGTACTTTTATCACATGCCCTTGCATTCTTATTGGCTATCACCATCGAATATCCTGTTTTCAATCTCGAGAAACTTGTTTTTGGCGGTCGTAGAGGGAAGGCAACTTAGACTTAAAGAAAACCTTTGATGACAATGAAGGTTTACGATGACGGTATTTCTTGTGAACTTCAAAATATCCTTGTCTCAAACGAACCCATCATTATGTGTCCACCATCATACTTACATTGTTGTTTCTACTTGAAGATCATTTGGAGAAAGACTTTTCATTTTGATTTCAATATTTTTTTTTATTTTGATTTTTAGTGTAAGATTTTGAATCTAAATTTTTGACCTATAAGTTTATGCAATACTTACTCACGTTATGTTTTCTTGAAAAATTGTTTGCTCATTCCCCCCAGTATTTGTTCTACATAGAATTCGCGCATTTTTAAATACATCAAATATTACTGTTACGCTACACCCTTTGTCTCATAAATTTATTCCACATTGAGCCCGCAATCTTGTTATCTTCTCTATGTCCTCCGTTTCCTTTTTCTCTTTCATATTCTTGATTTTTTTATTATCCATCGATATGAAAAGCAATTAGTCACCGTCATTTTTGAATCTTTTGAAGATCACGAAAAAACTTTCAAACACTAACCTTAGATTCCTAATTATACGTATATTGTCATTTTCTCAATTCAACCATTACCTATATTTTTCTTGGATTATGAAGTAGAAAACGAGTGAAGTCAGGAATAAATCAATATGGTTGCCATCATGTCGTCATATCCGGGTCTCGTTTTTTAGTTATTTTAATAAATTAAGAACGAAAGTAAGATGGCTGTTCCTTCGTGGATTGCCAATATTTCAAGAATTTCAAACACTCTCTTTTGCTTTTGCGTATTTTTTCAAGTACCATGCCTGCTTGCAGGACGATACAGTTATGAACTGCCAGAATATGTTGTTAAAGTTGATTCGAAGCAGCTTAAAATGCCGAAGGCCGCTATGGATGTAGCCGTTGACCATCTTGTGAAGCAGTTTTATGAAACTGATATATTTACGAAGTCGTCGCAAAACATTTCAACATGCAGAAAAGAATTGATTAATGTAACTAAGAATAACGATAACCTTTTTTTGTGTAAGTACCTTATTTTATTTATGTTTGACGTCTATGATAAACAAAGTTTGTATTTCGTTTTTCGAGATGAGTATTTTTCCAGATGTTGATGCTATTGGTAAAGTACCAGCTGGTATATCTCGAGGGGATTTCGCCTGGTTGGGTTCATTTGACTCATGCCTGGAGATAACTAATGCTCATTACTGCCTGACCACTTTTAATGTCGAAATTTCAAATTTCACCAGAAAGGTTTTGTATTGAAATTGCGTAACGTGGACATTTCTTGATGCGTTCTTTACCAGATCATTTTATGTTTATTTTAGCCTTTGCCATTAAGAATAGGCTTTTGTCTACCATCTGCATGTGGAAAGGTTGATCTTAAAGAAGTCTTTGGTACTATATCGATATGTAAGTTTTGCCATGGGTGGCACAGAAATCTATTTAGGTTTTTTAACCAATCGATTTATGTAGTTAATATAAATCAAGGAATATATTTACTACATAAATCGATTGCACAAAAAAACTTAACAGATTGCTGGGCTGCAACTGGTTTTGCCTAAGATGGCTATGTCAGAGCATATCATTTGTTTTATTTATGATGCCATGCTTCCCTAATGTTGATTTGCAGTCCTTAAATAGGGTTCTTTCTTGTGATCTTTTTTATCTATCGGACTTTAATGTTGAGCTTACTAATTATCATAAAAACATATCCATGTGACACTGACGTAACTCAAATAAAATTTAAAGTCCGATAGATAAAAAAGTTCTTCCCATATTTTAGCTGCAATAAATCAGAAATTTGTCATAGCATTTGTTCGCCCGAAGAACTCGATGATAAAATAAAACTGCTAACTGAATTTTTTCTTTCGCAAAGGTTTTCTTTGGTTATGTCAAACATTGCTACCATGCTGTTATTGTGATCATATTTCTGTTTTTCTTTAGCAAACCAATTTGTAAATATTACATACGGAGGTTGCTCCTGTCCAAAGAAGCCTGACTATACATCTGATGTTGTTATCACATTGTGAGTTGATGATCTATTCAAAGTCGATTCTTACAATTCGAAACCATGAGATAACAGAGGCTGTCAAAAACATTGGAGCCTTTAATATACATACTATAAACCTCTTGCTTTCCAAATATGTTTGCTTAGAATTGTGCTAATTAACTTATACCTTTTATTTTGAAATGTGATGATAGCTTCATTCGAATAAAATTTCTGTTCATGAAATATTTTGTGTCTTTGATTTATATGTTCTATTTTTGGATTACTTATAGAGTCTTGTGTGGTTTTCTTCTGATGCTTTGTGCTCTGGGGACACTTATGGATGTTTGTGGCAGGCCTGGTGTATCTCTTGTCTCACAGACAGTTTCTAATAAATATGTGGATGAGGTTTCATCTTCAGTACAAAATGAAGAAGTTCTTCACAATGAAAGAGCATTTCATGAAGATGGATATAATCAACACAATAAAAATCATATAAGAACACCTCTTGTTTCAGAGTCAGTGAAAAGTAATTACTTACGTCCAAAACGGCCATCAGGTATTTAAGATGTTGGCAGCATTTGTTGATCAGTGGCAAGCTTGCAAAGGGGGGGGGAGGGTCGTGCCTCAGCTATTGATTTTTGGTGGGTGCTAAAGTGAACAAGGGGCATCAATTTTGAATTTGTGCGGGGGGAATGCATTTGACATTTTACAGTGGACATTATTTCACTTCTCAAAGTCCAGGAAATGGCATTTCGAGTTTTTTCTAAAAAATTCTTTGGTAGCATGCCCCTGCAGCCCCCAACAATTGTTCCCAGCATGCTACTGAAGTTTGTCATCTATTGTTGTATATCTACTGCCTCCTTACACAAATAATGTACCTGAGACTTGACGGATATTTTTTCACGCATAACGAATGGCCAAGGAAAAAAATCATTTTCTGTTTTCCTCCAAATAATTTTCTTCCTTATTCGTTCTCCGCGTCTTTAGGTGGCTTGATTGAATTTCTGCGTTGTTTTTCACTCACAAGGAACACCAACCAAATCCTCGACACAAAAGTGACGTCAAAGGCGATCACGTGCTTAAGTGGGATACGCGTCATTAGCATGTTTTGGGTGATCTTGGGACACGCGTTTCTTTTTACAATTTCAAGCACCCTCGTTGGTAAGAAATAAACTTTGGAATTTAAATAAGGACATTTAGTGCAGTCGAACCTGCCGTTAGCGAGGACACCTGATCTCCGCTACCGGGAGGTGTCCCTAGGTTCAACTGTTGTACCGAAAGTCATATTCAATACTGTGATTTTTTGCGGGACTGCATTAAGGTCTTTTTGCGCCCCTGGGCACTTTGTCAGTTTGAATTACGTATTTTGGTCAACAGATTTTGAAAGTACAAAAAGTTTGTGTGGCATTTTTTCAGCCAATCCACTTGACATGGAAGATGCTATCAGTAGACTGTCAATGATGGCCGTGACAAATGCCTATTATTCCGTCGATACGTTCTTCTTCTTGAGGTATGTGTACATGGTGGTAGTGATGTTAGGGTTAGTGACTATGATATCACTTTATTTTCTTCTTTCTTCATCCAGTGGCTTGCTCCTTGCCTACGTATGCTTTCAAAAAATGGAGAAGAATGACGGCAAATATAATTGGTTGCTTTTTTATGTCCACCGTTACGTAAGGTATTGACATTTTATGATACCACCATTGATGTTTATGATCATCTTACAGACTTACACCATCATTGATGTTTATGATCATCTTACAGACTTACACCATCATTGATGTTTATGATCATCTTACAGACTTACACCATCATTGATGTTTATGATCATCTTACAGACTTACACCATCATTGATGTTTATGATCATCTTACAGACTTACACCATCATTGATGTTTATGATCATCTTACAGACTTACACCATCATTGATGTTTATGATCATCTTACAGACTTACACCATCATTGATGTTTATGATCATCTTACAGACTTACACCATCATTGATGTTTATGATCATCTTACAGACTTACACCATCATTGATGTTTATGATCATCTTACAGACTTACACCATCATTGATGTTTATGATCATCTTACAGACTTACACCATCATTGATGTTTATGATCATCTTACAGACTTACACCATCATTGATGTTTATGATCATCTTACAGACTTACACCATCATTGATGTTTATGATCATCTTACAGACTTACACCATCATTGATGTTTATGATCATCTTACAGACTTACACCATCATTGATGTTTATGATCATCTTACAGACTTACACCATCATTGATGTTTATGATCATCTTACAGACTTACACCATCATTGATGTTTATGATCATCTTACAGACTTACACCATCATTGATGTTTATGATCATCTTACAGACTTACACCATCATTGATGTTTATGATCATCTTACAGACTTACACCATCATTGATGTTTATGATCATCTTACAGACTTACACCATCATTGATGTTTATGATCATCTTACAGACTTACACCATCATTGATGTTTATGATCATCTTACAGACTTACACCATCATTGATGTTTATGATCATCTTACAGACTTACACCATCATTGATGTTTATGATCATCTTACAGACTTACACCATCATTGATGTTTATGATCATCTTACAGACTTACACCATCATTGATGTTTATGATCATCTTACAGACTTACACCATCATTGATGTTTATGATCATCTTACAGACTTACACCATCATTGATGTTTATGATCATCTTACAGACTTACACCATCATTGATGTTTATGATCATCTTACAGACTTACACCATCATTGATGTTTATGATCATCTTACAGACTTACACCATCATTGATGTTTATGATCATCTTACAGACTTACACCATCATTGATGTTTATGATCATCTTACAGACTTACACCATCATTGATGTTTATGATCATCTTACAGACTTACACCATCATTGATGTTTATATCAGACTTACACCATCATTAGTTTCTACCTAAATTTAGTCTTGATGCCTTCTAGGGTTATTTTGAATTTCTAGGTTATAAACTAGTATGTCTATGTACAGATTTTCCCATTAGAAAATTAAAAATAGATGAAATGCATCTATGATAATAAAAGTTAATAACTTCAAAGTTCAACATCACTATTTTGCCCCATGTTATTGCATCATCTATCTTCATATTACCCTATGATTTGACACCATGTTATTGCATCAGCCATTGATTGCATCACCATCATTGAGTTTTGAACTTTTGATTGACAATATTACATGACTTTATCATGATGTATATAGTATGATGACCATAAATGTCTAAAATCATCTTACAGATTTTTACCTTACCCAAATGTATTACCATGTCATGTACAACAGACTTACACCATCATTGATGTTTATGATCATCTTACAGACTTACACCATCATTGATGTTTATGATCATCTTACAGACTTACACCACCATTGATGTTTATGATCATCTTACAGACTTACACCACCATTGATGTTTATGATCATCTTACAGACTTACACCATCATTGATGTTTATGATCATCTTACAGACTTACACCATCATTGATGTTTATGATCATCTTACAGACTTACACCATCATTGATGTTTATGATCATCTTACAGACTTACACCATCATTGATGTTTATGATCATCTTACAGACTTACACCATCATTGATGTTTATGATCATCTTACAGACTTACACCATCATTGATGTTTATGATCATCTTACAGACTTACACCATCATTGATGTTTATGATCATCTTACAGACTTACACCACCATTGATGTTTATGATCATCTTACAGACTTACACCATCATTGATGTTTATGATCATCTTACAGACTTACACCATCATTGATGTTTATGATCATCTTACAGACTTACACCATCATTGATGTTTATGATCATCTTACAGACTTACACCATCATTGATGTTTATGATCATCTTACAGACTTACACCATCATTGATGTTTATGATCATCTTACAGACTTACACCATCATTGATGTTTATGATCATCTTACAGACTTACACCATCATTGATGTTTATGATCATCTTACAGACTTACACCATCATTGATGTTTATGATCATCTTACAGACTTACACCACCATTGATGTTTATGATCATCTTACAGACTTACACCATCATTGATGTTTATGATCATCTTACAGACTTACACCACCATTGATGTTTATGATCATCTTACAGACTTACACCATCATTGATGTTTATGATCACCTTACAGACTTACACCATCATTGATGTTTATGATCATCTTACAGACTTACACCATCATTGATGTTTATGATCATCTTACAGACTTACACCATCATTGATGTTTATGATCATCTTACAGACTTACACCATCATTGATGTTTATGATCATCTTACAGACTTACACCATCATTGATGTTTATGATCATCTTACAGACTTACACCATCATTGATGTTTATGATCATTTTACAGACTTACACCATCATTGATGTTTATGATCATCTTACAGACTTACACCATCATTGATGTTTATGATCATTTTACAGACTTACACCATCATTGATGTTTATGATCATCTTACAGACTTACACCATCATTGATGTTTATGATCATCTTGCAGACTTACACCATCATTGATGTTTATGATCATCTTACAGACTTACACCATCATTGATGTTTATGATCATCTTACAGACTTACACCATCATTGATGTTTATGATCATCTTACTGACTTACACCATCATTGATGTTTATGATCATTTTACAGACTTACACCATCATTGATGTTTATGATCTTGTTCTACATGAAACTCATACCGTTCTTTGCTTACTCGCCAATATGGTCGACCACTGAAGATAAGTATTGTTCTCGATATTGGTGGACTAATCTTCTCTACATAAATAATTTTTACCCGACCGACTTTTTGAAACAGGTACTTTTTGATTTCATGTTTTAGTATTTGGGCACTTATCGCTCACATTAAGTTGTATCTGTGTTATGAACTAATTTTTATTCATATTTTAACTCGCAGTGTGCTGGATGGTCATGGTATCTCGCTAACGACATGCAGTTCTTTGTAATTTCTCCTTTGATACTCATTCTAGCGTACAGGTTTGAAAACGTTTTGTTTTAAAACGCGATTTGTACTTCATCGCCCAAACTTCTTTAAAATTTACGTGATCTTTTTGTGATAATCGTTTACGCTAAACGTAATTAATTTTTCACTTTGCTCGAACTTCCTGTAGTTAATCTGTTCTTCGCAGATTTCCTCCAATCGTTTTTTTTTACTGATTACAGATTTTTCTAATCTTTAGTCTATTATTATAGATTTGTCCAATCATAAATCTATTGATTACAGATTTTGTCCAATCATAAATCTATTGATTACAGATTTTGTCCAATCATAAATCTATTGATTACAGATTTCGTCCAATCATAAATCTATTGATTACAGATTTCGTCCAATCATAAATCTATTGATTACAGATTTCGTCCAATCATAAATCTATTTATTACAGATTTCGTCAAATCATAAATCTATTCATTACAGATTTTGTCCAATCATAAATCTATTCATTACAGATTTTGTCCAATCATAAACTATTGATTACAGATTTCGTCCAATCATAAATCTATTGATTACAGATTTCGTCCAATCATAAATCTATTGATTACAGTTTTTGTCCAATCATGAATCTATTATAGATTTTGTCGTGTTGGTCTTCTTGCTACTGCAGGCTCACTTTTGATGGCCAGCACCATGATACTTGCCGTATTGTATGGTAATTATGACATTGATCCAACAGAGTTGTCGAAATGGGGCATGTCGAATTTGTTTGGGTAGGTATATATCGTTTCCATTAATGTTACCCTCAACAAAGCTTGTAATAGTTTTTGTAAATATAAGTTTCAAATTCACGAAAATTTATTGCACTTAACTGGACATTAATTGCTTTATAATTTCAGAGACGCGAAAAAATTATTCTAACATGATCTACAGCAAACCCTATTGTCGTGTACAACCATATCTTATTGGCATTATGTTGGGATACTTCATGTTCAGAAGTTATAGTGGAACACGTAAACCTACTTGGGTTAGTTGCTCGTTTTCTTTACTTGCACACTTGTTGGCGGAGCCCGCGTAATTTTTCCTGCTTCCCTGTGACGTCATGTTAAAATTTGTGGTGAACTTTAGGTTTCGGGTCTGCAAGGCAAAATGCCTCTTGACTATTCTCATGGCTGGTCTGCTTATCTGTGGGTGTGTTGTTAATATATGGCCAGTGCCGAATGATGTGGGTGAACTTAAGCCTTTCGGCCTGCACTGCTTAGGTTCATACTTAGTGTAGTCTATACGAAAAGTGTAACTTGATCATCACACCAAATTTCGTACATAGAAGAGGGTCATAGTTAAGGGTTGTACATGAAATAAAACAGTATTTCTACTTTATCTGTTCAGGCAGTGGCTTTGATTGCATGGTTAGTAGCTTTTACTGTTGGTATGACTTTGGTGTATTCACCTCATGATAACGTCACGGACGGACGTCAATGGACTAAGACCGAGAAAGTCCTTTATGGAATGTTCTCAAAAGTGGCGTGGAGCATGGCACTAGCTTGGGTCGTCTATGCCTGTCATTATGGCTATGGAGGTAGGTGTACATCGAGTTGCTTTCCTGTTGCATGCGTTTCTAACATAGAAAAGGAGTGAAAACGTTGCTGCGCTTCGTAGAATCGTTTTGATTTTGACACTGCGTGTGAAGTTGCGGTGAACCGAGATTTTAATACGTTTTTCAATGGTTAATGAACATCTGTTGTTTTAGGTATTATTCAACGATTTCTTTCAGCAAGTTTCTGGGTTCCTCTAGCCCGCCTAACGTATTGTGCTTACTTGGTCCATCCCATTGTCTTGACATACATGTTCAATAGTTCAAAAGTTGTGCTTTTCTACAGTGTACAGACGATCGTAAGTATATGCTCCTTCACTCCCATTTCAAATGTCTTTTCTCTTATTTTGCATGTAAATGGCATCACACAAGTAACCGTATAATTATCATTGAATACGAAATATAATGTTATAACCATTGAGTTCTATGAAGAACTCAACTCAACGGGTATAACAACTCAATGGTTATTACATGTGTCCAATTCAATGGGTGCAACATGTTAACATAAAGAATATTACAGAATATTACGGCTTTTGACTGGCTAATAGCCATACGTGAAACTACCATGACTTACGAGTGACGTCATAGCACTCATAATATACACGTTATGACGTCATAGCGTTTCATTAGTATACACGTTATGACGTCATAGCATTTCATAGGTATACACGTTATGACGTCATAGCATTTCATTAGTATACACGTTATGACGTCACCCGTTCTATGATGCCTCGACGCATTGTCGTTCTTTTGATTAAATTTTTAAATAGTTCTTAAATTGTGTTTTATTTTATCTAAAATCTCAGATGTGTCGTTTTCAGCCAAAACTTGTTCGTTGATTGATAATGAAAAATGAAAAACCTTGGTTGATTAGATCGTCTTCATGACATGTTCAACCATTTAAATGATTTCTATAACCTTGTTTTACCAGGGCTCGTGTAATAAAGTATTATAGGTGAACATAGTAGGAAAAAAAATATCAATGGCTAATTACAACATACTCTCTTTGAAGCTCTTTGGTCGATCAGAACAACGCATACATTTATTTTTTTTTAAGATTGATAAACCTCTGGGATTTATTTACTCAGTCATTTTTTTCTTTACAAAGGCATTCAACTTCGTTGCTGCTGTAACAGCGTCGTACTTATGTGCCTATATTCTGGCTGTTGTGATCGAGTTCCCTTGTCAAAATCTGGAAAAACTCGGTGCTCGTCGTTAAAGAAGAATCCATGTATAAATATGTGGAAAGGAAATAATTTATTGAATAATTTACAAAATAATTATTGAATTGAAATTAATTTCCCATGAATACGACGCTCCAACAGATGCAATAAAAATTCCAAGTGCCTAATGGGTGGCTTAATCGTTCTCTACATTAAATCGTGTATGCATGTATTGTTGAAACATGTCTACAAGTGCAAACAGTACCGAACAATTTTAGCAAAATGAAGTGTATCTTTGTTTGGGTTTTTTTTTGTGCAAACTTGAAACGTTGGGGTAGGGATAATTTGCTTTTTTGCCGCCGAGTTTACCAGGGGTGCCAAGGCCAAGACCCCTTCAGAGCTGTGCCTACCAGTGCCTACATTTTAACCTTATCATATTCAAAATGGCTGCTATTGTTTAGTCTGGGTATTCTTTACAAAAACACGCTTTACAAATTCAAATTGCCTTAACCTTGACTAATAGAAGATTTCTACTCTAGTGAGCTCGATAACAATGGCTGAAAAAGATATGTTTCCTTTAAATCCGACATTAATGAGCGGTCTGAACGATAAAGTATACGAGAAACGGAAAAAAGCAGCTCTAGAAATTGAAAGGTAAATTGAGAAGGAAACAAAACTGCTTATTTAATGTGCAGTTGGATGTTACGTTGACTATTTTTGCAATTAATGAATAATGCTGCACATACGAATTTCCACGAATTTGTCTGCAATTGAAGTATTAAAGTGTTAGGCAATAGGGGGAGTATTTCATCAGCTTGTTGAGCATGACACTCGATCTTAATTGCTTGGGAAATATTCTACTTCTTGCCAGTTGCAATTCACTAGAAAATTTGAAAACAAGGCCCGTGTTTCGACCATTTAGCTATGAATAATCGTAATCATTTCAGTAAAAAGTCATTTTGTGAAATCACCGGAAGTGTGTTATTTGGTAATGTGAATGTGTGAGTTCATAATTTCCCATTGACACACTGGTGAGCAAAGCTTGTATGCTTATCCAATGAATGTATTTTTTGTTAGAATGGTTAAAGAATATCTCGCTAATGATGATGTTTCATTGATAAAAAGACTCATGTCAGTGCTCACCACAGAATTCTCAAATTCGCACAACCCACACAGTCGTAAGGGTGGCCTCATTGGTCTAGCGGCAACAGCTATAGCTTTGGGAAAAGTACATTTTTCTTGACTTTAAACATCATTATAAAGTTATTTCTTTGTAATCCACCTAATTTTTGTATTCCAGGAATGCATTTCATATTTACAAGAATTGATACCTCCAGTACTGTCATGTTTCTATGACCAAGATAGTCGTGTCCGATATTACTCGTGTGAAGCTTTATACAATATTTCCAAAGTTGCCAGAGGAGCTATTTTGCCTTTCTTCAATCAGATCTTTGATGGACTCAGCAAAGTGAGTATAAATTATTATAAGTTGTAAAGTAAATGGTGTGAACCCGGGAGTATCGTTACATGTTACATGTTTGAAAGTTGGTATACCAAATTGGAACAAACCCCCCTGAACAGATCACAGCAATTACCGGCACCTTACAAACGACTAATTCACAATACAAACAAACGATCAACTAAAAACATTACACTTCACACTAATTCACAATGTCAATATACAATTGACACCCACACATTACAACCAAAAACATCACACCTAAATCACACATCACAACTAAAAATATTACACTTCACACTAATTCACAATGACAATACACAATTGACACCCCACATTACAACCAAAAACATCACACCTAAATCACACATCACAACTAAAAATATTACACTTCACACTAATTCACAATGTCAATACACAATTGACACCCCCACATTACAACCAAAAACATCACACCTAAATCACACATCACAACTAAAAATATTTCACTTCACACTAATTCACAATGACAATACACATTTCCTGTACACACAATACAATGATGTAAGAACCAGATAACAAATACGGCTAACCTGACGTTTACTCCTCATTTGACTCTGAAGATGACTACCGCTAAGGTTGTTGAAACGTCAGTCAACAACAACGAAAACAGTCCCTCTCAGGACTATACCAACCTGGATGATCTACATTTACAAACATGTATTATAAGTTGTGTTAACCCAAGGAGCCAATCATTATCATCATCATCCTTTTTCCATTGCCTTTGTGCTGTGTCTTTTTTTCATATATCACAATTATCTTTTTTTTTGTAAATTTTAAGCTAGCATCAGACCCTGATCCCAATGTGAAAAGTGGAGCTGATTTACTGGATAGATTAATCAAGGTATTAGATTAACCACTATACAAGCAAAGCAAAAATTAACCGTAGTTAATTGTTTTCTCTCTCCGTACTATAGGATATCATTACTGAAAGTGCATCGTTTGATCTTGTATCGTTCATACCTCGACTACGCGACAGGATTTACACAAAAAATCCATTCGCTAAACAGTTTGTGATTTCTTGGGTAATTATAGTCGTTAAGAGGGCCCGAAGGAAGCAACGCTCTGCCCCTCTTGTCTCGTACCCCTACAGCGTTTGCGGACGTTCGTGTGAATCACAAATTGGCCTCTATTCACACATGAGGTCCCACTCTTGCAGATAGACCTGCATGCGCCTACTCATCTGTCGCCCGACAGGAGAGTCCATCATCATCATAGTCGTTAACCAAGCAACTTCTTTATCTTTTAAAAGATGTTGGCCTTTGGTATTGTGGGTTTATTCATCACTTATCTACTCTCTGTTCTTTTTGCTTTTCTGTAGATTTTAATTTTGGACTCAGTCCCAGACCTCGACATGGTCGTTTTTCTTCCCGAGATCCTTGATGGCATATTCACGATATTTCAAGATGATTCGTCAGAAATCAGAAAAATGTTCGTCTTGTATTAAAAGTGTGATTGGAAAATATATGGTTTTAGCTTGAAAATATTTCTTCCTGCAGGTGTGAGGCAGTGCTTGGCGAGTTTTTACGCGACATTAAGAAAGCTCCTGAAAACGTGAAATACGCTGACATGGTCAACATTATTGTGGTGCATTCAACGTCACCAGGTAATCAACGAAGAACAATGCGAATTGTACAGTTTTAAAAAACCGTACGGGAACTGGGGAAAAATATTTTTAACCGTGTGCAGTGACGTCACCAGGTAATCAACGAACTACAATGCGAATTGTACAATTTTAAAAAACTGTGTGGGAACTGGGGCGAAATATTTTTAACCGTATGCAGTGATGTCATAATTTGAAATAGTTGCCATTTTATGGCATGAAATATATATTCGTACGACCAAAGGAATGCATTGTTTAATTTAATGAAAAACCTTATGACGGTCTTGTATATCAAAATGGCAAGGATTGTCTCTTGAGTACGAACCAGGCCACAATGCTTCTTTTGTCTACACCTTTCGATTGATTGGTTTTTCTCAAAGCGGTGCATTTTTCTTGCAAGTCACAAGTAGCTGCATACGTTAACCTGTGTAAAACTGGAATAACCACAAACGTTTTTTTTTTGTTATTTTCAGATGAGATCATTCAGTTTACAGCCGTGCTGTGGCTTCGAGAATTTCTCTCTTTGTCTGGACGAATGATGATACCGTTTTGCGCTAATATTCTCTCGGCAATATTGCCCTGTGTTTCATATGAAAATTGCCGATTTAGTATCTTTTTTTCCCTGCTGCTTGAGTGCTGCGTGCAAGCAAAATTTATTATTAAAATCCTAGCAATAAAGAGGTATGAAGGTAAAGTTTGAGTAAAGTGTGTTAAAATTTGTTCATTCAAGACACAAACGACTCGGTTTTAGGTATAATTGACGTATTTCTTAAAGCTTTATCCTAAGAGATTATTGTGACGACATTTATACAACCTTAACCGCCATTAAACCACCAAGAAACCAAAGAAATTGCCACGAATGTGAACCAACAAGTTCGCGATCTTATTACGAGCGACGACGATAAGGAGTCAAGTCCGACAAAAAATACCGAAAAAATGGATTGCGATGTAGAATCAATGGAGTATAACTTGGATATTGGTTCTGTTCTTATTGTACTCACGTCACAACTGAGCAGTGAATTTATAGAGACGCGACTTGCAGTCCTGAGATGGGTGCTGTTATTGTTGGAGAAAACACCTAATAAGGCGAGAGGCCTGGGAGCTAAGAAGTCAGGGCCGGTTGCACGAAGCCTGGACAGCGTTATCCATTGGATAGCAATTTTTTTAAACTTTTATAAAACCTTTTAAAAAGCAAAACGTATGAGATTCGAACTGAGCAATCACTGAAATGAACTACTGTTTCGAAGATTACGGAATTTCTATGTCGTAAGTAAAATATTTACATCTTTTTCACAAATTTGAAAATTTTACCTATCCAATAGATAACGCTATCCAGGCTTCGTGCAACCGGCCCCAGAACGACGATAAAAAACTGATGAAATCTTGTAGGATAAGATAAAATGTCCGTTCACAAACATTTTTTTTATTTAGTTGTTTAAACACATGGAGAAAATATTTTTTGTGTTATTGGATCGTGTATCCGATCTGTCTGACGAAGTAAGTGTTAGCGGCATTGAAATAGTATGTTGGCAAGTTTTGATTTGTTTGCAACTTAACAAGTGCTTGAAGCTTAATTTTTCCTTTTAAATTTCCCAGTATTCTCATCACGGATGTGATGTATATATGATGTTCACCTTTAATAAAACGCCCCCTCTTAAAATCTGCATGCAATGAAAGTAATCAAACTTGAATGAACAACTTTACACGTAGTTATTGACGGACTTTGATTTTGGAACTTAATTATTACCTAATAATCAAATGGATATTTTAATAATTTGGTGACAAATTTTAATTAGCCATGTGCTTTTACTGTTTGATTGACAGGTGGTTATGACCGACTTAGAAGTACTTGCCGTAATTTCAGCATCACCTGCTGGTCAACCCATTTCATCTTACGTGTCAACAACGGACAGACGGACCAATGACGGAGCTGTGATTTCACGTGCTAACAACATGAATGAATATTTCTATAAATTTCTCTCTAATTTAATTGGAAAGTTTCGTCTGGATGGTAAATTACTCGAAGATAAAGGATGTTTCATTATACGGTAAATGATGGGGAAATTTTATAAAATTCGCAGAAATTTCTGTGTATTTATGTAGAAAAAAGCGTGGCTTCATTTTTTTTCGATGCGTTTTTCCAAAAATATTCTGTCGTGAAAATCATCTTTCGTTTCGTTTTTCTCCGTATGAAAGAAATGGTTGTGAGAATGTTTTGTGGTGCAATTGACAGACTTCTTCTTTTATAATTTTTTACCACAGAAAGCTTTGTCTCTTGCTAAGTTCAGAGGATATTTATCGAACACTCGCCGAAATTCTGCTCGAGGAAAATGATTTGAAATTTGCGTCGTTGATGGTTAAAACACTGAACGTTATCTTACTTACATCGAGCGAACTTTTTGAGCTAAGAATGAAGTTAAAAGAATTGAAAACGAAGGTAAAGGATTTACTAACAGTCAGTTTCTGTGTCTATCTTTTTTCTTTGTTTCCGTTTGCAGAAAAGTTGAGAGAACGTGAATAAGATTTACTTTGAAATCGCATAACTATTTGAAGACGGTGTTTTTACTCCACCGAATGCCTGGGCTGCATAAAATATGTTATTTTCTGCAAAAAAAAAGATTTGTGTAAATTTCCACTCAATAGATATGATTGAAATCGTATACATTACTTAGTAAAGTAAATGGTTTGAACCCGGGAGTATCGTTACATGTTTGTAAATGTAGATCGTCCAGGTTGGTATAGTCCCGAGAAGGACTATAGACGTCAGTCAACAACAGCAAAAACAGTCCTTCTCAGGACTATACCAACCTGGACGATCTACATTTACAAACATGTAGCATAACTTACTGTTGCTAAATGCGAAGATGAAGAAATAACTTGGAAGAACTGCGAAAATGACTTTTTCACACTATTGTCTGACTTTCAGACAGGCAGTGTGCCTGTATATATCTAAAGCGTATTCTTCCTTTCTGTTTTCCCTTATATGTCAATCCATTTTTTTTTCTTTGAGAATTCTAACTTTTTGTACTTCTAACCGGGTTTTTTTTCTGCCGACATCAAAAAATTTTTCTGGGACCAATAGTCGTGCGGTGCGCTATGTTACGCAGCCCTGCTTATTGCCTGATTTGAAATGTTTGATCTTACCATTGATAAGTGGGAGCCAAATTTCTGTGTTGTAATCTCTGAGAGCGAGTGAGCGATCTTGAGTATACAGACGTTTACATGTGTTTAATTTCTCTTCGTTTTCTTGATAGGAAAGCTGTGATATATTCTGGGTGCTTTACAAATGTTGGTGTCATAATGCCATCGCGACGTTTTCGTTATGTCTCTTGACACAGACATATCAACACGCATGTGATCTACTCATGATCTTGTATCCTTAATATCTACTTGTGTTTTTGAGCTTTGTGCGTCTGTGGAACAGTGAGAGTGTATACCAGAATCAGCCGTGTTATCTCTTAACCATCTTTAAGCGGGGAACTCGAAGTAAACGTGGATTTTCTCGTGCAAATAGACAAATTAGTTCAACTGATAGAATCTCCTATCTTCACGTGTGAGCTTTCTGTTTCTTTTTCCTACTTTTATGTTGTATAATGAACGATAAATGACGTCACTAAAATGTTGTGGGCTTTGTGTTTCTTTTTTCTACTTTTATGTTGTATAATGAACGATAAATGACGTCACTAAAATGTTGTGAGCTTTGTGTTTCTTTTTCCTACTTTTATGTTGTATAATGAACGATAAATGACGTCACTAAAATGTTGTGGGCTTTGTGTTTCTTTTTCCTACTTTTATGTTGTATAATGAACGATAAATGACGTCACTAAAATGTTGTGAGCTTTGTGTTTCTTTTCTACTTTTATGTTGTATAATGAACGATAAATGACGTCACTAAAATGTTGTGAGCTTTGTGTTTTTCTACTTTTATGTTGTATAATGAACGATAAATGACGTCACTAAAATGTTGTGAGCTTTGTGTTTCTTTTTCCTACTTTTATGTTGTATAATGAACGATAAATGACGTCACTAAAATGTTGAGCTTTGTGTTTCTTTTTCTACTTTTATGTTGTATAATGAACGATAAATGACGTCACTAAAATGTTGTGAGCTTTGTGTTTCTTTTTCCTACTTTTATGTTGTATAATGAACGATAAATGACGTCACTAAAATGTTGTGGGCTTTGTGTTTCTTTTTCCTACTTTTATGTTGTATAATGAACGATAAATGACGTCACTAAAATGTTGTGAGCTTTGTGTTTCTTTTTCTACTTTTATGTTGTATAATGAACGATAAATGACGTCACTAAAATGTTGTGAGCTTTGTGTTTCTTTTTCTACTTTTATGTTGTATAATGAACGATAAATGACGTCACTAAAATGTTGTGAGCTTTGTGTTTCTTTTTCCTACTTTTATGTTGTATAATGAACGATAAATGACGTCACTAAAATGTTGTGAGCTTTGTGTTTCTTTTTCCTACTTTTATGTTGTATAATGAACGATAAATGACGTCACTAAAATGTTGTGAGCTTTGTGTTTCTTTTTCCTACTTTTATGTTGTATAATGAACGATAAATGACGTCACTAAAATGTTGTGAGCTTTGTGTTTCTTTTTCCTACTTTTATGTTGTATAATGAACGATAAATGACGTCACTAAAATGTTGTGAGCTTTGTGTTTCTTTTTCCTACTTTTATGTTGTATAATGAACGATAAATGACGTCACTAAAATGTTGTGAGCTTTGTGTTTCTTTTTCCTACTTTTATGTTGTATAATGAACGATAAATGACGTCACTAAAATGTTGTGAGCTTTGTGTTTCTTTTTCCTACTTTTATGTTGTATAATGAACGATAAATGACGTCACTAAAATGTTGTGAGCTTTGTGTTTCTTTTCCTACTTTTATGTTGTATAATGAACGATAAATGACGTCACTAAAATGTTGTGAGCTTTGTGTTTCTTTTTCCTACTTTTATGTTGTATAATGAACGATAAATGACGTCACTAAAATGTTGTGAGCTTTGTGTTTCTTTTTCCTACTTTTATGTTGTATAATGAACGATAAATGACGTCACTAAAATGTTGTGAGCTTTGTGTTTCTTTTTCCTACTTTTATGTTGTATAATGAACGATAAATGACGTCACTAAAATGTTGTGAGCTTTGTGTTTCTTTTTCCTACTTTTATGTTGTATAATGAACGATAAATGACGTCACTAAAATGTTGTGAGCTTTGTGTTTCTTTTTCCTACTTTTATGTTGTATAATGAACGATAAATGACGTCACTAAAATGTTGTGAGCTTTGTGTTTCTTTTTCCTACTTTTATGTTGTATAATGAACGATAAATGACGTCACTAAAATGTTGTGAGCTTTGTGTTTCTTTTTCCTACTTTTATGTTGTATAATGAACGATAAATGACGTCACTAAAATGTTGTGAGCTTTGTGTTTCTTTTTCCTACTTTTATGTTGTATAATGAACGATAAATGACGTCACTAAAATGTTGTGAGCTTTGTGTTTCTTTTTCCTACTTTTATGTTGTATAATGAACGATAAATGACGTCACTAAAATGTTGTGAGCTTTGTGTTTCTTTTTCCTACTTTTATGTTGTATAATGAACGATAAATGACGTCACTAAAATGTTGTGAGCTTTGTGTTTCTTTTTCCTACTTTTATGTTGTATAATGAACGATAAATGACGTCACTAAAATGTTGTGAGCTTTGTGTTTCTTTTTCCTACTTTTATGTTGTATAATGAACGATAAATGACGTCACTAAAATGTTGTGAGCTTTGTGTTTCTTTTTCCTACTTTTATGTTGTATAATGAACGATAAATGACGTCACTAAAATGTTGTGAGCTTTGTGTTTCTTTTTCCTACTTTTATGTTGTATAATGAACGATAAATGACGTCACTAAAATGTTGTGAGCTTTGTGTTTCTTTTTCCTACTTTTATGTTGTATAATGAACGATAAATGACGTCACTAAAATGTTGTGAGCTTTGTGTTTCTTTTTCCTACTTTTATGTTGTATAATGAACGATAAATGACGTCACTAAAATGTTGTGAGCTTTGTGTTTCTTTTTCCTACTTTTATGTTGTATAATGAACGATAAATGACGTCACTAAAATGTTGTGAGCTTTGTGTTTCTTTTTCCTACTTTTATGTTGTATAATGAACGATAAATGACGTCACTAAAATGTTGTGAGCTTTGTGTTTTTCTACTTTTATGTTGTATAATGAACGATAAATGACGTCACTAAAATGTTGTGAGCTTTGTGTTTCTTTTTCCTACTTTTATGTTGTATAATGAACGATAAATGACGTCACTAAAATGTTGTGAGCTTTGTGTTTCTTTTTCCTACTTTTATGTTGTATAATGAACGATAAATGACGTCACTAAAATGTTGTGAGCTTTGTGTTTCTTTTTCCTACTTTTATGTTGTATAATGAACGATAAATGACGTCACTAAAATGTTGTGAGCTTTGTGTTTCTTTTTCCTACTTTTATGTTGTATAATGAACGATAAATGACGTCACTAAAATGTTGTGAGCTTTGTGTTTCTTTTTCCTACTTTTATGTTGTATAATGAACGATAAATGACGTCACTAAAATGTTGTGAGCTTTGTGTTTTTTTTCCTACTTTTATGTTGTATAATGAACGATAAATGACGTCACTAAAATGTTGTGAGCTTTGTGTTTCTTTTTCCTACTTTTATGTTGTATAATGAACGATAAATGACGTCACTAAAATGTTGTGAGCTTTGTGTTTCTTTTTCCTACTTTTATGTTGTATAATGAACGATAAATGACGTCACTAAAATGTTGTGAGCTTTGTGTTTCTTTTTCCTACTTTTATGTTGTATAATGAACGATAAATGACGTCACTAAAATGTTGTGAGCTTTGTGTTTCTTTTTCCTACTTTTATGTTGTATAATGAACGATAAATGACGTCACTAAAATGTTGTGAGCTTTGTGTTTCTTTTTCCTACTTTTATGTTGTATAATGAACGATAAATGACGTCACTAAAATGTTGTGAGCTTTGTGTTTCTTTTTCCTACTTTTATGTTGTATAATGAACGATAAATGACGTCACTAAAATGTTGTGAGCTTTGTGTTTCTTTTTCCTACTTTTATGTTGTATAATGAACGATAAATGACGTCACTAAAATGTTGTAAGCTTTGTGTTTCTTTTTCCTACTTTTATGTTGTATAATGAACGATAAATGACGTCACTAAAATGTTGTGAGCTTTGTGTTTCTTTTTCCTACTTTTATGTTGTATAATGAACGATAAATGACGTCACTAAAATGTTGTGAGCTTTGTGTTTCTTTTTCCTACTTTTATGTTGTATAATGAACGATAAATGACGTCACTAAAATGTTGTGAGCTTTGTGTTTCTTTTTCCTACTTTTATGTTGTATAATGAACGATAAATGACGTCACTAAAATGTTGTGAGCTTTGTGTTTCTTTTTCCTACTTTTATGTTGTATAATGAACGATAAATGACGTCACTAAAATGTTGTGAGCTTTGTGTTTCTTTTTCCTACTTTTATGTTGTATAATGAACGATAAATGACGTCACTAAAATGTTGTGAGCTTTGTGTTTCTTTTTCCTACTTTTATGTTGTATAATGAACGATAAATGACGTCACTAAAATGTTGTGAGCTTTGTGTTTCTTTTTCCTACTTTTATGTTGTATAATGAACGATAAATGACGTCACTAAAATGTTGTGAGCTTTGTGTTTCTTTTTCCTACTTTTATGTTGTATAATGAACGATAAATGACGTCACTAAAATGTTGTGAGCTTTGTGTTTCTTTTTCCTACTTTTATGTTGTATAATGAACGATAAATGACGTCACTAAAATGTTGTGAGCTTTGTGTTTCTTTTTCCTACTTTTATGTTGTATAATGAACGATAAATGACGTCACTAAAATGTTGTGAGCTTTGTGTTTCTTTTCCTACTTTTATGTTGTATAATGAACGATAAATGACGTCACTAAAATGTTGTGAGCTTTGTGTTTCTTTTTCCTACTTTTATGTTGTATAATGAACGATAAATGACGTCACTAAAATGTTGTAAGCTTTGTGTTTCTTTTTCCTACTTTTATGTTGTATAATGAACGATAAATGACGTCACTAAAATGTTGTGAGCTTTGTGTTTCTTTTTCCTACTTTTATGTTGTATAATGAACGATAAATGACGTCACTAAAATGTTGTGAGCTTTGTGTTTCTTTTTCCTACTTTTATGTTGTATAATGAACGATAAATGACGTCACTAAAATGTTGTGAGCTTTGTGTTTCTTTTTCCTACTTTTATGTTGTATAATGAACGATAAATGACGTCACTAAAATGTTGTGAGCTTTGTGTTTCTTTTTCCTACTTTTATGTTGTATAATGAACGATAAATGACGTCACTAAAATGTTGTGAGCTTTGTGTTTCTTTTTCCTACTTTTATGTTGTATAATGAACGATAAATGACGTCACTAAAATGTTGTGAGCTTTGTGTTTCTTTTTCCTACTTTTATGTTGTATAATGAACGATAAATGACGTCACTAAAATGTTGTGAGCTTTGTGTTTCTTTTTCCTACTTTTATGTTGTATAATGAACGATAAATGACGTCACTAAAATGTTGTGAGCTTTGTGTTTCTTTTTCCTACTTTTATGTTGTATAATGAACGATAAATGACGTCACTAAAATGTTGTAAGCTTTGTGTTTCTTTTTCTACTTTTATGTTGTATAATGAACGATAAATGACGTCACTAAAATGTTGTGAGCTTTGTGTTTCTTTTTTCTACTTTTATGTTGTATAATGAACGATAAATGACGTCACTAAAATGTTGTAATTCGTCTTTCTTTGCAGATATGAGATTGCAGTTGCTGGATACCCAGAACAATTTCTACCTTCTTAAATCATTGTACGGATTATTAATGTTACTACCTCAAAGCGATGCGTTCACTACATTACGTCATCGTTTGGATTGCGTCCCTAATGGTAACGTTTTACTGACGTCACAGTCAAAGTGAGTTTACTTTGAGATTCAACTGTTTACTTGAAGGAATGTTATCTCTCTGTGCAAATGTGTTGTATGGGTTAGGGTTAGACGAGATTGAATTCTTTACTTGAAGTAATGTTATCTCTCTGTGTAAATGTGTTGTATGGATTCTAAATATGTGATTATGTTTTAGAGGGAACCTCGAAAGACGCGAACATGTTAAGAAACTTAACTTCACTTCATTACTTGAACAATTCAAAAATGTCCAAGGGAGACATGTCAATGAAAGATTTGGGAAAGATCCTCCATTAAACCATAGTTTAAGTTGATTTTTCCATACATGTCATGCTAGAATTTTGAACTGTATAAAATGTCAACAAAAGAGATTCTCATGAAAATTTGAATCCAATCACAAATATGTGGTACATCTCTCATCTAAATGAAGCAATTTTATTTAACTTTCATTGAACTACATAATATGTATATACAAAATATTCCTCTCAAGTTCAACAACACTTATTCAATGGTCTTTACGCTTCATGACATATCGCAAGCCACAGTAACCACAAATGTGAACACCATCTCTATCCTAAAACAATTATTATAAAAAAATAACTCAGGCACAGTTCTACTAGGGGTTAGACTCACACTTTTTTCAAAGATTAAGTTCTTACTAGTATTTTTATACTTTAGCATAACTCCTTAGGGGCAAAGTATGTGAAATGTCATAAATTTAGTAACAGCATGTTCAGACTGAGTGCCAAAGAATGACACCCTGGTCTGGGGTCAAATCTGCGGTCATTCACACAACGCAGTACCCACTAGCTTCATTTATAAATTAATTTCATGTTTTTCATTGTAAACAAGTTTTAAAACCATGTGCTGAGCACATGCCTCTTTGTACACATTACTCAGGTGTCGTCGTTGACATTGGTTCCCGAGCACCGTACTCGGGTACTACATCTTTTTATGGTGCCCAGACCCAGGTATTTTGACTTGGGCACCATCAAAATGTTGTGTCCACATTGGTGCCTGTGCCTAAGCACCATAAGGGGCACTCAGTCCAAATAAGATATAAGTCTTCAATTTAACATGCAGTGCATGTACCTACAATGCAACATGGCATTTAAGAAATGTATTTATATTTCAACTTACTAAGTTGATAAAAACCTTTGGATGACCTAGTGGACCACCGCCCCCATCACACCAAACAACTCTACCATCTACTTCAATTGGTGCTTCTTCATTGATTAAATCAATTGCAAATTGCTCGTTCACCTAAAACATAAGAATCAACTCGTAATCATACACTTGGTTTCCAAGGACTTTGTTTATTTTACGTACAGTTTTCATTCTGTTGGTAAATCTGACTCGCTTGTAGTCATCGTTTTCAAATACCTCAAAAAAAAGGAAAAGAATTGAAATTCATTAGCATCGCTTGATTGCAAGAATATAACAATAAATTATTTCTTTATTTATGCATTTATTTATTTAGCAGTTTTATAATGACCAAAAGAAATGAATAACAAAATTGCTAAAGCCTAAATAATTACAGATGATAGAGCATGGAAAGAAATAGCTAAAAAATGAAAAATATGCAAAAAAATTTAGCTTACTTGTCCAGTATGAGTGACAGTGTCTACTTTTGACAGATTTCTTGATGCTGCGGAGAGGTAGTGGCGAGCATTATTAGATAAAAGACCACTCCAAGATACTTTCCTTAAAACGGCAGCCATTTTGCTGATGTAATAAGTATTATTACATCAAGTAATTCACCAACCAAAGAGGAACGATAAGATGGCGGACAAGAAGCACAAAAAAAGACGTAAAGAAAGGAAGAAAGATAACGATAAGGATGAGACAGAGCTCTACAAACATTATGAAACATTGTAAAAAACTCGCTTTTTCCATTTTATCTTTTCTTTAACGAAAGTTTATGTTGATTTTTATTTTCTTTGTCTTCTAGTTATGAAGCAGCGCCCCCCGGATTTGTAAGGGTAAGATTAACGTTTTGTTCAAAATAGCTTTTTTCCTCGTTTTTTTAAGTTGTCATTTGCCTGCAATTCATTGCTAGGTTGAGGAAGCAAAACCTGAGGATTGTATTCCAGATCTTCCAGAGAATGAAAAGGCACGAGATTTTTTGTCAAAAGCACCAACAAAAGGATTATGGATGCCTCTTGGAAAGGAGGTGAAAGTCATGAAATGTGAGTAAACTCAAACAAGAAAAAGAGATTTTTTATGAATGTTAATATATATATACATGGTTGGACTGACTGTTTAGCTTTTGCACATAGGTTGGAGATGCAAGTCGTATGGCCATAGGACTGGAGATAAGGAATGTCCAATGTTTGTGTCTGGAAATCGAACTAGTGAAAAATTTAGAATGGTAGAGAATTCATTTTCAATAGAATGAATATAAACAAGAGTGCACCCCACCCCCCTCCCCCCGCAAAAAACCTGGGGCTCTATTTCTGCCAACTTATTTCTGTAGTGTACTGACACACTTCTTAACATGCATCCCTGAAGAATTTTGTATGAAATATTTGAATTTCTTGAAGGCACACGAAGACCCAATGCATGATTTCATTGTGGAGAAAAAGAAAACTGAAAAAGAACAGAGGTATGGTGAACTGTTCTGAAATAGGAAATTTGCTTTATTGAATGTCAATTTTGTAATATTTATTGTAGGATTGAGCAACTTAAGGCTTTGCTGGAAGAATCAACAACATCAGAAAGCGATTCAAGCTCTTCCGATTCTTCTACAAATTCCAGTGAAAGCGAGAGGAGGAGGAAGAAAAAGAGAAAACATTCAAAGCAACATAAGAGAAAAAATAAAAAGACTAAATACCACTCTAAGGAGTCTGACAGTGTTAGTAGGAAAAATAAAAGTAGACACAATCTCCCAGAACATCGAAAGAAGGAAAGAAGGGAAAGATAGAAAATTTTTGATAGTTTTATAAAGAAGGGATCGGGTTGATGTGCATGGATTAAAATACTATCCAAGATAATCTCTTTGTATCATTGTCAAGGCTGTCTTGAAAGCAAAATTTAACAAAGAGATTTTAATAAATATTTTGTGGAGAGGGCATACTTTTGAAATGCCCATCGACCGCCAGACCGCAAGCTTGTTTTTAACATCTTTTGATGACGTCCTTTTAAACATGGCTGCCAAAGGTGTCTTTTGCCCTACAACTCCTGCTTCTGTGATTTATGCTCAAAGCTGGCATGTTCCATCTTCCAAACATGCATCAAAAGATTGTTTTCCGAGTAGAAGGTGTTTTTTTTCTTTCTTTTGAAAATATTAACTTGGTTTGCATTCAGAATTTAAATATAGCTTTCTTGTTTCATGTTTCTTCAACTTTCTTGTTTCAGCAATAATCATGAAAAAGATTTCGTTAATTCGCCGTGGATTGTAAAACAAAAGAAAGTAAAAGCTTCCGTCAAACCAAAGGTAGAAATATTTCTTTAAATAAAACTAGTACTTAAAGTGTGTATGTTTTTTTTACAATTCTTTATATACTTTCGTTCAGACACATTCATCATTCAATCAATTTTCTCAGTTTAAACACTCGAAGTGGATTGAGAATCATGCTCTTCGAAACTACGATGTGCTTGGTGTGTAAAATTTACGTATACCATGCATATATTCATGTCTTACTTTTGAATATTTTTGTCACCTACAGATTCTGTAAATGAGTTAAAGTTCACATTGGTAAGAAAGATTAAATTGTACTTTTATGTATAATAAGCAGACGTCTGAAAAGGGGGAAAATTTTTCAATTCATTTTGCTTGAAGGAAATGTTCAAAAAACTAACCAATCAAGTTGAAGAGGTTGATGAACAACTGAACTCTCGACAAAAGATTTATACCTTCAAGGTAGTAAATGCATGACTGCGTGTTTTATCATTAACAGAGTTGACACACAAATTCATATTTTCTTGTTAGCATTTCATTACAAAAAACTATCATGAAGGCAAGATAGAGCTAAAGACACCAGAAATACCTATGACAAATGAAGATCACCAACCTTGCACTAACTTGGAGTTCAGAAAAGATCAAAAAAGGCAAACTTTTGAAAATATATTTTTCTTTGTAAAATAAATCTCAATTTGCAAATTTTTTCAGCAGGCTTAAAGTATTGCTCTTATGTTACTTTAGGCAATTGCCAATAAGAGAATGCTTCCAAAAAACTATCAAAACAAAACCAAAGAAGGGACCAAATCTCACTGAAAAAGGATTTTTGACACAAAACTCTTTTCCTGACAAACAGAATGAGGCAGTAAATTGTGATGAAAATAAGGGAAATTTTCAAGACTATGTTACTCAAATGAAGCATCTTGATGATGAATGTGCCTCACAAGACAACTTTAGTGATGCTGACTCCAAAACAAGTAGTATGTCCAGTGTTTCACATTCAAGTAATGAAGATGTCTACGATGGACTGAGCTATATTGATCCTGTTTATTATACCTTGGAGATGCAAAAATATCATGAGCATAGCAAAGAGCATGATACTACCAATGACAGCTACATTGATCCATTTATTAACAGATACTTGATCCTTCGTCAATTACAAACCGAAACTGTTAAGCAAGAGGTAGCAATAACCTTTCCGAGAGACCAAATTCACAAAAAGTTCCAGAAAAAGAACGATTTAGAAATTCCAGAAAATAAGTGTAAAACACAGACAAGGAACATCAAAAAGCCTAACAAATATGTCATGTGTGATTCTGGCATGGCAAAAGAAATAAATAATGGGAAAAGGTACATTAGGGGTATGGAATTTGGTAAAGCTTCACAGAAAACCAAGCAAAGTAAAGAAAACCAAGTCAGCACGACAAAAAATAATTCTCAAAAGAAAGGGGGGCACAATCTAGAAACAGGCAAACGAAGTAAATCACCAAAGACTAGAAAAGTGCAAAAACAGGTTGAAAGTTGTAAAATTTATCCATCACGCTATTTGCCCACAGCCATCACTTATGACATAGTAGAATTGGCCGAAACATTTGATCCCCCATGTAAAGAAAAGATAAAGATGAAAAGTAGACCTCTCACTGCAAAATCCGCTAAACACAAAGGTATGATTCCAGGAAAATCAAGGACATCTCAAAGACAATATTCCCTTACGTCTGGACAAAATGTGAGAGAGATATTATCATTTAAACTTTCTAATAATAGTCAGGATTCAAGTGCAAAGTCTGGTAGAAATGTCAAGCGATGTGCCAGCTCCAAGTTTTAAATTCTTTTAGGTACAGGTTATTTCACTAGTTTATGGTAGTTCTTATCAAAAGCATGAATCTCTCATAAAGCGGAAGTGAATATTTCAGAAGAAATAATAAGGCAAGTTACATCACTAGTTACTTTATTGAAATTAATAATTAAGCATACACATATTACAAGTCTGGTCATGATACAGTTATCCATTTAGAAAGTACAATTGGTTTTAGAAGTACAAACCAAGCAAAATCCTATAAATTCAACAAAATTATGAAGGCTATGTCATTGCTTCAGAAGTTCTTCAAGAATTCCTCTGAACATATTCTTGCTCTTGAATTAACAGCTAGTTTCATTTCGCTTATCTCCTTGTCAATATCCTCCATGAACTGTATCACAAAGTCGACTAACTTGTGCTTAAACATTTGCTCCGTATGGAAATTGGTGATGAGAAAACTTATATCGTAGCCTTCAACTGGCTTACGTCGTAAGATGAAAAAATGCTCTGCTCTTTGCATCATGAAACGCATGAATTTCTTGCACAAGATCTTCTCAATTTCATCAGCTTGCTTCACCGCAATACTCACGCGCATCGAGTTTATAGATCCCTCAATTAAGACTTTCTCTTTTTCATTTCGACTCACGACCAATGGTGTCAACAGCAATTCTTTACTACTCCTCACTTCGACTTCGGGTTTGTTGTGTCTCTCAACGACTTGCGAGTGAAAATTTTCAAGACACATTGCTGCTGTAAGCGTCGACCTTACAGCATTAAGGTACGGTTTCAATGTTGCGGCCATGCGGTAGAAAAGAAGCAGGAAGTCCAAGTTTTTACTGCAATTTCTCTAGTACCTTATCTACTACCACCTTCTTTTCCGGAATATAAGCACCTCCCTTGAGTACTTGCGTGCACCTAAATTTACGCGTACATCCGCTGGGTAACTGTTGTAAATGTTGGCAATCTTAAACAATAAGCAAAAAAGCATTTCCAAAAAATATTTACCATTCTCAAATAATGCACAAAAAGTAATGCGTATTTTACTTTACATAAAAAACACTAACATAAAATTTCGTAGCATAAGCAAAAATTAGCATTTCGTTCATTTGTTGTGTCTACCTGAAAATTGCAGTATATTGAACTGTACGTTGAAGCGCAGGCTCATGTACCAAAAGTTTGACGGAGTTGGCGAGGAGTAGAGCAAGTAGAATGAGTGCAAATTTCAACAATTTATTTGAAAATAAACGTTCTTTTACTGCATAAACATTTAATAAATAAACACCTAAGCCTTTTGGTATAGTCAATGTACGGAAAAAGCGAAATATTCCTTGTCTTGGTTGGACGACGACACGTAAAATGGCGATAAGATTTGTGGATGCAACTTATTTAGCTTTGACACGAATAAGCTTTCTGGTGACGGACCTCTCTAAAAAGAACTACAAATCAAGTATGGCTGAAATACAAAATGTAGGTTATAAAGATTGTCGTACAATCTCTTAATAATTATTACTTAAGTTCGCGAAATAACGGCGAGAGGAAGTGTTCGCCTTGCAAATTTTTCATTTAGCATTATTCGCCCATTTACTTGGTGAATTTTTTCAAATGCTTGCACTCATTTCGTTTGGCGATTAATGTAGATGTGCCAAATTGCCAGATAAAGGGTTGACATGATAACTCAAGGGTAAAGGCTTGCAACATGTGTTAGAAAAACATGCATAAACTTAGATACCTAAAGGACTGGGGCAACAATGATGCTTATGGAGTTATTGGACATTCCAGCATACTAAAGTGATGAAATCAATCAAACTTTGTAATAATCGCAGCATGCGGGGGAATTTCTCTGCTTTGTATTCATTTAATTCACATAAATCATTGCAGTTAGTGGATCAGTATGGTACTGAAGCAGAACGCCACAGATTTCGTTCATTGTTTTCTTCAATTGACTTCTCTGTTGAAGGCAAAGGTAGTGGAAAAGACTTTCAACAGGTAGAAATTTCATGACAGTAATCACATAAACGAGGAGTTTATCTACTTATAACGAACCCATCATATTTATTGTGTGTTGTCTATATTTTAAGGTTCAAATGCTTAGTCAAGAATGTCAGTCGTTGATTTGCAAAACAAATTTTGTGTCAATTATTTGTTTTGCACTAGAGAATCAAGAACAGTTTCAAAAGGTTATAGAGAGGGACACTTGTAATATCATTATAGAATGACATTTAAAATAATTTTTGATATTTGTAGTCCTTAAAGCCTTCCATTCATCTTCTCCCTCAAATAAGCAAGGTCCTGAAATTCAGTCGTGTGCAGGAGGTAATTTTCTATGCTAAAATATTTGACAATATGTATTAAATAATGTTCTGTTAACTGTGTTTGTGTTTTATTAATTATTATACTCTCATTCTTTGTTGAGGTTGTGTTTGGTTTAGCTTTGATGAAATCATCCAACGAAGAGCTTAGGAACTTTGGTATTGACATACCGTAGAGTCTTGAAAGTTGTCTCCTCCTGAAAATAACCTTTCCTTCAAAAGTAGTCCAGGGTTCGAATTAGTCATCTGACTAAGTCATCTTTTCAACACTTACTAAAGAATCATGAATGTAACTGCTCCCTTCCTTTCAAAAGTAACCACCCTCCATGTAGAAATTTTAAGAGCTTCATAACATTTATACTTCATTATCCAAATAAAATGTTCATGTATGCACTAGTGTCAACAACCAACAATCTTTCACAATTTTTAGCACATTAAAAATAGCCTTTATAAAATGTAGATTTAGTGTTAACCATTGGAGTTAAGTAATGCTAAATATAGCGACTCAAAACTAAGCACCTTTCAAAACTAAATGCCTCACCGAAAGTAGTCGGTCCATGAGGCCACTAATTTAGAAAGTAGTCTGTGTGGCTTCTTTCAACATTCTACAGTAGCCTATGCAGCTACTTTGAAGATACTACTGTAGCCTATGTGGCTATTTTCAAGATTCTACTGTAGCCTGTACAGCTACTTTGAAGATTCTACTGTAGCCTTTGCAGCTACTTTGAAGATTCTACTGTAACCTATGGGGCTGTTTTCAAGATTCTACTGTAGCCTTTGCAGCTACTTTATGATTCCACTGTTGCCTGTGCAGCTACATTCAATCTTCTACCGTACTCTAGTTTTATGAATGATAAATTTCTGATTCTTAAACCACACTTACCCTTTTGTATGTAGCTGGACTATTTGTCAAGCAAAAGCTACCAGATCTTCTACGTTCCTACATTGATTCAGGTTGGTTAAGAACTTCAGAAACTTCACTCTCAACTCGTGAAAGAATCATAATTATGTTTGCATTTCTTTTCTTACATATAGATGTTGGAGGTGGTCTAGAAGGAGGTCTTACGGATGTTGCAATTGAGGTCCTTCATGTCCTTCTTACGTACTTGCTATACACACCTCAGAAAGAGGTTGGTATTGGTGAAGATCAGAAGCAAGCTTTTCTTACTACTCTGAGAAAAGGTAGGAACATAATCAATTGTAATAAATATGAAGATGTCAAATTATGCAATGCAATGACTTTATGGATCAATTTCCTCATCACAAACAACTTTTCCAGTCCTGCCTGTTGTTATAGTACAAAAACATTCAACTTGTCCAATTCACTCTTGACTGATGTTTTTCAGTTACAGTCAACAACCCACACTGTATTGTAAAAAAAACCTAATGAAAATTTTTTTGGTGTTATTTTCAAAATTTCCTACGTCAAAAGTGATTTGGGTTTTGCCAAAAAATGTACTGTCCTTTATCTCATTATGTCTCCTATCTCATATGCTATGGTGTTTCCATTTTTATATGAAGATTTCCCAAGCGAGCGGGTACCCGTTGTTTTGGCTCCTTTACTTTATCAAGGAGTTCATGATATGTCATTAAATCGGTAGGTAAACAACTCTATGATGCATTCAGTATTTCATTTCATTGATATTGGAAATTATCACTGCATTTAGACTACATAAAGTATTGCAGCACAAGCCTTAGCTTTGGCAATTGGACTGTTTTCACTTCCTTGCTAATTTTTTCTATTTTGGGGACTCTTTTCCAATGCAGAATCTTGATGTTTAATGCTCATCGCTTTTATTCTATAAATTGCAGTTATAATGAAGGATTTTTTATTTTGTCCTCGGTAAAGCATATTATGTTTCTTGAATTGTGAATATTTTTTGCTAACCTCCTGCACCCAAAATTTTAGTTATCCTATGTAAATGTTAAGGAATTTATTGTGGGGGCTTTATCTTGCCTAAATGAATGATACTAATGATTTGAAATATACATAGTATGATCAATTTAGCTGACTATGGCACTATCCTGGTACCTATTATTCATCTTTATAGACTGTTGACTGTTGCGCAAAAATCATATAACTTTTCCAACAGAAACGATTTTATTAACCTTTGGAAATGTTTATGATTGTACGTTGATATAAGTTGTACGTTGATATAAGTTGTTCGTTGATGTAAGTTGTACGTTGATATAAGTTGTACCTTGATGTAAGTTGTACCTTGATATAAGTTGTACGTTGATATAAGTTGTACCTTGATATAAGTTGTACGTTGATATAAGTTGTACCTTGATATAAGTTGTACCTTGATATAAGTTGTACGTTGATATAAGTTGTACGTTGATATAAGTTGTACGTTGATATAAGTTGTACCTTGATATAAGTTGTACGTTGATATAAGTTGTACGTTGATGTAAGTTGTACGTTGATATAAGTTGTACCTTGATATAAGTTGTACGTTGATATAAGTTGTACGTTGATATAAGTTGTACCTTGATATAAGTTGTACGTTGATATAAGTTGTACGTTGATATAAGTTGTACCTTGATATAAGTTGTACCTTGATATAAGTTGTACGTTGATATAAGTTGTACGTTGATATAAGTTGTACGTTGATATAAGTTGTACGTTGATATAAGTTGTACCTTGATATAAGTTGTACGTTGATATAAGTTGTACGTTGATATAAGTTGTACGTTGATATAAGTTGTACCTTGATATAAGTTGTACGTTGATATAAGTTGTACGTTGATGTAAGTTGTACGTTGATATAAGTTGTACCTTGATATAAGTTGTACGTTGATATAAGTTGTACGTTGATATAAGTTGTACCTTGATATAAGTTGTACGTTGATATAAGTTGTACGTTGATATAAGTTGTACCTTGATATAAGTTGTACGTTGATATAAGTTGTACGTTGATATAAGTTGTACGTTGATGTAAGTTGTACGTTGATATAAGTTGTACCTTGATATAAGTTGTACGTTGATATAAGTTGTACGTTGATATAAGTTGTACGTTGATGTAAGTTGTACGTTGATGTAAGTTGTACGTTGTTATAAGTTGTACGTTAATATAAGTTGTACGTTGATATAAGTTGTACGTTGATATAAGTTGTACGTTGATATAAGTTGTACGTTGATGTAAGTTGTACGTTGATGTAAGTTGTACGTTGATATAAGTTGTACGTTGATATAAGTTGTACGTTGATATAAGTTGTACCTTGATATAAGTTGTACCTTGATATAAGTTGTACGTTGATATAAGTTGTACCTTGATATAAGTTGTACGTTGATGTAAGTTGTACCTTGATATAAGTTGTACCTTGATATAAGTTGTACGTTGATATAAGTTGTACGTTGATGTAAGTTGTACGTTGATATAAGTTGTACGTTGATATAAGTTGTACCTTGATATAAGTTGTACCTTGATATAAGTTGTACGTTGATATAAGTTGTACCTTGATATAAGTTGTACCTTGATATAAGTTGTACCTTGATATAAGTTGTACCTTGATATAAGTTGTACCTGGATATAAGTTGTACGTTGATATAAGTTGTACGTTGATATAAGTTGTACCTTGATATAAGTTGTACGTTGATATAAGTTGTACCTTGATATAAGTTGTACGTTGATATAAGTTGTACGTTGATGTAAGTTGTACGTTGATGTAAGTTGTACGTTGATGTAAGTTGTACGTTGATGTAAGTTGTACGTTGATATAAGTTGTACGTTGATATAAGTTGTACGTTGATATAAGTTGTACGTTGATATAAGTTGTACGTTGATATAAGTTGTACGTTGGTATAAGTTGTACGTTGATATAAGTTGTACGTTGATATAAGTTGCACGTTGATATAAGTTGTACGTTGATATAAGTTGTACGTTGATGTAAGTTGTACATTGATATAAGTTGTACGTTGATATAAGTTGTACGTTGATATAAGTTGTACGTTGATATAAGTTGTACGTTGATGTAAGTTGTACGTTGATGTAAGTTGTACGTTGATATAAGTTGTACGTTGATATAAATTGCACGTTGATATAAGTTGTACGTTGATATAAGTTGTACGTTGATATAAGTTGTACGTTGATATAAGTTGTACGTTGATATAAGTTGTACGTTGATATAAGTTGTACGTTGATATAAGTTGTACGTTGATGTAAGTTGTACGTTGATATAAGTTGTACGTTGATATAAGTTGTACGTTGATGTAAGTTGTACGTTGATATAAGTTGCACGTTGATATAAGTTGTACGTTGATATAAGTTGTACCTTGATATAAGTTGTACCTTGATATAAGTTGTACGTTGATATAAGTTGTACGTTGATGTAAGTTGTACGTTGATATAAGTTGTACGTTGATATAAGTTGTACGTTGATATAAGTTGTACGTTGATGTAAGTTGTACGTTGATATAAGTTGTACGTTGATGTAAGTTGTACGTTGATATAAGTTGCACGTTGATATAAGTTGTACGTTGATATAAGTTGTACCTTGATATAAGTTGTACCTTGATATAAGTTGTACGTTGATATAAGTTGTACGTTGATGTAAGTTGTACGTTGATATAAGTTGTACGTTGATATAAGTTGTACGCCGTGATTTTGATCACGTGTTTCGATTCATCACATTTTGATTTTCTTTTCGTACTCGAGGTCTTGTTCAGGGATTTATATGGAAACGTGTATCATTTTGCGAAAGCACTTTATAAGCTGTACTCTTAAAGACGAATCGTCTTTCCCACATCTTCATATGTCTTTATTCACATCAGAATCACAGCCCGAAATCTTAAGCTGAACGATGAGAGAGCGAACTCTTATATTTTGCAGTGCAAACGAAACTTGCATGGTTGCATGGTCAATTTTATGATTTAGTAAAAAAGTGCAACATCTGGCAAAATCTGTTACCCAAACAGGAGTGATTTTTTATGGTGGTCGTGAACCAGTGGGTTAAAACGGCATTCCTAAAATGTTGTGCATATTGTAGGCCGATTCTATAAAATCATCATAAGCTAGAAAATCATCAGTCAGAATTAGTTACAATGCAACTTACATGCAACGTCTTCCTACTTAATACAACACATCGGGAGTGAAGGTAACCTTTTTTCCAACACAACTAATCCTTCCACCTTCCTAGGAAAATCTGCCGCCCTCCTATAAGGGCGAGCATACATTTTGTCTTGAAATGATGTTTCTTTCAAATTGTTGATTAGCCAATCGGAGTTTTTGGTTGTGACAAGACTTTACTCAAGTTTTCATTTTTTAGATTTAGTCTTGAAAGCTCACCCGTGCCTAAGTTGATGGTAATGGAAATGTGGATTGCTACCTTCGCATCTTCTTGCGCCAAAGGAATAATTTTTTTTATTTATTTTCAAGATGGAAGATGACATGAGCAAATTAATGCACGAAGTCGGTTACTTGTGTTGTTCAAGGTTTCTTTTCTTACATTTTATGATCATTCAGTAACAAAAATAAATTTGTACTTACGTAAAGAGCTTATTTATCTTTTCTCTGCAGCATGCAGGAGTGTAAAGAGATCGTTGGTCAATTTTACAAGTCAAATGTTACTCCAATGTGTATTGCCAAGGTTCTAGGTAAGGCATCGCGTTGTACGTTGCCAAGGTTATAAGAAAGACATTGCGTTATGCATTGCCAAGGTTATAAGAAAGACATTGCGTAATGCGTTTCCAAGGTTATAAGAAAGACATTGCATTGTGTCTCGTGAATTGCCATTAAGGTTCTAGATGAGACGCCGTTTGTTTTTCCTTACAGTATCAGTTTTATGGAAAAAATTCATTTTGCTAATAACTTGTAGAAATGGTGAACATTTTCTACCTTGTAATACTTTAAATAACTCTGTATCTTTGTTTAGGAATGATGGCAAGGACCGTTTCAGGTCTTGGAGAATCTCTCTCGTTACAAGTAAGAAACTTTCATTTAATGAATAATTGGATTAATTTTTTCTTCGAAACTTTACGCACATTTGATGGATGTCGAAAGTTCGCATCAGTGTCCGGGTGGTCGAATTGGCTTCATGCAAGTACAGGCATGTTTATTTAAAGGGGTAGTCTTCCTGTTCTAATAAGTTCAATGGTTATACATTAGATACTATAGTTTAAACTTACCGGGGGCTGTTTGATTACGCTTTCTGAAGTTCATTATACTATAAGTGCAAATCTGTGTTGAATTTCGATTATAAAAATGGCGTGGCTTGTCAGATAATTAGCAATCATTTGCTACGAAGCCCATGAATTGATTCGTTCGTTATGCATTAAACAGCAAATGAGAGAGTAATGTTGTAAGAAATATCAATTTAATTAAAGATGTATAAAATACGGTTAAGGTTGCTATTGTTACAGAAGCTGTTTGCAATTTGATAGTCTCCTAGGTTATTATAGTTTATTTTATGAGAAATAAAACAAAAGACGTGGCATTTTTGATTGAAACTTTGCGCTATCCTCGAATCCTTATATAGTTAACAATTAACAATAGCAAACAATAGAGATGTAGCAATTAACAATTAACAATTAACAATTAGTTAACAGTTAACAATAGCAAACAATAGAGATAGCAAATAACAATTAACAATTAGTTAACAATTAACAATAGCAAAGAATAGAGCTGACAATTAGCAATTAACAATTAACAATTAGTTAACAATTTCCTTATTCCTATTCATTTGTTGAGCAGACATCGGTGAACGTTATCACGCCAATGGAGTTAAAAAACCCCGAAGAACCATCAACAGGTCCTAGCACATGGAACGTGGAAGTATTTGTTCAAACTGTCAAAGATTTGGTGTGTTTACATTGTTGTGTGTTTTTCCTATTGCGTTATACATACATTGATCTTTCTTCCTCTTATCTCTTTTTTTCTTTGATGTGAACAGCTTCCAGAGATGAATTGGAAACAAGTGATTTCTTGTTTGGATCATTCTGGATTCTTCATCAGCACTGTGGAAGCTCTGCGCCTGATAGTCACAGCCTGTCAAAAAGGATTACATGAAGTATTTCCGATTGAGGTTCTTTATCGACCCTGGTCTAACACTCGTGGACAGGTTTGCAGTCATGTTACTATTCTATAACCTCGCGATGTTGTGTAGCATCGGTTACGTATATACGCTAGGTGCTTGTATGTCTCTTTCCTCTCAGTTGTCTTGGATCCAGCAATCATTAATAAATCCGGATGTCTTCTGTTTTGCTGACTATCCTTGTCATACAGTTGTTATTGATATTCTTAAATCGCCTCCCGAGGATAACAATAAAGAGATCTTGACATGGTGAGGTTTTGCCTGTGTAGCTGCACAGTTTACGAGTTTGACAATAAATCTTATATTTTAATTTGATTTGTTTAGGCAATCATTGAGTCTTGTAGAGACATTACTTCGACTAGCTGAATGTGGTCATTACGATGCAGTGAAATCCTTGTTTGATTTTCCCATCAAGCATTGTCCTGATGTTTTACTCTTAGCCTTACTTCAGATAAACGTACGTAAGATACGTTTATCATCAATGTACTTGTTTACTACTGTATATTGATTGTGCTACCTTGATTGTTTAGCCCCAATGGCAAATATTAAAGTTCGATCTAGCCTCTGTACTTATTCCAATGTTTCTTGCAAATCATCCCAACTCTTTATGTGTTCTACATCATGTATGGCATGGTCAGGTTAGGCTGCATCCTTTATTCTTTTTGAATGTTTTCTTTAAATAATTATGTACTTGAAAAGGAATCGTTTGAACTTTTGTACACCTCGCAAAAAGCTCTTGTCTCTTAAGGGTCAATCTTCTCCTGCCATTCGACATCTTGTTGTTCAAGCAATGGCTGACTGCTACATGAAAGGCGATCAAATGGATCTGTCGCGAATACTTGACGTTGCCCAAGATTTAAAGGTTTGTTTTTGAACCTTCTTTCCTCGTCCTATTAATCTTTTTAAGTTTAAGTAAAAAAAGTTGTCATCGTCAACAATCTGTAATAATTGCTCTGAAAACCGCACATTGTTTGGTTCACCAAAGTCGGATGTATTTTTATTTTACTAATCACTTTGAAGGCTCTTTCTATCTTACTGAACGGTTCAACCTTTGCGTTTGTTATTGATCTGGCTGCGTTGGCGTCACGTCGGGAATATCTTAAACTGGACAAATGGTTGAATGACAAACTTCGTGAACATCATGAAGATTTTGCTGTTGCTGTTGTTGATTTCTTAAAAAGACGCTGTCCACATTTGGCAGGCATTATTCCCGAGAAAGAGTTGCCTAAGAGTGCACAGTTACCCCAAGAAACTGTAAACACAATGTTATCGTGTCTGCAGGTTTATTCAGGGTAAGCAGGTGTATTAGGGATAACCAGGTATATTTAGGGTAAGCAGGTATATAAAGGGTAAGCATGTATATTAACGGTAAGCTAAGTATATTGGAGGTAAGCAGGTTTTTTAATTGTAAGCTAATAATATTAGGGGTGAGTAGGTATATAAAGGGTAAGCATGTATATTAAGGGTAAGCCAAGTGTATTAGGGGTAAGAAGGTATATTAAGGGTAAGCTTAGTACATTAAGGGTGATAATGTGGAGTTACTACGTTTGTTTTACTGAACAGCAAAGAAACAAAGGAAGTATATGATTCACAAATACGAATTTACATTTTTGGTTTGTACATATTTGATCTTCATTTTATTCAGTACGCGTCTGAAGAAGTTCCATCGGAATAGATGTAGTTTTCTACAAGTGCACGTGTTTTTTTTTTCCTAACTGATCTAAGCCTCTCATTTCATTATAAAGACACGTGACCTTGGAGTTAAATGAAGAGATAAAACAAATGATATCTCGTCATGGTCCAATTCTGAAATCCAGGCAGCCATCTTTAAGTGTTCCTCTATCATCGTTGTCAAGGCAGACAAGCCGTGATCCCGCACTTCCAACACAGGTAATAAAGACATTCAATGTCTCAATACGCTCTCATTTACGAATGATTAACGTTGCCTTGATTAGTCGAATTCGTATATTATCAATTTTAAATTTCTCAACGTAGATGATTATTGTATTTTTTTTCAATGAAATTTCCCGCCATTATATCATGATACGCAGTTTAAGCATAATCAACCTAGAAGCTACTGTGTATTTTGTATTAACTATTGGAGCTAACGTTTTTTTATAGATGGACTCTTTTGCTGGCCTAAATTTTTCATCGGGTCCCATTCCTCCGACACCTACAACCCCATCACAGCTACCAAATTTCCCGCCGCATCCTCTATCGAGTGGTGGTGGATTGGGCACTATCGGTCTTGGTTCCGCCATTGGTCAAGCGCCTTCGAAATCATTGTCTCAATTAAGTGCAGGTGGTATTGTAACTACGAAATGATGAACATTTGACGTCAAAAAATAGTTCCTAATCGTGAAATTTTTCTATCCAGGATTATCGAGTAGTGGGGGTAATCCTCTTCTTCAACAATTGCCTGTTGGATTTTCGAACGACAACTTTCAATCTCTCGGTGTTAGCAGTTCGACGTCAAGCTTTACTTCCACCAAACCTATGGGTTCGTTTTCCTCACAACCTACACAGACAACTGGACAGACGCAGCAACAACGTTTGCAGGCTGAGAAACTTCGTCAAAGTGAGTTGTTTGAACTAATCCTTTCAGCCACGATGAACTAACTTTTGTACAAACACGTGACATTACGTCATTTGCAGCTTCCGCCGGCAACGATATAACGGCAGTTTTGCCTGGCGTAAATCAATCGTTCTCCAGTGAAGTTGAGAGCGAAGCAAACTCGTACTTTCAGAAAATTTATAATCAACCACCTAACCCAACTATGACCATTGACGAAGTCTTGGAAATGCTAAAGAAATTTAAAGATTCCTCGTCGAAAAAGGAAAAGGCGAGTTGTGTGGAAACACGCTTTCCTCGGTCTATCAGATTCTTATTATTATGTGATGATCCATTAAACAGGAGGTGTTTCTTTGTATGCTACGTAATCTGTTCGAAGAATATGGTCACTTTCATAATTATCCTAACAGAGAACTGCATACGACCGCTTGCCTCTTTGGTGGTATCATTGATCAAGGCCTTGTTACGTAAGTAGTTGTAATGTGCATTTCATGAACGGTATATAAGATCCTATTATGTTTTATAATTATAGTGGACAATTTAAAACTACAAAATCTACTTATATTGAGTATACTTTACTTTGTTGTTTGATGTTTTTTCGATTACGATTCACTTTGTGTGTGTACAATAGTCCATACCAGCCACCCGCTGGACTGAGATGGTTCCCCCCCCCCGTTCTTTATCAAAACATTGAATTGTTGTCTGTGGATGGATGGGGGGGGGCGTGCTCAAGTTAATTTGTGCTAATGTGCTCTTCCGTCAAGGTTTATGGCTTTGGGAATTGCGTTACGATATGTACTTGACGCCCTACGAAAACCATACCAAAGTAAAATGTATTTGTTTGGTATAACAGCTCTCGACAGGTTTCGAATGAGGTGAGTTACTTCGTCAATGTGACATGTTGCTTGGGTACTAAACCTGACTTTTAATGAAGCAAGAAATCTTTAAAGATTTGTTTCAGTAAAAGCTTTTCTTCCAATTAACATGAACATATTTTAGAACACATTGTTGAATGACATTTCGAAGTTAAATATTATAACTTCCATTTCTTTTTTCTACAGATTAAAAGATTATCAACATTATTGTCGACACTTGGCGTCCATACCTCATTTCAACGAGTTTCCTTCTCACCTCATCCAGTTTATTGAATATGGAATTCAATCAATGCAGCCTCCACTGAGCGGTCGCTCTTTACAGGTATATTCCCGACCAATCAACTCCCTTGATGAGCCAACCAATCAACTTCCTTGATGAACAATTACATCATCGAATTATGTTTGTTTTTTTATTTAAGTATTGATATCTTTGTTGCTCTTACAAATTACATGATTATGTTGTGGTAATATTACCTTGTAGGAAACAACAATGACGAACTATTTTGGCAGAGTAAGTTCATCGACTGTCTCCGATACTCTCACAACCTCCAGTGCAGCTGCTGTTACTACTTCAGCACTAACGTCCAGTACATCAGAAGCGTCGAAACAATTTTCTCTGTCGACTGGAAGTAAGTTTCATCGTGACACTTGCAGTCAGAGGCGGCAAGTGTATTTATTTCCCACCATTCATAATGTCTATTTTACATCAAGATTTATTCATATGATATGTTGCTTCATGTTATTGTAGTGTCCTCCAGCGGAAATGCCAGGAAAGAACCATCAATTGCAAACGCTAGTAATATCGATACTCTTCTTGGAGCGTCAGAAAAATCCGAACTTGCTCAACCGTCTGAATCTATTCAAGATAAAGTTCACTTCATCTTTAATAATATTTCAAGCAGCAATTTAGCACAAAAGGTAATTGGTTATTGCAGTATTTAACTACGTTTTTCTAACATTAACATTTGTGATCAATATAAGTGTTCTAGTGATTGCCTAAAATCTTGTTTGAGTGAACAAACGTTTTCATTTTGTCATCTTGGATAGTGGCGTCAATTGAATGTCGAAATGGGGACCATAGTCATGCAGTCTGCTTTGTCAGTCTGACATCGTTTTCAAAATAAATTAGCCAAACACAGCAGAATACATGAATAAGACTTCCACCCCTCCCTCAACTAACGTTGGATTGACTCCAGTAAATTGGTATAAAATTTATATAAAAAATATCAAGCGTTGATACGATGTTCCCGCACTAACTGTAAACATAGGTACTTGAACTTATAGCCTTCTTTATCTATGTTTCATAGGGAGACGAACTGAAAGACGCCGTAAAAACTGAGTATTTTCCCTGGCTTGCTCAGTATCTTGTCATGAAACGCGTCAGTATTGAACCAAACTTCCACGATCTTTATGTCAAATTTATGGAAACATTGAAATGGAAGGAATTATATCAGCTTGTTTTACAAGAAACTTATCGAAATATCAAGGTTCGTCTTTCCTTTTTCCGTTCATCAAGTACCTTTCGCGCGATGCTATAAGCTTTACGATAGGTTGTGAAATGTCACGGGGGTGATGTTAAGTTTTGTTATTGTTTTTCAGAAGATTTCCACTGAAAAAGACCCGTGTTTCACTTTTTTGTCATTTTTATAATAACGTTTTGTCTTCATCTATAATTCTCGTCGTTTTTTCTTTGTTCAGGTTTTACTGCAATCAGACAAAGTTCCTGCAAATTTCTCCGATAGATCTTTATTGAAAAACCTCGGTCATTGGTTGGGGCTTATGACGCTGGCTCAAAACAAACCTGTCTTGATGAGGGTGTGTGTGTTTTTAACTAGAATTTTCTGACGGAATGTTGAGCTTAATAATATCGTTGTCAGAGGTGGATCTAGAGTACGTCAAAATAAATTACTGCAGCACATTTTGGGGGTATATTTACATTTCTAAACACCTCAGACGCTAATCCATTGGTAAGATTATATTTTTTAGAAGTTGAAAACCAATAGTGTTTTTCTGAATGTAATTTGAATTTAAAATGGGGGAGCTCTAATTTATGTTGACGTACACTGGATCCGCCTTTGGTCGTTGTTTTCCGTTTCCGTCTATTGACACTTATGTTCTGAGTGGAAAAAAGTGTTTTGTCACGTGTTTAGAACCTGGACGTGAAATCGCTTATTATCGAAGCATTTTTCAAAGGGCAACAGGTTTGTCATTTCATTAGTAAATGTTTCTTATTACAAGTTTGACGCTTTCTTAATACAGCTATGTATTATGTTTCTAGGAAATGTTGTACGTTGTTCCCTTTGTTGCAAAAATCATGGAAGGATGTGCTAAGAGTAGGGTATGTTATCATGTCATCATGTTGTTTTGTATCACTGTGTGAAAAACTGTCTTGTTTGTTTCTCAAATATTGACTTGAACATTGACCTTTTATTCGGTGTAGGTTTCATGTAACGATTTAACTATGTAACATTTCCATGACTGTTATTGTCTACTTGCATAATGATTTAACTATGTAACATTTCCATAGCGACTGTTATTGTCTACTTACTACTTTATTATAAACATAATATCTCAGATATTCAAACCTCCTAATCCTTGGGTAATGGCAGTTATGGGTGTTCTTGTTGAATTGCATCAAGTTCCAGACCTGAAGGTAAATATATGTACAGCATTAATGTGTACTAAGATATCCATGAATACATATATGTACTGCATTAATGTGTACTAAGATACCATGAATAAATGTATGTACAGCATTGATGTGTATTGAGATAGCCATGAATGAATATATGTACAGCATTGATGTGTACTAAGATATCCATGAATAAATGTATGTACTGCATTAATGTGTACTAAGATATCCATGAATAAATATATGTACTGCATTAATGTGTACTAAGATATCCATGAATCGATATATGTACAGCATTGATGTGTATTAAGATGTCCATGAATAAATATATGTACTGCATTAATGTGTACTAAGATATCCATGAATAAATGTATGTACAGCATTGATGTGTATTGAGATAGCCATGAATGAATATATGTACTGCATTATTGTGTACTAAGATATTTACGAATATTGATGCCTGTTTTCTCCGTTAACCATGGGTAGTTCAAATGTGTATTAATAAATCCTTATCTAAAGTGTAGATGTAAAACATGATGGTATTTTTGAGTGTTATTTATTATTTAGCTCAATCTTAAATTTGAAGTCGAAGTTTTATGCCACACATTGGGTATTGACATGAAGGTAGGAACTTCAATATGAAACTTGTACAAAGTATCTCAATAAGTCATAGGTTAAGGATTATTTTTTAAAAAATAAGCACAACATTCTTATTGTATTTACAGGAAGAAATAACTCCAACTACTTTACTAAAGGATCCCGAGAAATTGAACCGCATAACTCATCAGTTATCGTCACCTGACAAAGATCGACTGACAGGTCCATCTTTTCCAACCCAGGCCCCACCAAGTACTCCTCCTCCTCCCCAGTACTCTTATCAAGAGATCAACGTCTCGTCATTGGCGGGACTTGCTGCTCATATTAAAATCAATCCCCAGGTATCACAAATGTTCAATAATGTGTCGATTTTTTGAATAAGAACGAATAGAGTGTTCTATAAATAGTTGACTAAGTTGGAGGGTTGGCTTGGATGTCCTAAATATCTTATCCTCGATAGTTTAAATCACATTGGAATCTTATATTGTGTGTGCTTTTAACCCGTAGATTGCTCTGTTCCAACAACAACCTCAATTGCGACAATACGTTCGTCCAGCCATAGATAGAGCTGTCCAGGAATTGATCCATCCAGTCGTAGAAAGATCCATCAAAATTTGTTTGACAACCGCTGAAATGATCGTAAAAAAGGTCCAGTTTTTCTCTATCAAATCTATTTACTTTTAGCATATTTTATCATTCACAAAACATTCCCAAAGTTTAGTTTTCTCACCTATGAAATAGTTTGTATTTATTCGTTTGCCTTTATGCTTTACGCAGGATTTTGCACTTGACCCGGACGAGTCTCGCATGAGGGCGGCTGCCTACGGTATGGTCCGATTTATGACTGCCGGAATGGCGTTGATCACGTGTCGTGAGCCATTGAATGTCAGTATTAATAACAACTTAAGGACAGCTTTAACGGCTGCCATGAGGGTAAGGGAAAGAGTGACTGTAACTGGGGAAGGAAGTTGTTGAATATATTTGAATTTCTTTTCTATCATAGGGTGCAACATCTCAGCAGAAAGAAGCGATTGACAGCGCAGCTCAAGTTATCAGTGAAGAAAACACGGAGCTAGCATGTACTTTCATTCAAAAGACAGCAGTGGAAAAAGCCCTTCCCGAGATGGATAAACGACTCACATCCGTAAGTAAACGATCAACATTATTCATTGGAAAATTGGAAAGTATTTTTGGAACAATATAACTTTGGATGCATGACTTTCACAGTTAGTTTGCGCTCGAGGAATTTTTCTTGTTTTTCAGGAGTTCGAGTTGAGACGTCATGCTCGTAGTGAAGGTCGACGTTATTGTGATCCCGTTGTGTTGACTTATCAAGCGGAGAGAATGCCAGAACAAATTCGATTAAAGGTAACATCAGAGGAACCGACCTCTTCAAAATAATCTTCCTTGAAAATTTTATCATTCTGGCATTTCGTTTTTTCATCAAGTGTGAGGTCTGTATAATAAATTATCTCGAGAAAGTTTTTCACCAGCGTTTTTAAAGAGCGAGGTCGGTGCTAAAGGACTGACGTCTGATGAGAAACGGACAGTCTGACCATGCAATGTCACATATAAGTACATTGTAGTCATATAATTCATCTCTTAGTGTAACTGTATTGTCTTTCATGGATTGTTTCGTAGGTTGGTGGTGTGACGCCCAATCAAACGGCTGTATTTGAAGAGTTTGCTAAGACCATCCCAGGTTTTATTACACCCAGTCCAGAAGACAATCTAACCGCTCAAACGTCGTTTGCCAACACTAGGTCTATCTTTGAACAAAGTATACATTCAAGTGAGGTATGGAATGGTTGATTTGCGAACAGGAAACTGTTTGTCAATATGTCGAGAGTCTTGTATTACGTAAAAACTTCCCAACTATACTTTTGTTCGTGATTATTTATTAGTCTTTACATTTTTCTTCCTAGCCAACGATTATATCCGATGACATTGCCCAGATACTTGGCAAATGCTCTGCAGAAATCGAGCACTACTTACACACCATGAATTTGACTCAAAGCAGTCCACATGGTTTAGCTATCATTGGCTTACTTGACGTCCTTGTTAGTGCTAGAACTTCAAGAGATGGTGCCTCGCTTCTCCGTGTTGTTCACAAGGTTGAGAAGGGAGGGGAGGGTCAAATACATTGCTCATACATCTTCCTTACATTTTGTGGTGTTCATTTGTTTCCAGGCTGTGAAAGGCTTGCTCGAAGGACTCAATCCAATACCGAGCGACACGGAGTTCGCTTTAAGATACAGAGATTGTCATCTGGTCGTTTTGCGAGGTCTTCAGGATCCTCGTGCTTGTGGTCCTCACTGGACGGGAAAATACGTGACCAAGTAATGACGTTTTATTTGAATTTTGTAAACTGTTCTGTTCTGATCTAGTATTCTCGTCGTAAGATAGCGTTTAGTTGTGGCAGACATCTTTATTAAATTCAATTTTCCTTGTATTTTAAAACTTTAGTTAAGGTAAACGAAAAGCAATGAGGAGACGGTTGTGCTCCTTAAAATAGATATATTCTTGCCGTAATACAGAAATGATTTACGGATGATATATATTGCTTTGCACGTGATAGGTTCGTGTGTGAGTGTCCTCCTGATGTGAAATTCAACGTCGATGTTATTGATATCTTGATTAGAAGTCGTCTTATAAACATGAGAGAGTTTGATGTCTATCTGGCACAGGTATTGTTGTCTTAAGATAGACGTGGCAATTGTTATCGGGTATTGTTGTTTCAACATAACATGGGCAAGACTCTGTATTGTCGAGGAAGTAACATGAAGAATTATGATGTTATGTTTGGTATAATTAACGGGTATTTCTGGGACAGATTATGTGGTATTATATCGTTAGAAGTAAATATAACCTTGGCACCGTGGAGCAGATGGGACGAGCAATTTGTGGGTGAAAGTGAGCGTCCCACATACGGAGTCTGTAATTCCCTTCTTCCACTTTAGAGCTAGCTCCGCGCGATCCCTGTATCTTGTAGTAGTTGTCTAGGTGCATATTTAACTACAAAAACAATTAACGAAAATTTTATGTTTGTAGTGCATCGAGAACGATCTTAACGTGTCTGCTATTCATTTTGCCGTTCAGTTGACGAAGCTTTATCTTATCGACGAACATAGTAATCATGTTTCTCAGGTACACATCGTAAATACATCTTTCGCTGGGGTTTTTTTTATAAGGCATTCCATGGAAATGTACCAAATGACATGATTTGTTTAGGGTGATCTCTCCAAGACATTAGATGCTCTCTCTAGGATGGCTGCCTCCAGGAATGGTGTTGGCGATACGTAAGTCATTTTTCTTATCATTCATTGCAGGCATGGATCCAGGATTATTTTGTAGGGAGGAGAGGGGGAGTGCTGTAGTTTGTAATAGATTTCGGACGCTATTTTCTGGTTGTAGTGGTGCTGTGTCTAAGTTCATTTGTTAAATTCCGTTACTTTGCACTATGATTGGGGAATTTTTTTTAATTGATCTCAATTGAACACAAAGTTCTTTTGCTTATTTGTTTGGTAAATAAATATTTCTTAGGTAAATTGGCACCCTTCACGCATTCTCTGTTACCCGTCAGTATATAGCAATGTAGTTATTGTTTTTACGTTCAGATTGCCTTCTATACTTGAACTTATTCGCAGTGGTGGAATGGGCGCTGGTGGTGACTTCTCACAGAGATTAAACGATCTTGAAAAGGGATCAGGCAGCCAATCTGGATTATCTCTGGGATTATCCGGACGATTATTCGAGGATCCGCCTGGTCTTCATGATAAGGTAAAGCTTATGAAATTGATAAATGGCTTTCTTCTGATGTAAGGTTAAATGTTCACTGTGGTAGAACGTACTTTGATTGTTTGTTAAGAAAATGGCCTTTAGCGTTGAATAAACGCTGGTGTCAAATATGATATTTTTATTCTGGGTTAAATACAGGTGGAATTTTTGTTGCGTGAATGGGTTCGACTTTATCATCAACCTGCTGCTGGGAAAGAAAGTGAAAAAGCATTTTCGACATTTGTTGCCATGGTGAGTGGTATATTGTGATTTACCCCTCATGATGAGTACCTAGGTGTACTTGTTTCTTGGTAAGTGGTGGTATTGTGTTTTACTGATCATGTTGAGTACCTAGGTGTACTTGTTTCTTGGTAAGTGGTGGTATTGTGTTTTACTGATCATGTTGAGTACCTAGGTGTACTTGTTTCTTGGTAAGTGGTGGTATTGTGTTCTACTGATCATGTTGAGTACCTAGGTGTACTTGTTTCTTGGTAAGTGGTGGTATTGTGTTTTACTGATCATGTTGAGTACCTAGGTGTACTTGTTTCTTGGTAAGTGGTGGTATTGTGTTCTACTGATCATGTTGAGTACCTAGGTGTACTTGTTGTTTTTTTTGGTAAGTGGTGGTATTGTGTTCTACTGATCATGTTGAGTACCTAGGTGTACTTGTTTCTTGGTAAGTGGTGGTATTGTGTTTTACTGATCATGTTGAGTACCTAGGTGTACTTGTTTCTTGGTAAGTGGTGGTATTGTGTTCTACTGATCATGTTGAGTACCTAGGTGTACTTGTTGTTTTTTTTGGTAAGTGGTGGTATTGTGTTCTACTGATCATGACGAGTACCTAGGTGTACTTGTTGTTTTTTTGTTAAGTGCGGTATTGTTTTCTACTGATCATGTTGAGTACCTAGGTGTACTTGTTTTTCTTGCATAAATAAATTGACCTCGTTTTCTTTAGCTTCATCAACATGGAATATTGAAGACTGATGATCTCATCACGAGGTTCTTTCGCATCAGTACGGAGTTATGTGTCGAGAACACGTACAGAGCACTCATTGAACACGTAAGTTATAGCACTGCTCATGTGGTGTTGGGGGGGGGGGTAATGTTTACGATGATCGTACAATATTAATTATAACATCGTATATATATGCAACGAACTGTTACATATATTTGCAAATACCATTCCAATGAATGAATAAACCTTAAACTGAAATAGATTGATGAAAGATGAATTTAACATACATATACGAGTTCATATGCTTTTGTTGACTAACACAGATGTTTATTGGCAATCATCCACTTGTTGTCTTCATTTTCTCACGATCTTTGTTAGTCATATCACACTAATTAATAATTAATAATAATTAATACCTAATTAATAATGAATAATAACTAATTAATAATAAATAATAACTAATTAATAATAATTAATGTCAATATACATTATAGGCGTCCAATCCAAGTCACGCTCGAGCAAAATGTTTCAGTACTTTGGATGCTTACTGTCGTTTAATTGCATTGCTCGTGAGGCATTCTGGGGATGCAAGCAATAGTGTAACGAAGATAAATCTACTGACCAGGGTATGTACAGGGGTTACGTCAATTGTTAAGCGTTGTTTTCGTGTGGTGGGGGGGGGGAGGGGGAAGGGAGGCTAATAGTTTCATTTAGATATATTTTTTTGTATTAAGTTCCTTTGAAATCAATTGTTTTTATATCATTATGACATGAATATATGGGTGCCCCCTCTCCCCATTATCGACCTGGCAACACCACTCTGCTATTCTATGAGAAATAGATGCTTAGATGTGCTGTGTTTGCAAAGGTTTGTATTACATCATCTGTTTTGATCACAAAAATATCATTGTCATTTAGGTTTTGGGTACCGTAGTACAGGTCTTACTCCAAGATCACGAATTGCGTAAGACTGATTTCCATCAGCTTGCTTATCATAGAATTTTTATCATACTACTGTTGGAGTTAAATCAACCAGAGACTGTGTTGGAAACCATCAACTATCAAGTGTTGCAAACTTTCAGGTATTTATGACTATTCTTGCAGCTGTTATTTAATCGAACTAAATGCGAGTTTCCTATTCTTTGAAAGCTTTTTTTGTCTTCTCTAGTACCATATTCCATGCTCTTCGCCCTTCACGGGCTCCTGGGTTTGCGTATGCTTGGCTGGAACTCATTTCACATCGTATGTTCATGTCGAAACTGCTGTTAAACACACCGCAACAGAAGGTCCAATCTTTTTTTATCCTCGTCTCCTCTGTCTTTGATTATATTATCAGAATTTTTTATCGTATAATTATTCTACGATTACAATGGTCAATGAAGGACAGTGGTTGTGGAAGTTCACTATCTCCATGTCATCTTGTATAAGCGTAGTAATTAGTAAATGAAAAGGATGACGAATTGTTACACCTCATCAACTTTAAATCTTTATCATACAGGGATGGGTATTGTTCCAGCAGTTGTTGATTGATCTCTTCAAATTCCTTGCGCCATTCTTGAGAAATGCCGAGTTAAATAAACCAATGCATCTTCTTTATAAGGTTAGCACACAAGTACAAACGCGTAAGTATTTTGTAGGATTTTCTGCAGAAATTTACTTTGTTTTTTTTTTTTGTTGTAGGGAACACTGCGTGTTTTACTTGTTTTACTTCACGATTTCCCCGAGTTTCTCTGCGACTATCACTTCAGTTTCTGTGATGTCATACCTCCCAATTGCATTCAAATGAGAAACTTAATCCTTAGTGCTTTCCCGAGAAATATGAGATTGCCAGATCCATTTACTCCAAACCTTAAAGTAAGATGATGATTGGGAAAATTTTGCTTGAAATTTTCTTTGGTATATCTCAATATTTATTCCTATCTAGGTTGATTTGCTCACAGACATTGCACATTCTCCCAGAATTTTGACAAATTTTGCCAGTGCTATTCAACCGCCAACATTTAAGAAGGTATCCCTCTTTGCAGCACCTAAGAGACAACTTGTATTACTTGTTTAATAGAATATTCTTGACTGTTTCAGGAATTAGATTCATATCTGAAAACAAGAGCTCCTGTTACTTTCCTTACAGAACTAAGGTCTCACTTACAGGTGGGGTTTTTTTAATTTTATTTGGTCATAGTGGCTAACGATTTTTGCATACAGGATCTGAATAATGAGAAATTTGAAATACAAACAAGAAATTGCTTGATTTCAAACGTTTAAATTACTTTTCATGTTTAATGGGTTTTGCTTTTTCTTGATGTAAGGTTGCCACAGAACCTGGTACCAGATACAATGTGCCATTGATGAATGCACTTGTTCTTTATGTTGGTACTCAGGCCATTGCATATATTCACAGTAAAAGTGGTACACCAAGCATGTCTACCATCACACATTCATCACATATGGATATTTTTCAAAATCTTGCTGTTGACTTGGACACCGAAGGTATGTTGACTATCTTGAATGAATTGTCTACTTTAGTCTTTAGGATATTTTTTTTTTGGTTTTCTCTCCCATTTCATTAGGACGTTACCTTTTCTTAAATGCTGTGGCCAATCAACTTCGATATCCCAACAGTCACACACATTACTTTAGTTGTGTTCTGTTGTATCTGTTTGCTGAAGCTAATACCGAAGCCATTCAAGAACAAATCACGAGGTATTTTGTTTTTCATTCAGTCTAGGCACTATTATTAGGTAATGTGTATCCTTGTTGTCTTCCAGAGTGCTTTTAGAAAGACTTATTGTCAATAGGCCTCATCCTTGGGGCTTACTGATTACGTTTATTGAGTTGATAAAAAATCATCAATACAAATTTTGGAGTCACGACTTTGTTCATTGTGCACCTGAGATTGAAAAGTACGTACTTATTTACTTGTTCTATCTCATCTTGTGTGTATTTATGTATGAAAGGAATTCATCCAATTCATTCACTTGTTTAAGATTGTTTGAATCAGTTGCCAGAAGCTGTATGCAGCAGAAGCAACCACAGAACAGGGAAGGTGGTACGAACGATGGTACCTGAACTAAGGATACCTTAGGATACAGTGCTTAAAATTTTGTTGTGTTTGTACTTAATAAGAAGTGGTCAAAATAATTGAATGTTTTTGAAAAGTTAATAATGATAAAAATTGGGCAGAATCCATTTCTTGTGTTATTCATTTGCAAAATATTCATCGAATGCATCAATAGACTTTTTACTCTTACCTATGAGTTTAGAAAAGCCATATCATAAATAGAATATTCACAAAAACATAGTTATATCAGTGTTTCTTTCACCTTAAATGTTATTGACCAAGAAGAACTTCAATATCATTAGCTAAATCGATAGTTTTAAAGCTCTTTCCATAACGTTTCCATGGTATCCCATCTTTACCAATCAAAAATTTCTCAAAATTCCATCTAATGTCACTTCTTAACAATGGTTTCCACAGAATTCCTTCAGGATTGCTCATGAATAAACCATTGGGATCCTCATCACATGGTATTGGCAGATTGGATTTTAGAAATTTAAATACCGGATGGGCATCTTCTCCATTTACATCAACCTTACAAAACATTTCTATGTTTGGTTCAAAACCATTTCCAGGTCGGACATACTTTAAGAGATTGAGAACCTCTTCATTTTTGCAATTTTCCTGATGCCCAAACTGGTTGCTGGGAAATCCTAGAATTTCAAGACCTTGGGAATTATATTTATCCCAAAGACCATTCATCTGCCAAAAAAATGGATATATGAGTTTTAAACACCGCAGAAGTGATTTTTAGTAAAGCTAGTAATTTCCTTTTAAGCTATTCACCGCAAATTAGAGCAAGCCCACACGACATGTTAAAAGCAATATTGATACAGTAAAGTAATTATCAAATGAGCATGCATGAATGTGTACCTGAATGAAATCCCTCACAGTCGTTCCTCATAGAGATGCAGTGTTCTGAATCAAAACAACTTTGCCTTTGTATTTGGAAAAGTGAACTTTTTCACCATTAAGCGCAAGCGCGCTGAGGTTATAAAAATCGTTCGCAACTGAACTAAACAATCGTTTTGCACATTTGGATGTCATTGTCGCCATTAAACAATTTGAGGGGGAGGGCGAGACTGAAGATATCCATTGATATAATCCATTAAGATAATCCATTGAGATAATCCACTGAGATAATCAGAGAATCCTAGTCCAAATTAATTCAACCACCCCCCGTCCAATGATAAACATCCAATATGGCGTTATAGATTTGGATTTTAGATTTTGTAGTCGAAGTGCATTAAAACTTTGTGAATGGCGCTTAACGCTTGGGTTACAGATCGCCTCCATGATGTGCTCGGTTTCTCCGACAAGCATACTGTCGAATACCTTGTCAGTCTTGGTCAAAGCACGAAAACGTCGGCATTATTTCGTGAAAAACTGCAAGCCTTTTTAGGTCCCTTGAATAGCGATGCAGTCAGCTTTGCCAATGATCTATGGGAGCGAGTTCCTCGCGAAGAGGTTATCATTATCTCAAATTAATATGTTTTGGGTGTACTGTTGCAGAGTCTCCTTTGTTTATATATTTTAGAGTTCTTTGTATTTGTTAAAGATAACTTTGGTTGAGAAGCTTGCATGTTAAAATGTATGTTATTTGTTTATTCATGTCTTGTTTTGCACAGGTTAGAGAGAATCCAAATCGCATACGCGAAAGAGAAATTGTTGCACAACAAAAGAGGAACATGTCATATCAATTGTTGTCTGATGATGACAGTGATGAGGAAGTTGCGTCTACTAAGTCAAAGTTGAATGATCGGAAGTCGGCTAAACGTCGCAAACATTTACGTAGGAAGGCAGACATATCCGAATCGAGTGAGGAAGAGGTAATGGTGACTAAGGAAGCTGAAATTGAATCTGGTGATGAATGGGAGAAAGATGAAAAAGAAAGAATTAAAGATATTCAAGAAAGAGACGAGTTTTCCGCAAGAATGAAAGAGAAAGATAAAGAGAAACAGAGAAATGTCATGGAACGCTCCGATAAAAAGGTCAGATCTCTTGTGAAGATGCTTGCACTGTCATTAATATGGAGGCTTGTTTTATGGTGATGTGTTAATGATATCGTCGAGAGAATTCAGAAATTCGTCTAAGAAAAATTTTATAATCATAGGCTTTTGAAGAAGCAAGGAAAAGATTGAACCTTGATGAAGAAGATAGAAAGAAAATGGTGAGAAGCTGATTTTTTTATAAAAGATGTTTTTTTCAAAGTGGTGAATTATGGATGTCTAGCAAAGTTTCAAATATTTTCAGTTACCAAAGCTTCGAGAGAAATCTAGACGTGACTATGTAAAGAAACGTCAGGTTGATCAACTTGAGATGCTGCAAGATGACATCCAGGACGATGAATATTTGTTTGGGGACTCAAATTTAAGCAAAAGCGAGAAGAAAGAACTGGAATATAAAAAAACAGTTTTGAATTTGGCCAAAGATTACAAAAAAGCTGGAGACTTAGAGAAAGTTGACAGGTTATATGTCAGTTTGACTAAAGGGATATGGCATGATGAAGGGATATGTATGGATTTTGTTGTACATTGGGGGAATCACAGGAGAAAGGGGTGTTTACTTTGATGTGTATTGTGGTTTGACACATTGCTCTCAATTTGAAAGCCATTTGTATCATTTTCATGTTGATTCCTATGTTGATTTTGTAGGTATTCAATGCCAAAAGAGGGAGCAAAACCGTCCAAATATGACGATGAAATTATAATGGAAGAACTTGGTCCTAACTATGAACAAAAACAATGGGAAGAGGAGAAAATTGGACAGGCTAAGATGAAATTTGGTGCAAAAGATGCCAAATCTAAGAACAAGGTTTAATTTTTGCCATCTCTTTTATTATGCACGTCATTGACCTTCTTTCAATTTATCTACTTTTCACTGACATGAAACTATAAAGACGAGAGATTATGATCTAATGGTTGAAGAAGAAGAACAAATTGCTTTTGTGTTAGCCGAAAATGTTCCAGGAACAATAATGGAAAAGGTTTGCATCAACCAATCATGCAGTTAGTATTTATTCTGGTAAAAAAAGTAAAAGTTTCTTTTGCTTGTTTTCAAAAGGAACCAGAATTATCAGAGCATCAAAAAAAGAGAATGACCATTGAGGAGGTATTGATGTCATAATGAAGCAATATTAAACATTAGATGAATTTAAAGAAATGAATGAAAACTTTTTCAATCATAATGCTGTCATACATAGGTGTCTACATGTCAATAGTTTAAACTGTTTATTGTATTTTAGTTATGCAATTTAGTCTTTAAAAATTCGTGGTGTATTGAATTATTGTTCATTTTAGACAAGGAAAAGTTTGCCAATTTACTCATATAGACAAAGTTTACTTGATGCCATCAAAGATCATCAGGTTCGTCGAATTAATATGACTTCGTAAGATGAAAGTTTTTGGTTTTATAGCAATGAAAAAGAAGACATATTTTTGAGTAAAATTATATAATTCAATATGCAGAAAGGATTTATTTCAATGGAAATAGCGTCACATGACGTTTTCCCAAACGCTAGGTTTTGATAATTGAAGGAGAGACAGGTTCAGGAAAAACAACACAAATCCCACAATATCTCTACGAAGATGGCTACACAGCAAAGAAAATGAAGATCGGATGCACTCAACCACGTCGTGTTGCCGCCATGAGCGTAGCTGCTCGCGTGTCTGAAGAGATTGGAAGCAAACTGGGTAATGAGGTAAGTCGGATCAAAAAGTAAAGTTCACCCTCTCCTCCCTGATGTGATTGGCAGAAAACTAGGTCGATGAGGTACGTTAGGTCAATATGAAGGAAAAAGGAAAGTAAAGTCGGACCATCCCCTCCCTCATGTGTTAAAACTGTTTCATATGACTCTCGCCAATTTATTAACGACGAAAGCATTACTGTTGGTTGATATCATATTGATCACTCCAGGTAGGATACAGTATCAGATTTGAAGACTGCTGCTCCGAGCGAACAGTTATTAAGGTACAAATTAAATTAAGGTTTGAATTTAAACATTTTAATATCCTATTTTTTATTTATTTTTCCATTTTACACAAAAGCATTGTTTCACGTTGCAAAACATATTCCCGGCTCTAATGTCAAATGTTATTTTCTCTTTTCAGTATATGACGGATGGTATGCTCTTGAGAGAGTTTCTCAGCGAACCTGATCTTGCAAGTTACAGGTTTGAATTGTTTACTCTCTGTCATTCTCTTTCATCCTTTGTTATCCTTTTTTGTCCTGTGTCATCCCTTGAACATTCGTGCTAACCTGATCTTGCAAGTTACAGGTTTGAATTGTTTACTCTCTGTCATTCTCTTTCATCCTTCGTTATCCTTTTTTGTCCTGTGTCATCCCTTGAACATTTGTGCGAACCTGATCTTGCAAGTTACAGGTTTGAATTGTTTACTCTCTGTCATTCTCTTTCATCCTTCGTCATCCTTTTTTGTCCTGTGTCATCCCTTGAACATTCGTGCTAACCTGATCTCGCAAGTTACAGGTTTGAATTGTTTACTCTCTGTCATTCTCTTTCATCCTTCGTCATCCTTCTTTGTCCTGTGTCATCCCTTGAACATTCGTAATCATCAATTTTTTTACTACAGCGTTATGATCATCGATGAAGCACACGAAAGAACGCTTCATACGGACGTTTTGTTTGGTCTTGTCAAAGATATCGCACGATTTCGACCAAAACTAAAACTTCTCATTTCAAGTGCAACTTTAGATGCTGAAAAGTTTTCTAGCGTACGTAAAGATGATGAAGATAATCTAGAGGCACATTTTTAAATTTGATGCATCTGTATTATGTAAATGATTTCTATAGTGTGATATTCAGTTTGATTTTATAGTTTTTTGATGATGCTCCAATATTTCGAATTCCTGGTCGACGTTTTCCTGTTGATATCTACTACACTAAGGCATGTTGAAAGCTTTTATTCTCCTTTGCTTCGTCTTAAAGCTTTTACTCTTCTTTGCTTTGTTTGCAATTTATCAGTTGTAACTGAATACACAACTCCAGATCAAATTGTTACTTAAGAAGTTCTGTTTCACCAATTACTCTCATTAAAGAGTTTATGAAGACTCACATTTCATATGAAAAGTATGTTTGATTTATATTATCTTGTCCAGGCTCCGGAAGCTGACTATCTTGACGCGGTCGTGGTGAGCGTTCTTCAGATACACCTTACTCAACCCGATGGTGACATTCTGGTGTTTCTAACTGGCCAAGAAGAAATTGAAGCTTCATTTGAAATCTTGACTGAGAGAACGCGTAAACTGGGCTCGAAGATCAAGGAGCTCATCATTTTACCAATATACGCAAATCTACCATCTGATATGCAGGCAAAAATATTCGAGCCCACTCCCCCCGGAGCTAGAAAGGTTTGCGTGTGTTTTCGCATTCATTCTCAGTGATTCTTTTTGCGTAATTTTATTACATTTTTTTGTTCTAGGTAGTCTTAGCGACCAACATTGCCGAAACATCACTGACAATTGATGGCATCATCTACGTCATTGACCCTGGTTTTTGTAAACAAAAAAGTTACAACCCCAGAACTGGTATGGAATCTTTGGTTGTCACTCCAGTATCGAAGGTGAGTCTTGTTGAAATCCTCTTGCATTTAATACATGCCTGAATGCTATTCTCTCCTCAGGCTTCAGCCAATCAGCGAGCGGGACGTGCAGGTCGTGTGGCAGCTGGAAAGTGCTTTCGACTCTATACGGCCTGGGCTTACAAAAACGAACTGGAAGAAAATACAATACCCGAGGTTTGTACATGCTTGTATAATTTGTACTTTTAATTTGAGAGTTTGTGTGTGAATGTAAGTCGTACAAGTTTATCTGCAGATTCAAAGAACAAATCTTGGAAATGTTGTGTTGTTGCTGAAAAGTCTTGGAATCAATGATCTCATTCATTTTGATTTTATGGATCCGCCTCCAGCAGAGACTTTGATTTTAGCTTTGGAACAACTGTATGCATTGGGAGCGCTCAATCATCATGGTGAACTGACCAAGGTATCAAAATTATTCCCACCCAATAGTTTGCAATTCTCGCATCAATTTAACTTAGATTCATCCCTTTCCTTTGTCTATAACCGTCATTACTTTTCTACTGTTTGAAACTTACAAAGATGAAATTGCTGTAATGTATTTCACGAAAAATAATTTTCAATTCCACTTCGACGTGAACTTTAACTTTTTAGACATCCGCCTCATCACATAGTTTGATGAAAATAGCTCTGAAAATGACTTTTTTTATTTTATGTTTTGATTTCGATCGCCAGTATTCTCCTGGAAAGGAGTACATACCGCTTTTTTATAATTCTGTTGTTGAACATATTTTGTAGCTTGGTCGACGGATGGCGGAGTTCCCTGTTGATCCAATGATGTCGAAAGCTCTGATTGCATCCGAAAAGTATGTCGATAATTTTGTCAAAAGAACTATCATGTATTTGTAGAAATGTACTTTGCATTTGGGATATTTGTTACAGATACAAATGCACTGAACAAATACTCACAATTGCTTCCATGCTATCCGTGAATAACGCAATATTTTATCGACCGAAAGACAAAGCGGTTCACGCCGATAATGCCCGAAAGAATTTCTTCCGCCCGGGGGGTGATCACCTTACTTTACTCAATGTTTACGAACAATGGGCAGAGACAGATTACTCGACACAATGGTGTTTCGAAAATTTCATTCAACATCGCTCTATGAAACGTGCAAGAGATGTTCGAGATCAGTTGGAAGGTCTAATGGAGCGCGTTGAAATTGAAATCACTTCAAATCCTCACGACTCTAGTGCCATAAGAAAGGTTGGGAGGTTTCTGTTATTGTCTTACGACACTTCTCTTTGGCGTCGATAATATTTTTGTTGAGATACTGCACACACATACATGCAAATTTATTATGTAACTCCTTCTCTCATTTTCATTACTATTTTAGGCATACACAGCAGGATTTTTTTATCACACTGCTCGACTTGGAAAAGGTGGTCAATACAGAACGGTGAAGCACCAACAGGTGATGACGTCACCGGAATAACCCTTCACTTGTCTCTCACCATTAGTTTCTTGTGTTGTGAGATGCCATCATAAATAGTGGAAACCTCAAGATGCAATAATATTTATATATGGTGGATATACTTGTCCAATAACAACATAAAATTTCTCTTACGTAGTTTTGATCTCGGCAAATGTGCAAACAATGAAACATGTTGATCGCAGTTTCTAGTAATTTCTTCACAGTTTCTAGTAATTTTTTTCACAGTTTCTAGTAATTTTCTTCACAGTTTCTAGTAATTTTTTTCGCAATTTCTAGTAATTTTTTCACGTCTTTTTTTCAGACGGTTATGATCCATCCTAACAGCAGTTTATTTGAAGATAAACCGCGTTGGTTGATTTATCATGAATTGGTTTTTACGACAAAAGAATTCATGAGACAGGTTTGTTCTTTTCCCCTTTGTCTTCACTTTTACTAAAAATGTTGAATTTACCGCTCTTTGACTTTGTTGAATGAACTGATTACTTAAGTACCTGTAACGGCATAATCTGTTGCTTTTTAGGTATTTGAAATTGAAAACTCGTGGTTGCTGGAAGTTGCGCCGCACTATTATAAAGCAAAAGAGATAGAGGACAGTACTAGCCATAAAATGCCCAAGAAAGTTGGAGCTACAAGAGAGGAGCTGAAGACGTGACAACACAATGAAATTTTGAGCTTGAAAGCTCGCATTTGAAGACAACGGCAAACAACAGATTGAACAGAATTAGCTGCAAAAATTATATTTTATTCTCAAATAACAATGGTATTTTAGCAGTTCTTAATATCTGCATTGCTTTCCCCCTTCTTTTTTAATAAAGTGAACCTTATGTTTTCTCGTTTACCTCACGAAACTGAAGCCAAACTCTAGATTATCGTGATATAGTGGTGGACTGTTACTTGATTCTGACTAATTTCTTACAACTTAGTATGCCCCAATCTCCCAACAGCCCAACACACAGCCAGGTGCCAAAGTCAAAATGGCACGTGTTGTGTTGTCAAAAGATGAGAAGATCTTCATAAAGAATGGTGTTTTTGATGACTTTCGACTGGATGGAAGAGAAAGAAAAGATTATAGATATTTTGAAATAGAAACGGACGTCGTTTCCAACACGAGTGGGTCAGCAAGACTTCGATTGGTAATTTGTTTGAGTTCACGTTTTGTGTATTTTGTATCCTTCACTGGCTTTAGTTTTGTACGTAATGCCATTTATAGTCTAAAACAGACATTCTTGTTGGAGTAAAAGCTGAAATTGGAGAGCCTGTGTTTGGATTTCCAGATTATGGAAGAATCGAGTTTCTTGTAAACTGGTATCATGCGTTTAAGTTTTGTTTGATGATTATGAATTTATCAGGAGTACGAAAGAGAATTATGTAATTATTTTCTATTTAGCTCGGCAAATGCGTCTCCCAAATTTGAAGGTCGTGGTGGGGAAGAATTGTCGTCAGAATTAAGTAGAATATTGGACAAAGCATTTAGTAACAAGTCGGCAATTGATCTCAAATCACTGTCTATTGTATCTGGACAACAATGTTGGGTTTTATACGTCGATGCTTTGGTATGAAACTGGTTTGTTTACTGAATAATCACAATTTAATTCCAGTGTAACTGACCTAGGTGTTTTGATTTTTTTAAGGTTTTGGAATGTGGTGGAAATCTCTTTGATTCTTTATCAATTGCAGTCAAGGCTGCATTACATAACACAAGGTTGGTTAGTATGAAGAAAAAGGCATGGTAATGATAATTTCAGGGCATTAATTCACAATTTTTTTCAATCAGGATTCCTAATGTCACAGTGAATGTTGAAGAAGGAATGAATGAGCTAGAAATTTCTGATGATCCTTATGACTTTAGTCGTATTGATATCAAGAATGTGCCTGTATTTGTAACTTTAAATAAGGTATACATTACGATAAATGGACTATCTAATGCTACTCCAGTGTGGACCCATTTGATTATAGCATGATTTTTGATAGTAGAAGAAAGATCATAAAAGTTTCCATATTTCTTTCTCTCTTGGTTTGTTTGCTTTAAGATTGAACATGAATTTGTGGTCGATGCTTGTATGGAGGAAGAGTTTTGTACGGATGGTCAAATACTGGTCGCAATAAATGGTGATGGTAATATCTCTGGCATACAGAGATTGGGTTCTAGTGCAGTTGAACCTGAGCTCTTGGCTGAAATGTTGGAGGTATACATTTTGCTTAACAAGCTTTGTCATTTCATGCTTTTATTAGCTCTATTCGACATGCTTGTAATTCAGGTGGCTGTAGAATTGGAAAATCATTAAATAATCAACTGTGCCAAGCTCTTAAGTTTGAAGAACAGGATAGTACAAGGGAGAAAGTTGGTTTTGTACCAGCAGCTGAATATACCAGTAAAGTATGCCAATAAGAGGGTTACAATTTGTTGATACGATCTGGGAATTCCCCATCATGGGGATCGCCGAACAACGCAGATGGTTCCCAGTCCTCTCAAGATGAAATTGATCAAACAAGATGGCGGAAAAATTTGAAATAAGTTCTGTAATTCATATTTTTGTGTAAATATGCTATCTCATAATGGTATTAATATATTTATTTTATTCTTACTTCATACCCTTATGCCATCAAATTTTGTGCTTACCATCTCTAATCGCGATATATCATCGTTAAGGTATTTATAAAAAAAACATAAGTTCATTGTCATTGTACAAACTACGTGTGACGTGTTTGTGTGCGTCGGTAGCTTTCCATATTGTTTTTAGGGAGAAAGTAGTATCTATGTTCTACCATAGTTATAATGGCTACATGAAGTATGCATATCCTTATGATGAACTGAAACCTCTGACTTGCACTGGTCATGACACATGGGGCAGGTAACTCTTAAATAACTGTATTTTCAATTAAAGGTTTAAAGCCACTGAAAAACATACCAAGAGATGTGCCTCTGTGATTGATGTATCTGTTTTTATTATTAGCTATTCCTTGACTTTAATAGATGCCCTTGATACCTTACTGGTAAGAAATTAATAAATACTTATGATAAATACTGAGCTGTAAGTAGTATCATGAATTATTGATGATAGCAAAATGTTTGATGTGCATAAATCTTCTTAATCTATTTAGGTTATTGGAAACCAAACTGAATTTGTACGAGTTGCAAGCGCTCTTGTCAAAACTCTAGATTTTGATAGAGACATCAATGTTTCTGTTTTCGAGACAAATATAAGAGGTACTGCAAAAATGAAAGTAAATCTCGTGTATAAACAATATGACACTACAGTTCAATAGTTTGCTGTAGTAGTGTTTTCTCATGTAGTGGTTGGTGGTCTATTGTCTGCCCATCTTCTATCAGGAAGAGTTGGTTTTCAACTTGATGATAACTGGCCATGTGATGGTCCATTGTTGAATTTAGCTTTTGATGTTGCTGAGCGCCTTCTTCCTGGTTTGTGGGAAAAAATTTCAAGCAAAGTTATAAAATAGTGATTTTGTTTTGTCTCAATGGTGATTGTTTATATTCTGAATTTTTACATGTTTGTAAATGTAGATCGTCCAGGTTGGTATAGTTCTGAGAAGGACTGTTTTTGTTGTTCTTGACTGACAATTGGCAACCTTAGCGGTAGTCATCTTCAGAGTCAAATGAGGAGTAAATGTCAGGTTAGCCGTATTTGTTAGATGTCTACTCCTCATTTGACTCTGAAGATGACTACCGCTAAGGTTGTCAAACGTTAGTCAACAACAACAAAACAGTTCTTTCAGGACTATAGCAATCTGGATGATATACATTTACAAACATGTAAGAATACTCCCGGGTTCAAACCATTTACTTTATTCTGAATTTTAGCTTTTGATACAAACACTGGTATGCCATATGGTACTGTCAATTTGCGTTACGGTGTGCCTGAGGGTGAAACATCCATCACTTGTACAGCCGGCGTTGGAACCTTTATTTTAGAATTTGGAACTTTGTCTAGATTGACAGGTGTGCATCACTTTGAGTGACAGAGGTGTGAAGAGATGTGTTACTGTCCAAACTAGAATATTCACCTGTTTTTAGGTGATCAAAGGTTTGAAGATGCAGCTTTAAGGGCTCTAAATGGACTCTGGAAAGCAAAGTCAGATTTAGGCCTGGTGAATATATCATGATTATTGATATGTCAAAACACACAATTTTCTTGCTGAGTTTAAACATGAGCAAATTGGTTTAAGGTTGGAAACCATATTGATGTTCAGACATCCAAATGGACAGCTCAAGATAGTGGAATAGGTCCGGGGATAGATTCATATTTTGAATATCTTCTCAAAGGTGCTATTCTATTCGATTCACCGTGGCTTTTGGAAATGTTTAGAGGTAGTCCTACATTATATGTGATTCTTTTTTCCTACGTTTGGTGAAAGGTTATATTACAACTTGTCAATATATTGCATTTGCTTTTTAGAACTGTATAAAAGCATTGTGGTTTATAACAAGGTGGATGACTGGTACATTTGGTCAAATATGTTTAAGGGAAAGTATTCAATGACAACATTTCACTCTCTTGATGCATATTGGCCAGGTTTGCAGGTATAGTTGAACTTATTAATAGCTCATTTCATGTCTCAAGTAAATGGTTTGAACAGCATTGTGGTTTATAAGAAGGAGGTTGGATGATTGGTATATCTTGAGTCTAATGAAGATATGAAGATTTAAGGAAGATGAATAAGGTTTCAAGTGACAACAGTCCTTTCACTATCTCTTGTATTCTCAAAATGACTCTGAAGATGACTTTAAGGTTGTATAGTACAACTTACTATACCAACCTAGCATTTACAAACATAGTTCATGTCTCTGTGGTCAGCATCATTTATATATCCTAGACACTTCATGGAGATGTTGCAAATGCATCCAGAACATTAAAAAACTATTATAGTGTATGGAGAAAGTTTGGTTTTACACCAGAGTTCCTTCAAATTGCACATGGTTTACCAATTAAAGGAAGGGAGTCATATCCACTACGTCCAGGTAGTAAAATGTAAAAACCTTTTACACTTTCATTTATGTTTATGGATGAAGAATGGTTGAATCCTATGGTATATTCTCCTTAAGAATTGATTGAAAGTACAATGTATCTATACCAAGCTACAAAAGATCCATATTTTCTCGAAATGGGTAGAGAAATTTTACATTCAATTGAAACATCTTGTAAGACAAAGTGTGGATATGCAACGGTAAGGCTTTTAGCATCATTTGCAATTTCTCAATAGTTTAAACTATGGAATTGCTGAGTATCTACCAGGTATGAGTTTAGAGTGTGTTAGTTTCTTCACTTTAATGATAGCTACTTGTAAATTGATGTTTCATTCTTATTAGGTAAAGAATATTATCACTCATGAACTAGATGACAAAATGGAATCATTCTTCTTGGCAGAAACAACCAAGTATCTTTATTTACTCTTTGATGCAAACAATTTTCTTCATGGTGAGTCAGACCCAGCAGACAATGACCTTAAGTGCAAGATGCACTCTCAGGGTTATATATTCAACACAGAAGCACACCCTATTGATATTGGTGCACTAAAATGTTGTCATACAAAAAGAATAAAAGAATTTGAAACAAAAGTGACACCATTGCCTCTCACATGCAAGACTCGTAACTTTGATGCTAGGCTATCATTTGGAGAAAATTTTATTGAAGACTAATAAACAATAGTTGCTTTCAGGTTTAGTACAAGCTGTAAAGGAAAGATGGATGTAAGAATTCTTTTGTAGGGTTTTTTTTGTAGTTCATTACATACAAGGTATTGAGACAAACATGCTACATAAATAGTTTAATAACTCTTTAAAAACCAGTGTTACTTACAACATGTAAAACATTTTTCAAACAAAACATTTTTTAATCTAAATATTAAGGTTTGTAGATTACATCAATCACGATCATGTGGTATTCTTGTAATTACATTACATATCTTTTTACATAAAACATCACTTGAGGCGCAAACAACTTCTCTGGCCATTATGTCTAGCTCTTCACCTGCAATAAAATTTTATGCACTTGGAAAGGAAAGAAGTACAGGCCATGTTTAAGTAACCTAGGTTATACCTGTAGCTCCTAAGACTGAACCACCTGCTTCTTTCAGTATTACAATACCAGCTGCAACATCCCAACAATGAATTCCAAATTCATAATATGCATTAGCTCGTCCACATGCCACGTAACACATGTTAAGTGCAGCTGAACCCAAAGCACGAACCCTGAAGACAATCATTTAAAAGAAAAATTCAACTATGTCAATAATGATTTATGTCAGGTAGCACAAACACTACACACCCTCTGGCCAAGTGAGGCTCCATGATTAATTTCCTTAAATTTTCAAGTACCGAAGAAATACGCTGTTCATTTCTGTCAGCACCTGTTTCTGTGATCAGTAATGCCTGATTAAGTTCTGAAATTGAGATATTATGGCATGACATAATAGTTGGAAAATAAATCATTATCTGGTAAAATTGAATAGAACTGTTTTTATAACCTGTGACATCATTGGGTACATTTATCGATGCATCATTACATGTAGCCCCTTGTCCAGTAATTGCTGAAAACATCTCATCCAATATCGGATTATAGATCACACCAATTACAAGCTATTTCATATGACAATAAACCAAATATAAATGTAATTTCATTTATAATAAATAGTTTTGTGGTTTTGGTAGGAAACGTTCATTTTGTTGAAAATTTTACCTCCTTGTTAATGGCCAATGCAATTGATATTGCAACAAATGGAAACCTAAATTTTTACGAATAAAGTTGTAATCACATGATTTATACTAGGGAGTCGCATAAGATCTGCTAAATGGGAGCATGTCAGAAATATGATGCAAGAGATGAGTTGGATTTTTTACATTTTGCTAGCAGGCAGATGTATCCCAAGGAAGGTTATAAATTGTTGCGAGTGTTGTCTACTAAAAGCACTCAACAAAATCTGCCTGCCAGTGTTTGTAAACAATACAACTCTTTAAAACTATGAGAAAGAGCAAATATTGTAAACTGCAAACATAGGTTTCATAGCATTTGTCTCAACTTAGGTGTATTTATGTTGCATATATATAGTCCCCTTTACTCCCATAGTCTAAATTGAAAAGTTATAGATATACTTTTGAATGAAATTTGTAGTTCCATCAATTGGATCAATTATCCAGGTAGGATTGTCAGTTAGGTCACATTTTTGTCCATAAGCAACTGATTCTTCACCTATAAAACTTTAAAACATTACATCAGTTCCATACAACGTTATCCCAACTATTAACAACAAACCACAGTCAGCGAGTCACACCTGTGAGAGGGAAATTTTTCTTTGAAATGATTAAAAATCAGTGTCTCAGTTTCCTGGTCGGTCTTTGTGACAAGATCTGTCTTATGCTCCTTAGTCTCGAAGCTTTTGTCCTCATAAAAGGCGTTACGAACGAGCTATTTATTACATAAAGGCGGTTTTACTATGCAGCATGTACCTGAACAGTTAAAAAGTTATGTTTTACTGATGCTTACATTTCCTGCTTTTCTAGCTATATTTACGGCCTCTTCATGATAAAGCTTCAAATCATGTTTTTCGTCCAGCTTAATTTTTTTGGGTTCTGCAGCCATATCAAATATTGGTACTATTAATGACTATCAATTGTTTACCAAATTACCATGCCACAAATGGGAAATCTTTGTATAATGTCATTCTCACCCCCTCACATGCATATTGGTTGCAGAAAATGGCGGACGAATTGAATCGAGGAAAATGATGTAATTTTTTTTTGGTCAAATTTAACGATTTACCAGTTAAATATCGTAAAAGATGGTTCAAATACTTGTAAAATTGTAAGTGTTGATTTTGGATTTTTACATCTGTAAGATTGCTGAACCTTATTTTATACACTAATCACTATATAAAAGTTTTTGTTAGTGTACTAATATGATAGATACCATATTTTATCTAAATTATCTTTTTATAGTGAACCTGCAGAGAAAGACTGGATTGTAATTGAACTGCAAGGTGTGTTGGAGAGCAACAAGAGTGGTGGATATAATGGGTTACCTATCGGAGACCTTCATTTTGATGAAAAGGTAATATATTGCACTGAAGTATAGTTCAAGAAAACTTGAAAACAAAATTTTTGCTTAGGGACAGCCATTGCTAATCATTGGCCATCATTTATTGAGTGGCAAGGTAGTTACTCTTGAGAAACCATTTGCCGTGTTAAAAAAAACGAAAATCATCCAAGAAGAGGGATGCCAACCAACAACTGAATATATTGTTCAAGCCCTAATAAGGAAGAAGATTATTTTCAAGACGAGACCAAAGCCAATCATTGTAAAGAAAAAGAAGAGTAGAAAATAAATAGTTGTGCTGGATTTGATTGCTTTTCATAGACAAATGCAAAACTTATTAAGTATAATCTGATGCCTTGGCTTTACATTCCATCTGAAAGGGGCCACTTCATGAGTTAGCCATACCACAACACCAATTGAAATCTTTTGATTTGAAATCATTTGAAATGAAATCTTTGAAAAATGGTGCACTTTATAGGCAATAGACAAATTCCATTTTCCTCAACCAAACAAAACAAACTTTAAATAAACTTGGAAAGAGTCTATACTGTGAAGAGGCTAACATTTCACAACTTAATGAACATAAATTACAAGTTATAAGCAATATTGTATAGTGCATCTGAGTCCTGAAGTGCCCTAATTAGTAATAGCTAGGTGGAAGACATCCATAATAATAGCCATTTCTACCTTTTAGCAATTCATATAAAAGTGTGTACATATGTATTCTTCTCACAGATTCACCATCTTCTGCTTGAACAGTTTAGCACAATTCAAGCAATGACTAAATCATAATTTCTTAACTTAAACCATCGACAAGGAAATGAGCAACTCCTTCATTTCCATAACAAATATTCAGCAAAGAAAAATGTGTGAATTGTGTACAATCTTCCCATAGAACTATCAACACTTAATGACCTTCTAAATGTCAGCAAAACTGTGAATAATTCGCTTTGTTCTTTGAGTCTCTTGCCAAAATTTTATCAGGAATAGTAAAGAAAGAACAGCAAAAAAAATGGCAAAGATTCCAGTTGTCCACATGTTTCGCCACATTCGACGATGTTCTGCTAGATTGGAAGTAACAAATGTCAATTGAAAATTTAGACATTCAGAGAAAACGCAATATTATCACTTGATGATTCCAAGAAATGTAAATTGGCATTAAACTTTATGAAAAAGGGCCCATGGTGTGGTTGTCAAATCCTAGATGTATTTTATGTGTTGTGATGGAAAAAATCATTGAAGATATTTTTCATTCATTTACTCCAGTTTCAACTTAAAGTATAATAATGAATTTTCCATGGGTAAAAAATGCATGCGATATCTCTTTCAGCTGGTCGTATGGTCAACAACGTTACCTTGCGATGTTATTGACTCATTTGCATGGTTTTTAATGATACCCACTAAATGATAAAATAAAATATCGTAAATTTTGGTCCACTAGCATCATTCAGTATACTAATAGCAATTACCTTCATCAAGGCTTTTTGTAATGGCCTGCTCAATATAAATGAACATGACCGTCGCATATATTAGTATGTCTCTCAAATTGAAATTGAAATTGTGTTGACGTTTGAATGTCATGAGTAGAGTTAGCGCAAGATTATCGTTCCAATAAAATTTTAAACAAACGATAAAAGACCAAAAACTGAGTTACTTGCAGTTTAATATAACGATGTAGTACAGTTACAGTAACCTTTATGTGTCCCAATGGTATTGTCCCACTGCCTACTGGTGTGTGTAATTCATGCAAACATTCAGATTGAATAACTAGAGTGGCCAGACGAACATGCTGGGATTACAAAAAATCACCAAAAGTTATATTGATTCTTATATTCGCAAAAGTTTCGAACATATTTTACAACAATTTTTCGAGAAAACATCGTGCTACCGTCAACACAGTTGGGGGTGCATAAGTGCGTGTTGGCGTTTATTGGGTTATTAAATCAGTAAATTAGTGCTCATGTCTCTCAAGACATTGCGCGGTCAAAGCGATATTTTTCTAATAAACTTTGAAATTGTAAGAAATGCTGTGGTAATATTTCAAGTAGAAAGGTATGCTTCTTCTTGATATTACATTGAAATTGCTTTTCATGAACATCATTATGTCATTGTGTCTAGATGAAGCACTGTCAAGCACAATCTTGCAACTTTTACCGTAGACCTTTTGAATTTGAAATCTATAATATACCAAAACAATTTCCATTCTTCGAATATTGTGATTTTTACTGACTAAACTGAAAAATTAGAAAGATTGAAGAATGCCAATATCCCCAATTATCCCTTTTCAATAGGAGTGTCTAGTTATGATCAGTTCGCAATATTTGTTTATTCAAATTACTAGCTTAAGATCATGGCCTCAGATGGTAAGTCTGACTCAAATCAAGAGCAAAAAGACAGCTTTGCGTTTGAATTTTCTGATCATGCACAAGAGTTAGCTCGAATGGCTTTTGTTGAATTTAAATGTGAGAGGTACGACTCGTGCTTAAGTCACCTCTCAAAGCTTAAAGAATTACACCCAACGGATCTGAAAATTGAACACAACAAGGCTGTTGCAGATTACTACAGATCAGGTTGCAAGAAGACAGATGATTTTCTTAAGACTCTAAACGGAGTCATGAAAAAGGTGCAAATAACAATTATCTGATAAATCCGGGTAAAATTTTGTGAAGCATTGAAACTTAGTTCCCTTACATAACAGGTATGGGTAATTTCAATGTAATTTTCCTTCTGTTACCAACATATTTAGTCCTAAAAATAGGAATTTTGAAATTTAGTAAATACTGAGCACAGAAATGGAACTTTACATAATGTGTCAATAAAATCTGACAACTCTTGCTTTGTTTAATGTCTTTGGAAAATGAAGCATGTTTTTTTTTCAGATGAATCTTAAAATTTCTGAAGAAGAAGGCACTACTGAAAATGTGGACTTTGAAAGAGCTTTATTGCTTTATAACAAGGCTGTGTATTGCTTCTATGTGAGTTTTCGTTATGTTTTTTTATTTTCTAGTATTTCATCATATAGTTAATACATGTTTTTAAATCTTAGGTAAAAAAGTATGTTGATGCTTTGGCAAATTTGGAAAAACTTTTAAAAATTGTTGAAGCTCTTGGTAAGTCATCATGGATTTTTTTCGAAAGAGCTTTACTGCTAGGGTAATGGATTATTATGATTGGGGGAGGGGGGAGTAGAATGCGTACTAGAATCCTTAATCAGAATTAACTTTCATATCGGTGTGCGAATTAGTTCAGAAAAAACGATGTGCAATTTTTTTGACAAAAGTGTTTCTTTAGAGGCATAATCAAATTGATATTGCTTTAATTACTATATAGCGCTAATTGCTAAATTAATATTTTTAAACGTGAACAAATTCATATGATTTACAACAGTGTTTTTTGTTAAAACCTCTGATTTTTGCACATTGTATGAAAAAGTGATGTGCAATTGTTTTCATTTTAGCTAAAATGATGTGCAAATTCACATTGCACACCGTTAATTCGCACACTGTTCCATATAAACTAATAAAGTAGAACATGCATATATGAATATTATCAAACACACCCCACCACCAACCCACCACCACACCCACCACCAACTTCCTACCCACCAACCACCCACCACCACCACCTACCACCACCACCTTCCCACCCACCACCACCACCCCACCCACCACCACCTTCCCACCCACCACCACCTTCCCACCCACCACCACCACCACCTACCCACCACCACCCCCTACCCCCACCCACAATAAACAATCTTCTCCACCCATGCTTTGCTGCCAATGTTAAATGAATGTTTTTGTTTTGTTCTTAGATAAAAGATTTGCTCAAAATATATGTTTTCTGTATGTTGAAATCTGTTTGCTGACTTACCAGGTTTTCTATTTTAATGATATTTTATTGCAGATTTGAAAAATACTGATGGTGTTATTTGTTTAATGTTATGTAGGCTGAAAAAGCCATAGCTGTCCTGAATATTGTAGAGAAACTTTTACATGATACTACCAAACAATCTTCAGAGGTTACAAGATTTCTATGTTTGTCCTAATTTTTGAAAACTTACCCATAGATAGGAGCACTACCAAATCTACTGATGTGTTTACTTTGTTTGTGTTAGAATGTTGCCGACAATGGAAAAAATTGTGACAATGAATTATCAAAACCATATGATCAACAGAAGATAAGATTACACAAAGTGAGTTCATCATTTTGAGAATACTTCTTTGTAAATGTCGATTGTCCAGGATGGTGTAGTCCTGAGAAGGACTGTTTTTGTTGTTGTTGACTGACGTTTCGACAACCTTAGCGGTAGTCATCTTCAGAGTCATTTTGAGAATACTATTGAAATCAATTTTTGCAATCAACTTTTCTATTGAATTTTTTCTTACTAAAGTACAGAGCAAGAGTTCATTTACTCCAGAAATCTATAAAAGCTTGTAAAAAAGAGATCAAGACCATTATGAATGTAAATAATATGGTGAGGGCAAAAATTTGAATTTATTGATTTATTGATTTAGAGATGAATGTAAATAATATGGTGAGGGCAAAAATTTTGAAGTTATTGTTTTGTGTGTACCACTGAGAAGATGTGTTTAACTTTTGATTATTTCGACAGTTTAATCATTAAAGTGATCATTTTGATCGCTTTCAACAGAAGCGTTGTATTCAGTGGAAAGATTCATTATTTGCCAAGTCCTAATTATGTGGCTATTGTGTGTAAATATTTTGCATCCAGTTATGAGTTCATTTGGAATAACTTTGATTTTTTATAAAGAGTCAATTTGTCCTATAAAAGCTCAAAAATTTTTGTGCTTTATGGACAATTATTGTCCGAACGAAGTTCCCCGTAGATCTCTCTCAGAGGGGAAACTGTGAATCAGATTTTCTTTAACGCACGTTTTTCTCCATTTTAACCTCTAAATAGGATACAGAAGCACTTTTCATAAAGAGTAACTTTGAGTTTGTGCGTCACAACGAAAGGAAAGCGGTGAAAATTCTCAACAGCGCTTCTAAAGACAATCAAATTTTAAAAACGGGAGAATCCATTTCCACAATGTATTTCAACAATCTTGGATGTCTTCATGCGCAGATGCAAAAGTACAATCTAGCCTCCTTCTATTTTTGTCGTGCCATTGCTGAAAACGAGGAGGCGCTCTCCATGATTTCTACGTCGGACAAAAGTGAGTGCGCGGGAACATCTTTGCATTTTCAAGTATTACATAGTATGAAAAACTTCAACAAAGGACCTTTATATACGTTGTACCAAATTTCTTATTGATTATTGCAAAGAAATGCTTGGAAATTTGGTCGTTATGGATGCTTGGAAAAAGCAAAATTTCATGCTTTAATTTGGGTTTTAAATTGTGACTTTTTTCGACTTTCGAATTTTTTTCCCCATGCTGATGTATTGTAGTAATTTCAGCTCAGTGTTTGTCAACAATAATGCGATGTTACCTCTTGTGTTTTTATTTATAAGACGGCGATTCTCTTAACACCAGACCAATGTGTACACTCTCAGTCAACAGTCGTCATCATCTACTATATAATCTTGGTGTACAAATGCTTCACGATTGCCGACCGTTGCTTGCATTTGACTGTCTTATCGAATCTGTGCAAGTGTATCAGTCAAACCCTAGACTTTGGTTACGACTTGCCGAATGCTGTGTTCTAGCGCATCAGATGGTAAGTGGCAAGAAGTTAGTGGTGTTTGAAATGCACTTTCCTGAAATAACAGATCTTATTGTTACTTTTAAAATCTTTCCATTTCCCTTAATTCATTGCATTTCAGACACTGCCTTCCTTAAATTGTTCAGTTATGCGTTGTCCTTCATTGTACCTTTGCATCCTTCAATAACAATCATTGGAACTCGTTGCTTTATACCTATAGTCAACTTTTGATGAGAAAAATGTCAATCGTAGCAGAAAAAGTGATCTTGTCGAGTCTGTGGTTGGCATCGGACCGTATCGTAAAATAGTTTTGCCGGCAGAAAATACCAGCAAAATTACGTAAGTCTTTCGTAGATTTTACATTTCCTTTTGGAAAGAACAAGAAAGTACATTACAAATATGAAAATTGGAAATTGTTTTTTTGTCATAGAACCAACTCAAGTGGACATTCAGCTGCAATGCCGGCTTGTAACTTGCACTTCGCGATGTTGTGTCTTCGTAACGCTCTTGTATTGATTCCAGAAAGAGCATCGCTTGCTAACGGAGATAGAAAACAAAAAGATAGTTCAGAGCCCAACGGCTCCGAAAGCAACTCGGAGTAAGATCAATTGTTTGAAACATTGTCGTGAAATAGTTGTAGATGCGCGTTGTATGCGCTGTAGAAAAGAATAACATGTTTAATTTCATTTTTATTAGCAACCAAGATTCCTTCAGTTCAACTTCCATCCCAGCTGCGCCGTCTGCTCCTATTAAGGGTCAAGATATTCAAAAGTTGAAGTGAGATGACATCTATAGTTTTAGTGATAATTTTGCCATTGAAATGTCCCGTGCTTTTTATATGTCATACAATCTTGACATAACATAATAGCTTGACGCGTCTCTTCTGATTGTTATTATAACTTTGTCAGAAACTCGATATTGGCCAACCTTGCTTACGTCACATTGGTTTTGGGCGATTATGTTTTATGTCATGAACATGCGCAAACTCTTTTGTCTCAACCAAACCTCGATGGTACAGTGAGGTGGGTATGTTCGTGAAAGACAAGTTTTGATCTTTGTGGGACTAACAAAAAAGCAAATTTCTTTTCTTTACTTCATTCTCGTGTGGGACTTTGAATAATACAAAGCTACCACTAGCATTCTATTTGACTTTCTTACTATTGTCTTATTTTGAATAGTTTCTTGGCTCATCTTTATGCTGCAGAAGCGTTGATACAACTCGGCCGAGTCTCCGAAGCACTCGGCCATTTATCAATCGACAATGTCAGTGACTTTTCAAGTAACAATAATGGTGATCAAACACCAGGTTAAGAATTTTAGGATCCTTTATCGTTGTGGTTTTGGTTTTTTCGTCATCAATCGTCCCTGTTGGTTTTATACTGTGTTCATTGTCCTTGTAGTTTTAAAATGTTAGGTTTTGTGATGTGTCGATATGTAAGTGTATTAGCTGAATATACATCTGTTTTGCACAGGCGCCGACTATAGTTCATTCCCGCAAACTGTGAACGAAGCTAAAATGACGTTTCTGGTAAATCTTGCGGGAGCACACTGCTTGCGCGAGGATTTCGAAAAGGCAAAAAAGTGTTTATACCAGGTATGATAAATTCACTTTCTTCCTCTTCTTCGTTGCTATCATTGTGACTTATTACCTGCTTATCTAGTGGTGTGAATTTCAAATCAGAAGATAGATCAGAAAAGCGAAGATCTGATATCAGTATAATATCACTCTTTTTTTTGTTGTGTAGACGTCGTCAATTGTGCAGTTGAAAGAACTTCCACATCAAGCTCTAATGATGGCAGTTTATATCGAACTTCAACTCGGTAAAAATAATGGAACAAACTAGCAAATAAATTTTATCCTTCTTATTTGTCGAACTTTTTTTTGTTAGGAAACCATAATGGCGCTCTGATGATACTCAAACGATACCAACTTTTACCTCCAAGCAAAGAAACGAGAAACAGAGAAAACTCAGAAAGTCCTTTATGTGATTTTTGTTTTTAGTCAATTGTTTATGTTATAGCGATTTCTTGGCATTAAAAATAAAGTTTTTTTGAGTGCTGGAGAAAAACTGCTCTTGTGTCCTCGCTGATAAAATAATGCATGTACACTGTGCGTATCTGTTTTTAATTGTGATTACGTAATAAGTCTAGTTGTTGCACAGTGTTTGAAAACATGAAGTTTGAAAATATGGTGCAAAGTTTAAACAACTATTCAAAGTAATATGGTTGGAGATGGAGAAACGTGCATCATACCGGACATAGTAAAGAATGAATTACTGTTTCTGCGCTTTCTAACAATAAAGTAACGTACGATGTATCTGCTAACGAAAAGAGACTTGCAAAGATTGACGATTAGACTTAAAAGATTTGGTCTCCTAAGACTGGCAAAGAATGCAGCTTTGCAACAAGCTCATTTGTGTCAATACAGCCATTTGAATTCGAAGCTATTTGTTGAATCAAATTCTTTGAAAGTCAGAAGACTAATAGATAGTTTAGTTGTTAAACGAGTGACGAGCTCTGCTGATGTTAAGGTTTGTTATTTAAGAGTTCAATATAAACTGTCTTATATGTACGTGTAAAGAATAAGTATATAATGTTTCTGTCTATAGAGTCGAAGAATTTTTACAAGAGTTTGTATAATCATCTTAATAATTTTTGTGATGGTGTTTTGAGTGGAGAATGGATAGTAAAACATGGTAATTTTTGTAAACATTTTTCATTGCTTGCTTTCTTATATTACGGTTATTTATAACTTGTCAATTTTTTTGTACTGTTTTAGGAAGACTACTGCTTTCAAGCATGGATGGAGGCTCAAATTCAAACAAAAATGAAAAACCAGGTAAGTTAGAGTTTTTGTTATTACATTTTGTATGCAAAGCTGGAAATAGTGGTCTGTCACTGGTTGGCAGCAGGCCATGTTTTTGAGATGGCAAGAAAAATTCCAAAGATTTGCTTTGTTTTATTTGCTTAAAACAACTCTATTTTTTAAAGACAGACAAAAATGAAAATGTCAAGTCATATTTTTGCCTGTTTCAAGCCCTGTTTGCATGATAACTTTTTCTCGTTGGTTTGAACAGCTGAAAATGTGTGTTGTAGTGAAATGTGTTAGCATACCACTCAAAATTTACACGCTTTTTAAGTTTGCACGATAAAACTAGCATGGAATTCAAAATTCCACCTTGGCATCAACGAAGGACTTATGTTAATGAGGGATTTTAGAAACAGAAGTTTTCATGGCACCAAAAGTTTTCCCATTTCATTTCAAAATCTGTTAAGGCTTTTGCTGGTTAGCTAAATAGAGACACGTTTTCAGATCATCATAGTTCAAGTTTCAATGATCCAAACAACATGAACTTATTTCTGATACTTGGTGTTATGATCGGAGCTCTGTATCTTCTTGGTACTAACAGTGATCCAGTACCTGAAGTCACGTGGAACGCATTTTATCGAGAAATGCTTATTAATGGAGAGGTAACATTTTAACCCTAAATAATTTGTGCTAGAGGTCACATGACAATATTGGAGGGGGGGGGCACATGTGTGTGTGGTCTTAGAATAAAGGATTTTTTTCAATGTGTTGAACTGTTAAGTCTAATTTGTTTTAATTGATATGGGGCTATGGGCCTTCATCAGGAAATGATGCTTGTTTATTCAAATGCTCTTGTTTTGAAAGGTTGAAAAGCTTGACATTGGATCAACAGGAGACATTGTGTACATTTATCTACATAGAGGGCTATTGTTGGTGGCAAAGAGGTATAAAATGACAGATATGGATTCCTTGTACCTTTAAAATTTCTTTGCTTCTTTGTAAATGTGCATAAAAGTTATCTTCCCATTCCCTTTAAAAGTGATCTCTTTAAAAGTGAGTGGTTTTGTGTGCGAGATCAAGCTACCTGCTTTATTTATTTTTTTAAATATAAAGTTTTTTCCAGGCACGGTCATTTGGTCCTCACTATCGATTGCAAGTGTTAAATGCGGACAGTTTTGAAGAGAAATTGAAAAATGCCTACAAGGAACTTGGCATATCTTCAAAAGAGTACATACCCATCAATTATCGTCAAGAAAATGAGCTTCTGTAAGGATGACTGTATTATGATTTTTGGTGCGCGGGTTTTGTGTTGAGCGATTTGTATTCAGATTACATCAACTTTTTTGGGATTGTGTGTTCGTGTTTTCTGTTCATGTAACGTATCGACTTGATCTTTTGAAGACGTTTGATGTCATTTGAACGCAATTTATGCACGTCTGAAATCAAAGGCTTTGCTTCCGAAAAATACTCTACATTTTCTTTCAAGGTTAATGAAGCAATTAATAAGATTAAATGATGTTATACAAAATCATTGATTAAAAGCGTCAGAAAACTACGTAGGTACATTAGTAAACTTAAATAATGTTTGATAAAATCATAGATTAAAAGCGTCAGAAAACTACGTAGGTACATTAGTAAACTTAGATAATGTTTGACAAAATCATAGATTAAAAGCGTCAGAAAACTACGTAGGTACATTAGTAAACTTAAATATTATACTCTCAATTGAAAATACAATAATCACAGCTGCACAATCGTTTTGCGCTAGATTTAAGATAAATGTGCAATGTACGAGAAATGAAAGTTCATTTCATGATAATTGTGACGCTTTTCATGAATTACAGTGTGAAGTTGATAATAAGACAATAGTTTAACGAATTTGTTTAAGTCGGCTTTTTATACAAAATGAATCAAAATTTCGCAACATAAGCGTTAAAAGTTGGGTTGAATTTCGATCACACAAATGGCTTGGATTATTGAATGTTATCATTGTAAAAACTATAAAATTGCGGACTCGTTTATTTCAACATTAACTGAGACATAGAAAGCAGATAATACTTGTTTGCCAGTTGCCACTAAGTCTGTGGATGGTTTGGGATACACGACGCAGTCAATGAAAAAGATACTTGTTGAAAATTTGCAGTATGCATGGATATTATTTTTTATTCTATGAGAAGACTCTTGTGAAAAGCTCTTAAGCATGTAAAGCTTGTGATAGATTTCATTAAAAATGTTTCTATTTTCAATGTCGTCAATGTATGTTCTCACCATGATACATGAAGCAAAATAAATAGGAGTACTTTGAGGAAATAAAATAAACGTATAACACATTTTATGGTTGATTCAAAAGGCAGTTTTTTTTTAAACTTTGCTCTACCCTTGGATGCCCAGTTCACACATATTAAAGTTTAAAGGATTTTTCTAATATATTTGTGTAGAGGAGCTTTCATTAGTGCTGTAGGAAGTCTTATTGTCTTTGGAATTCTTTGGTATTTGTTCGTTTATCGTGGAAGGTCTGCGGGATCCAGAAACAATGATATATTTGGCGCAAATAATCCGTTTGTAAGTGACACTGTGGCCAAAAGAGCCTGCACTTGTTGGCGAGTCTCAGTGTGCAATCGCTTTTTGTTCGTTGCAGAGTGACCGCGTCAAAGCAAAAGTAACCGTTGTCGAAGCTGATGGAAAAAATGATATCAGGTGAAAGAAAGAGAAGAAAAGATATCTTAGTGTCTTTGTCATTGATAGTTTTATTTTCTATTATTGTTGCCAAATCACTCAGTTCATTTGTCGGGTCTTTGCGTTTTTTTAAAGACTGAAAGATGTTGGAGGAATGGGCGAGGCGAAGGAAGAAGTCCTCGAGTTTGTCGATTACTTGAAATCACCTGATAGATATAAAGATCTTGGAGCCAAAATCCCTAAGGTGACGTTTTTCGTCATATTTACCCATGCATTGTCTGGTAGATTTAGGTTTTGTCGAAAGACCACTTTTGTGATAGCCTGAAAACATGTTCATGACATTGTTTTGGATTTAAGAAATAAAAGATTTTTACTGAGTTCGCACAGGCTTATGCAAACCGAGGAGATCTTTGGGAGTTAGGGCACTTGCTCGAGAGTTGCATAAGCCAGTGCAAACAAGGCAAACATCTCTTCTTTATTTTACTAAATAACAATAATGAGAAACAGTTAAATTTATTAATGTAGAGCTGAGGTATTAATTTTTCCTCTGACACGTATTCATGACCTCGTGCGTTTTATTGTTCGTATTTTATGAATATGCATGTTACTTCATGTACTTTCAATATAACGACACTTGTTCACAGGGAGCTCTACTGGTTGGTCCACCTGGCACAGGCAAGACTTTGCTAGCCAAAGCAATTGCTACCGAAGCAAGCGTTCCTTTTCTTTCGATGGCTGGCCCAGAATTTGTCGAAATGTTTTCTGGTACGTTAAACATGTTGATTCTGTTCTTTATCCTGTCACTAACAATATCCAACATGTTTGTTTTGTTTTTGATTTGATTTTACTGATTGACCTTTAATGATGTTGATTGGAGATGGAACATTTTTAATGATGTTGAAAAGTCGTGAAACATGTTTAATTATTTTGAACAGTCATGGAACATGTTTATTGATGTTCATTGCTCATTAAACATTTTTAATGATGTTAAATAGTACTGGAACGTATTCGGCGCCATCGGTTTTTCATGTGACTGCTTTCTCTCAGACCAAACTTTTTTTTCAATATTTTCAAAGGTGTTGGTTCGGCTAGAGTTCGAGATCTGTTCGGCCAAGCTAAAGCACGTGCTCCATGTATCGTGTATATTGATGAACTGGATTCTATAGGACGGTCAAGAAAGTCCTCGTAAGTATGTTGTAAACCTTCTAAGTAATTCACCACAACGATTGGAGTTTCATCTTTCTGGGGGTTGTAGCAGAGCTCCCCAAGTTACTTTGAAAGCTTGATCACTTCATAGTTGAGTTCAGTAGTTTTATTTTTGTGAAATTCTTCATGCATTTAGTTTTTATTGAAAACTTGTGCTTAGAGTTATGGCAAGGTATCTCCTCCCCCCCCCAGGAAAGCATAGCTTGGTTGCCTCCATGATGTTGTAATATTTGTTGTATGTACCATTCCAGCAGTACATTTGTTTGCATTTAGTGGCCTGTCAGGTGGTGAAAATGAGCAGGAAAACACACTTATACAGTTACTGGTCGAAATGGATGGTGAGATGGACATTGTAATTTGTAGTTTACGTAGGACGAACAAAAATATTACCATAGTTTAAGATATACAATTTTTTTAACTATGGTGCTGTTTAATACAAAATGCCGGAAAGTTTTGAAATGTTTTGTGCGACATATTTGAAATTGAACAAGGAAATTGTTTAGGTATGAATTCAATTGATGGCGTGATAATGCTCGCGTCTACAAATCGAGCAGATATTTTGGACAAGGTAAGACATGTGAGATGCCATGAATTACCGTACTCAAATCTCTTTTTTCGAGAAATTATGTGGTTTATTATAGACAAAACATCACATTACATCATTTTCAATATACATCTGTGGAAATATTATCTGTGTAATGGATGAACATGTAGTTAGATACGGTTATTTCATGTTTTGACATTCTTTCATTTGAGGCGTTGCTAAGACCGGGAAGATTTGATCGTCTTATCAACGTTGATTTGCCAACCTTACACGAGAGAAAGGAGATTTTGAAAGTTCATCTCGGCAAACTTAAGCTGGAAAGGAATATTAATGATTACGTTCAGAGATTGGCTGAATTAACTCCAGGATATTCTGGTAAAGTATTTTGGTATTTTGGTTACATAATGGGATTCTCATCCCATTCCTTTCCCATTAATCATTTCCCTTTCCTACAGCTCTTCCACAAACGTAAATTCTTCGATTCCCTTCAGTCCTTTTCTTTTCTTATAGTTCTCTCTTGAACTTAAATTGCTCTTTTTTTAACGGCTAGTATTTTCTCAAACTCGTTTTTTTCCTAACAGTATTCCTCCGTAGATCTTTAAATCCATCGAATTTCACCAAATAGAGGTGTATGGTTTTATGCCAGTTTCTGATTTGTGTTCTTTGCAGCTATTTTCTAAATTTTGGCTAAAGAAAGTTAAATTTTTTGTTTAGGTGCGGATCTAGCCAATGTTTGCAACGAAGCTGCTCTACATGCGGCACGTGTTAACGAAAAACAGTTGATACAAAAAACTTTGATTACGCTGTCGAAAGAATCATTGCAGGTCCAACTAACTCATTGCTTTATCAACCAACCAATTCCCTGTTCTTATTGGTAAACGTTTCAACTTTTCCTCAGTCGACGCAAACTTTCTCACACAAATTCATTCAAACATTTCCTTCACACTGTATGTTCGGTAAATTATGCTTACATAAAGTTTCACTTAAAATATTTAATTTTCTATTGTTGGGCGACTCACGTCGATTCACATTACTTACGATTGACGTCTGTTTGATGAATCTTCGAGGGACTCTGAGGGACCTTTGAGTACCATATTGGATCAGAGGTACCAGATTTGATGTAGAGGAACGTTTTCATCCAGGATGTTTTTGTCATGTAGGTATGGAAAAGAAAAGTCATGCATTGTCGTCTGAGGAACGTGAGATGATTGCATATCACGAAGCGGGACACGCTGTTATAGGGTGGATGTTGGAACACGTTGATCCCTTATTAAAGGTGGCTAGTTTGTAGTCTTGTCCTTGTCGTTCTACCTCTGCTTTCATTATTATAGATACTGATATCTTCCTGCATACATTAGAATTCTCACTATATAGTCAATGCGTTAGAACCCAATAGATCGTTTTCAAAAAAGCCATAAGCGGTTTGATTTTGTAATTATTATTAAGCGAGTGACGTTTTAGTCTTGACTCAAGACATCTTCAAACTAACTGCAGATATGATAGGATGTAATTTTTACGTTCACACCTGGCATATATTTTTAATGTAAGCCTACATATATTTATACAAGTATACATTTGAAAATCTCATTTTTAGTTTAGCAAATGAAAAGTGTACTTTCCTAATATACACTAGGTATCCATTGTCCCTCGAACCAACGCTGCTCTTGGTTACTCCAAATATCTACCTTCTGATCAAAAATTATACACAGCAGAACAAGTAAGATGACATAGATCAAATCGTCTTTATGAAAACAGATAACAAAAAATTATAATTGAAATAAAAAATTGTGATCTGTGTGTAATGTTTTTGAAGTTGTTTGATCGAATGTGCTTGGCTCTTGGTGGACGAGTGGCTGAGGCCAAAGTATTTCAAAAGATCACAACAGGTGTTTCGTATATCACTTGATAAAATCATAATCATTGCATCTGAAATAATGCTATTTTTATTATAGTCATATAATTTCATGTTATTTCTATGTGTTATTTAGGAGGGGAAGATGATTTGAAGACAGTAACTGATATTGCTTATAAGCAGGTATAAGTATTTTACTTATGAAAGAGATAAGCATTTACTTTACCAATAAGGGGCTTATTAAATGAACCCGGTAGCCGGGATTCAGCCAAGCGTTAAATGATTTTGGCAAATGGAAACGATTCAATACTTATCTTCAGATAAATCTTCTCAAGCAATTTTACAATATTCTGATTTAATAACGTCCAATTTGCCCTAATTTAAGAATTGCAGCCGGAGTGACGTTTGGTGCTTCGCAAACAGTTGTAATTTTTAACCTTGAAGTTTCGGCTCTTTTCAATCCCTTGAAATCATCGCGTTTAGCTCGGTATCCGGGCGAGCTCGTCTCCATATAATCAGGCCCTAAGTTTATTTTACACACAAGCTCGCTATCTATTATTTTCATGTATATTTAGATTGCAGCCTACGGCATGAACTCCACGATTGGTAGTTTATCACTTCCAATTAAAAGCCCAACGAATTGGGTAAAAGACAATACAGTGATAAACTAAGAAAACTTATCGACGAGGTGATTCTACTCCTGTCCTTTTTTTGTCACACAGAAAAATGTTCTTAAAAGATACAGATTTTATGGTTGATAAAAACTGTTTTTCTAGGAAGCAAGACAGTTGATATTAAAGTGCTATAGACGTACCGAAGAAATTATGGATGAACATTTTGTTGAATTGAAGAAGGTATGGTAACTTGTGACTTGTGTCCAACTCTCCTCGAAGTAATGCAAAAAACTCTTTCAATTACAAAGAATATCAATTATTTTGTGCATTTATTGATTGCGAGCACACATATAAATAAAAATTAAACTTTTAATGTTTTAGAACAAAATAATTCGCTTACAAATTCATCTCTATTTTATAAAAATTTTGCCGACTCCATTTTAACTTCGATCGCTTATCGTATACATCTCTCTTGGTCAAGATTTCAAATCTACAATTCGTCTGATTGTACACATTTTCATAGGTCGCACAGGCCTTGTTAAAAAACGAAGTACTTAACTACGAAGACATCGAGAAACTGATCGGTGAACGTCCTTATTCGAAATCACGTAAACCAGAGACAGCAGAATAAATTACAACTCGATCCGGGACTGTAACATTTTACAACAGGAACGTTGCTAATATATAAGCATGACTAAGAAATTAAGACGCAAATTTAACCGATATTTATAGTTAATATTATATGTACCTAGACCCATGTACACATGTCTTTCAGTTTGAAAATAGGATGGCAGGTTTTAAACATCAAAACAAAAGACCGAATGCTTAACCTGCTGAAGACAAGAAACAAGATGTGTATCATTATAATCAATTGCTTTTGAGCTATGTCATCTTATTTTAATAGTGCTCTCCATCGCTAATGATTGTATATAAGTTCACTTCGATGTAAATCATTCATCCGTAATTCGTGTATTGATAACCTATGACTAGTAATTATCGGAGAATGTCGATATATATAGGTTTTGTGGTAGTTTTAATATTCTTTTGTTTAGTATTGAATACAAATTGTTCTATTTTCAAAGAATTTACTGCTCATAAACGCGATTCCCCGCTCGATGATGGAAACAAGGTAGTGTACCACATTGAAATCACTTGAAATAACAATTACTTAAGCTATTGTTAAAACTTTGTTGACTGTAAACATTTTCATGGAAGTTGGAACTATTCTAATGGAGTTGTTTCATGACGATATAGATTATATACTGTCCTGCAGGACCTCCGGGACCACCAGGACCAACGGGGTTACCCGGGATACCTGGACGTGATGGACGGGATGGTAAGACTATTATTGAACTGGATAAACATGGTGGATTATGTGCCCAACCGTTACCAACAACATGTCCTGAAGTTACATCGCCAAATTCTCAGCCACCACCATTTCAACCATCGATGACAAGGTTCGTACAAAATGGACGATATCTTATTTTATTGCGGCAACTATGGGCAAATGCTTTTAAATGACGTTAAAATTACAAAGATTCCCTTCTCCTCTAATCTTGAAAGATCCGTTTGTTAAAAGATAAGAATTGTATATGTATGTTCAACAGATATACATCATTTCTTCCTCTTGAAAATGCCTTTTCTCGTTCAAAACTAGCCCAAAACCAACAGTTATTCCTCTTGGAACACAGCAAAACCCCGGATGGTCTTGTCAGGAGATATATAATCTACACCCAGAAGCCATCAGTGGTCCTTATTGGCTCAAGACTTATCATGAGCCTTATCAGGTATTTCTGAATGTCTTTGAATTATTTACAGTATTGTAGCTGGCCTGGTGTTGAATTATCGCTATGCAAATATGTTGGTGCTCAATGTCTGTAAAAGAATTTGCATTGCACAACTAACTCTACAGGCTGGCTACCATACTGATTACGCAGTAATATTATTCTACATGTTTGTAAATGTAGATCGTCCAGGTTGGTATAGTCAAAAACTCTGAAGATGACTACCGCTAAGGTTGTCGAAACGTCAGTCAACAACAACAAAAACAGTCCTTCTCAGGACTATACCAACCTGGACGATCTACATTTTCAAACATGCAACGATACTCCCGGGTCAAACCATTTACAATATTATTCTACCATGCACCTTGCGTTGTTAAAATTTCACACTTTAGTGATAAAAGAGGGATGACGATTTTCTTCAAAAGACTTTCTCTTGAATTAGACCCATTGTGAAATGATCAACGAAGAAGGTCCGAATCGCGGAGGATGGACATTAGTTGCAAGGGTTGATGGGAACACAAATGATTTTGCAGGGATAAGTCCAACGTGGACAAACTCTGATTTGATCAACGAAGACGATGCGACGGATCTTACAAGACTGGATCAATGAAGAACCACGGTTGGGGCCATATTGTTAACAATCAGTTGATGGCGTGTTTCAGTGGACCACATCAAAATTGTGCTACATTTACTCACAATAAAGAGATGACATTAGCAGATCTATTCAAGACACAGTTTGCTGTTGAAACATCCGAACATTATACATTCAAAACATTGATGGGACGATTTGGTAAATCACTGGATATATCGCAGTTGAAAACGGTAAGATCACCTTTAATCAATCCATGTTCACAGTTGAAAACGGTAAGATCACCTTTATCAATCCATGTTCACAGTTGAAAACAGTAAGATCACCTTTAATCAATCCATGTTCACAGTTGAAAACAGTAAGATCACCTTTAATCAATCCATGTTCACAGTTGAAAACAGTAAGATCACCTTTAATCAATCCATGTTCACAGTTGAAAACAGTAAGATCACCTTTAATCAATCCATGTTCACAGTTGAAAACAGTAAGATCACCTTTAATCAATCCATGTTCACAGTTGAAAACAGTAAGATCACCTTTAATCAATCCATGTTCACAGTAAATGAAACTGTATTTACACATCAATTTTGTTGCAACATTTTTGGTCATCCAGTTGAGACATAATATTTCATGTTCATCACATGGACTTTTGAAACTCTTGGCCCGACATCATTTTGACCTTTTTACCCTATATTTCGTGATTTATCCCCCACATTTATTTTGAAAATACTTTCTTTCACTTTCTCTCCAGGAATGGTGTGGTTTGAATTTGGGTGATTTATGTAGTCTGGCGCACCCACCAAGCAGGTATCATGGCACCCATGTATGTCGCATTGGTTGTATAGGAGACTCGAGTAACGACAGTTGTCATCCCCAGGATTACGCTTTGGGTACGTTTTAACAGTTGACAACCATGTCACTATGTCTTTCACTGGAGCTTGGATAAAGAATTTTTTAGTCATACTAATTGTATTGGTTTGCCCAGTGTAATATTTTAGAGTTTTACCAGTTTTCATTGTAATGCTGTACTGTACTTTTAAAAACTTACATACTGTACAGTGTGGTCTCTTATTGTGACATCGCTCAGGGATTCACTGTGTATTTCTTCAAGTCTTTGAAAAACAGTTGTGTTAGGGCAATTAAAGAGCTAATGATACACATCGTCTCCCTGTTACAGGTATTGGTGTGGCCGTTTGTCAACGTGGAAGCCATCAAAAAACAAAAAGATGTTCACTGAAAAATAACTCAGCTAAAAGCCTATATTATAGAACATTAATGAACCAACAACATGGTAGTTATGGTCAGACTGCTTTTATTTATATAAAATAAATAGATTGTTACTGGATTAAAGTATTTCATCTATCGAAGTTATAAAAGTTGAATACGAGTTTTTGGCAAATGACTTTTTAAAAAATAATAAAATTGGGGTCAGAGAATTGAACCATCGAGTAATATATGTATGTTTCTCTCATGACGACCACTAAATTAAGCACTGGGGACAATTTTCTGTACTTTTTTAATGCTTTCAAGGGAAACGAATCTCTCGGTTGTCGTTTAGTCGTGATGTTGTTGTGTTATCAACTTACCGTAGCGTAGCTTCTCAAGTGAACACTGCGTTACGCTTGTCTCATAATTTGTTTTGAGAGTTTTGTTTTCAGGATTATTCCTCATGAAGATCTCAAGAGGAAACGAAACAAAGACATGTAAGGTACTAAAAGAAATATCTCGTAAGAACTTTTAACTTATTTTGTGGAAGGGATTAGTGTTGAGAATTTAGCTTTTAAAGTTTGTTTTTGGTACAATATAAAGATTAGAAACCAACTACAGCGGAGAATTACTTTTTTCTGTTTTTTATATACTTGTGTTCGGTTTGTGAAACTAGTTGTAAAATCGTTCACAGTTAAGGTCGCTGGTACCGAAAGATTTCTTATTACAAAAATCAATAAAAGGGAATTTTTTTATTAATTAATATGTATATCTTTTTGTACATTTTAAAAGTGGTCTAACGAAATGAAAATATCATACATAACAAAAATTGCCTAGATAAAATAAATTTTAAAGATTATCACTAGCTTTTATCACTGAATTGTAGTGTTTCCCTAAGCCATAAGCATGATGGTGAAATCTAAAAAAAGAAAATGATAGAAAAATGAAATAACTTCGATAACTTTCATAGTAATAGTTGAGTATATCATCAGCTTTGACAGCTGTGATGTTGGTCAATTATAACATTTGTATTATGACGTAATAATGATGACGTAATAGGTAATGACGTCAGTTATTGCTGTCTGCTGTTGCTTAATGTAACAGCAGTTGATAATGTTGACGACGATACTGTTAATGTTTATAGTATTGCTGAAATGGGAGCATTAACTTGAAAAACTTGTCTCTTACGATAGGAGAATTGCTGGCGCTTCATATTGCTCTCCAATTTCAACTGTGCTTCCAACTGTCTGAAAGATTTTCACGGGAATCTCTAGTGCACAGGAAATGGCTTGTATCTGTGAAAAAATGTATGAAATCAAGTTTAATGTGATCTTGCCTTCATCATCTAGATCAAGTTGATAAAGTTCTGTAAACAAGGTGTGTATTATGTAGGTACTGTAACACTAATGGAGATTTCCAATTCAAATGACATGCCAAGCACAAGATGCACAATTCAATGTTTGATGTTTGTTCAATTAAAGTAAATGTAATAGTAGAAGTCATATTGTCCATAGATACCAAGAACCATGGATTTGTAACATTCTTGAAGCACTGAAACTTACCTCTAATTGACCACCCCAGACTGAGGAATTGCAAAGTTGCTGACAGTAATCAGAAAATTTCTCTAAATCAAATCATGTAAATTACTTTGTTTAAAATGTGGATATGAGTGCTGTTTAATGAAAGCATTGCAATAAACAAAACAGTATTCATTGAAGATTACAAACATATATTCTTCAATTGTATGGTTCTGATGCTTATACCTTTAGTATAACCATCACCAGTGTGCTGATCAATGAGGAAAGGAAGAAAGTCTTCGGAATGAGAAAGCATATATGATGCAGCCAGTTCACGCAGACTTTGATTCGTATGTTGAATGTTTAATGTTCTCAGCTGATCAGCAATTGCATTGTATAAACTAAAAATAAAAAAAAATAATTTTTTTTCTTATCCTTTTGTCAGGTTGAGCGGGACAACTTACCAATTTCCATCAGCAGCAATCTGTTACAGAAAAAGGAGAATATATTTATTAATATAAATAAAATAGAAGTCAACAACGACAAAAATTGCATAGCTACCTCTTTAACAACAAGACCTAAAGGTAGCAAAATAGATTCAAGTTTTTTCTGCTCAATACTTCTTTCTGAAATGATGTTTTCTGCTTGTTCAATTCTTTTTTGCCGTTCTTTCTCCAAGGCAGCTTTCTTATCCTTTAAAATTAAAACACACATGCATGGCTGATAAAATCACATAGCAGCTAGGTTACTATTTAAATGTATTGCAAAATAGATGCCTCTCGGAGCATAGCATATGGGATGTAGCTATAGCAACACATGGAAAATGTTGGGAAATGGCACTTGCCATTTATAGTTACCCGTCTTTTCTGAGCTCTGGTGACTTTTCTCCCTTCCGGTTGATCATTTATGTCCATTATATTCATTTGAGGCAGCAATTCTGACGCATCATGAGTTTCAGTCTTTGCAATAAAACAAGAGAAATGAGTTCAAATGACTAACATGTTACTTGTATAATTTTCACATCCAGGGTCATAAATGAATCCAAAAATACAGAAATAATACATCAGTTTTCTGTGAGATAACCTACAATTTTTGAGGTGACTGACACAATTTCTGCATTTTCTTGATTGTGTTTTTCTTTAAGTTTGGCTTCCAATGCTGCTATTTCCTCTGTTACTTCTTTTTTTCTTTTTTTATCGCCTTTAGGAACACTTCGTTTTAAGGCTTGAATTTTACCTGAAGTTAAAAGAAATTCATCGCGGATTGAGAACAAAATGAATTTATTACAGAAGGTATGTTCATTTCGTTGTATAGACATGTTTCTCTGGAATCATTGCGAGAAACAACTTCCACAAAGTTTACCATGAAATGTTCCTTCTAGCTAACTGTTTATGTACAACCTTTTTTAAATGTACGCTTTAAGTAATAGATTGCCTTTAATTGTTTTTATTCGTTCGTCCGTTAAACTGCAAATACATTTCACTAACAGTATTTATAAATTATAATCTTGGGTCCATAATTTTATTAAAATACTTAAATATTGTTTACTACAGAGAGAATCGGCCTTTTATTTGCCACCTGAAAAGACGAAATCGTTTACCTTGTAGTTCCTTTTTTTCTTGTTTCTGACGCTCCAATAAATCTCCTTGTTTATCAACATCTTCGTCGGCCATTAGTGCTAGACAGCTTGTGTTATGAGTCACCCCCCTCGAAACATTACTCATCCCCCCTTCTACCTTGTTTAAAGTTGTTTATTAAAACTCTGTAGGAACCAGGAACTGAGGAAAACAACACAAAACAAATATGGAAAGTATTTGAGGTTGTTGAACTTTTTTGTACAAGTGAAAATGGGAAAGATTGAATGGGCAATGTGGGCAAATGAGCAAGCCGTTGCCAGCAGTATTAGTAAGATATTCGATAAAAAATTGCATTTATGTTCTCTTTGTTGCAGTTATGATATAATTGGTATTTGTTTATTTTAATATTTGCAGTTGTTTTTGTCGGTGGAGTCCTGAGTTGGATTGGGAAATTTAAAAGATGGCAAATATCAATTTATGCTGTGTATCCTTTGTTTCAACCTTATTATATAAAGAGGAATTTCATCAACTCCAGCAGCCTTTTCATGACGACCTTTCATTTTTTTGATGTATTTCATACACAATGGTGTTCTAGTCTTCTTCTACCATGTACAGAAAACTTTATTGTCACATGTCCATTCAATTTAACTACCTCGGAAATATAACGCAACTTATATATGTATATAGTTTTGTATGTCAAATAAACCATCAAACTGCCCATCACTTTGATGTTTAGATTATTAGACTAAAAGAAAGTTGTAGGTATATAGTAAAAAGTCTTACATACAAAATTTATTATTTATAAACATGCATTATCCTTTACTTCATGTAAGAATTGCAAGCTTGCTCATATTTCTTATGGAATATCCCAGAGGAAGAAGAGAAACAGGAAAGACGAAACAAAGATTGCAAGTTTTATTTGCATTGAATGCTATTTTATAGCTATATTTCTTTAATTGAATAAAAAAAAGTGTTCCCATATGAACCGAATTGCTCTTTCTCTTGTAGTGCACAGAAATTTTTAACACCTGTCGTTAAAGCCTTGGGTCTGTTTGGAAGAAACTATTATTTTCGCTTTGTTTTGTATCTTGGGTAAGAATGATAGTTGACAAGTTCAAATAATTCAGGGTACGATATTCTCTCCAACTGAGGTTTCATATATTGGTCTGAAAATATTAAGTTGGTGATGTTTCAATTTTTTTTCAGTTGGTTTAGTAACAATTCTGATATAGAATTTAAACATCACCACCTATAGAATGCCATTTGGTTAAAGTATGTTTCATTTTGTAATAAAAGCTGTTTACTGTGTTTGCACAGGCTTATGCAAACCAAGGAGACCTTGGGGAGAACTCGAGAGCAGATCAGTGCAAGCCAGAGACCAAAGGTTGAGGGTTGCACCTGCTAAAGAGTTCTCGCAAACGTCTCCGAGGTTTGCATAAGCCAGTGCAAACACGAAAAACATCTTTTATTTCTTTTATAAAATAACAATAATGCAATTTTTCTTCTAAAATGTATTCATGATTGATTTGCAAATTGTCTTTGACTGATTGTTATGATTGATTTGATTGGTTGAGCTCAGATGTGTTTTGCACAGGCTAATGCAAACTCAGCTCTAGACCAATCAGCACACGCCTTTCATTGTGTTTATTTCATAGTTTGTAATCCGAACATTAGACTTTCCATTGTTTTTTAGAAAGTCCTAGGAAGATATTGAAGAGTATTCATACTTTTCAGGTTGTCGATCCCTTGTGGATTTCTTTTGTCAACAATCATTGGTGGTGCTTGTCTGTGCATTTCAAGCATAATTTATCTTAAAGCTGCCATTGCAGGGGAAGAATGGAAACCTTGTATAGTTGACTCTCAAGCAAACAAAGAAAATATTTCTACACTTCCAGAAGCACCAAATCAACCTCCACCACGTCAACACCAAGTCACCAGAAGTAATGACAACTTATATGAAAATGTTGCGGTTACTACTGGCTAGTTTCAATAACTGCGTAGTACAAAATAATTTCTTTCTTGTTCAACATGCATATAAAGTACTTTTATCAATATTAAACAAGCATCATGCTTGTTTGTTGACACAATTTTTTTATAAAAAATTTTGTTGTTATGTATTATATAATAAAGCTCAGTGCTCAGCTCTAATTCTTTGCAGAAATTTCTCTTGCTATCAGTACAAAAATTCCAAATAATTTATCTTCCCTTATTTATATAGCAGTTAATCTTTACACCTTTTAAATTGTTTTTCAGTGTTACTATAACATTTATGCATTAGGGAATTGATTTTAAACAGATTGTGCTCGCTGCTTCACATTCATCATTGAATGCCAAGCTCTCCGATCCTCAAGGGAATCATTGATAGTATTTAGCCATGTCATCTTGTCGGCCTTGGTATCAGCTGCTAGCATGTACCTGTTGAAAAAGATTCATTTAAAGACCATTACCAATACAGTGATGAGAAAATAGTTAAATAAATGCTTACTTTATCAGCATTTTGCCGTCAGCGTTCACTGCTATCAACGACTCTCGGTCGGTGGCCGTCATCGGTTTCTCCAAGATCATCTGCATCGTATGAGGTCGAGCGCATATATCCCTGGGAACAATCGTAACAGACTCGCTTACGCACAGTCCAAGATCAATGAATCCAAGCGGTGGCTGTTAAAGAAGATAGTGTCGTGATGAAACAACGCGGTAGTGCCTTACTGAGACTCGGGCAGTCTTTGTCGACCATAAATCTACTACAGTTACCTTAATGAGATCATCGTCGGGATATTTCCAATAGTTCAAAACACAACCATCAAGTACACACCAATAACGTAGCCAATCGCCTAATCCACCAACATCCTCAAATATAGTCTAGGAAAAAGAATAAAACATTGGTTTGATTTTGTGCTTTTATACATCCTCGCAAGTAATGAAGGATAATACAGTGTAAACGGGATCTCATTGAACAAGAGTGGTTGTGGTTCTGCAACACCACAACGGAATGTCAACATGCAGTTACAACAACGTCTATGATGATATAAATGACGACTATAGGAAAAGTCGGAACAGCCATAATGGTTGCATACATGAAGTATAACGCAATGTTATTCCCGTGCGGTGTCCGGGTTTAGAATAGCACCGTGGTATCCCTGCCTGTCGTAAGAGGCGACTAAAAGGAAGTGATGTCATCAAGCCTAAGCACCGTGGTATCCCTGCCTGTCGTAAGAGGCGACTAAAAGGAAGTGATGCCATCAAGCCTAAGCACCGTGGTATCCCTGCCTGTCGTAAGAGGCGACTAAAAGGGTTGGTGTTACTGAAGGATGAAATTTAAAGGATGATAAATGTGGTGTCGTGAGTATTGAAGACTAAGGATGCAGGATGAACATGTATATGCAAGCATGTAATTCTGGAGAATGAAGATGATGAACAAAGGAGAACAAAGACAGAACAGACAGGATGAAGAAGATAGTGATGACGAAAAGAACATTATGTTTATACAGTATAAAAGCGTCCATTCGGGGTATTAAATTTACCAAAAATCCTCTCGCTTGGTTTGTATATTCTGGTTTGCATTCTATACTGATATTGAGGACTCCATTCAAAATGGATTTTTCTTGAGTCTAATAAATGAAATACCACATGAGAATTACGTAAATAGATTACGTACGGATATACGTGTATGGACGTATATCCAAAAACAATTGACGGGCATTTGTCTGTTTCGGAAACATTTGTTAGTTATTAACATACCAAATGCATAGTGTGATTAGGAGAGTTGATGTTCTCTAAGTTAACTTCAGTCGTGGACGCAAGAGTAAAACCGCTGGTACGAAATACTGGCCCAGGAGAAGAACCTGGCGTCATTCCTTATAAAAAAATACAACATATTTAATGAAAACATACAAAAAAATTGTCTAATGGCATGATAGATTTTATACATAAAACTGCAACGATAAACAAATCACCTTGAAATGCGTTATCGTTTCCTTTTTTCTAAAAATAAATTAAAATGATGAGATAAACCTGTTTAAAACATGATTAACTGATAGTCCAATCTTTATATTTTACAGCAAGCTCTAACTTTACGTATAAATACCGTGTTGCCTATGATTTGCTTGATTTTCGGGGAATCCAAAACTGACTATAAAATTATAAAATGTGCAAATGTAGAAAAATGTTTGTGAAAACTTGCAATGAAAAGACGAGTGACCTTGCTGTACATGATAAACATTACCATGTAATTTGACGTAGTGATTGTGTGAAGATTGTATTCAGCTTACTAAACTTGTCCTAACACAAAGATGAAAAGGCCAAAGTTACCTTGCCCATGACACTTTTCTTCCTGTTCTTATTTTGAAGTGCCGAAGCGTGCAAGTGAGATTTCTGAAAACAAAAGCGAATTAATGAAAATATGACGACATTCATTAACGAAAATGTGATTTAAATTTATGATGTTTAAAGCAACAGTTATACAATAGAAAATAACTCACCAGAACGAAGACATGGATGGTCAAAGAGAAGGATGGTTTCACATTTTTACTAAACATTAAATAACGATCGTCACGTTCTTTTGAATCAAATGAACTTGTGTATTGAAAATCTTACATTTCAAATTTGTCATCGAAGACGATATGGCCATTCTTCAATTCGCTCGAAGAAACTGCTTTTGTGCAAAACATCTGTTTTGGAGTGTGTTTCACGATGCAAATAAAACTATGCATATATTGCTCTGAAGAAAAGAAAATGTTTATCTCATATGAATCTAAAGTTATTGATCACGCTCTCAAGTAAATGCTGAAAGGAAGGCGAAACAAGGAAGACTAGACATTAACGGGAAACCAACATTAAAATTATAGTATAAAACAAATTCCGAAGAAGCAAGACATCTTGAGATTGCAAAATATGCATCAAAACAAGACGAGAAGTGAACTGTAAATTTTCGACTTATTTTGCTTCTTCGGAATTTGTTTTATACTATATTTCTTTAAATTGTCGGCTGGTCATGGTTTTTGGCCTCAACAGTAAAATTGTTGAAAGTCTAATTTTGGTGAAAGAGGATACCGACCTGATACATTTTCACTGCGAAGAATTTTCTTATCAACTGGAATTTTGATTTCTAAAACATATTACGAGGTAAGAAATGTTAAATAAAGCTTATGATAAGAAATACGCCTGTTTTTAAAACATTACTTGATATTTTGAGGGTGGCATTGGACACTCTAGTAGTGGTAGTAACATCAACACTTTTTATCGAGATTGTATCGTCTTTATCCATACTTTTCAATTTTTGAACTTCCTCCAAACAGGCTGTACGTCGCTCAGCTAAAGGAAAGAAGCTCTTGCCAGACTTATAAATGAAGAAAAGAGTTTATTGGTACGGAAGAAAAATAAAATTCAAAAGAATGCGACGTATGAAGTGGCATAATTTGAAATGATGAATCATTAAAACATTACAAAAAGATGTATTATGGGTCAGTTTAATAAAATCAAAAGCGATTTCTTCAAACTCACTAGAAAATCGCAGCAACCTCTCAGCTTCTATTTCCTCAGAACTTCCAGTATTTTGTCCATCATATAGAGCAAGACAAGTGTTGATAGCTTGACTTGCCTGAAGCACGATGTTTTGCTGGCAAGCCGCTTCTTCAAGCAACATCTGTAAAAGAAGAATGAGAGTTGATGATTGCATTTTACTTATTGTCTGCTATAATTGACGATTTAGATTCTTAACCTGTACTTTTTCATGAGAAGAGGAATTTCCTGTTTTACCGAGAGTAGCTTTCTTTGGTGTAACAGTTGTAGCATATTGGTCGCTGTTATAGCAGGATTTCTTAACTCCTTTGAATATGGACAAGACAGGATTCGCTGTGTCTAAACTATCAGCTACTGGTTCGTTGTCACGAGATACGTTTTCCAACTAAATGATATAAAATTAAAACCACTCTCATTACTATCAGCACTCTGAATAGTTCAGATGAAATTAACCTCTCCCCCTCTGCAGTCAATTTTTCCATGGTAACAAATTCATCATCACCTGTTGTTGTTCTGCTTTTTTGATGCTTTCATCATATGTCGTTTGAAACATGACCTTCTTTTCCTCTTGAAGAGCTTCATCAAATTCAGTCATGGAAATATTGAAAGTGATTTCGTGAGGATTCATTGATGAGTCCAGGTCGAGATTTGTCTTTGATGATATGTGTGTCAACAACTCCTTCTCGCTCTTCTTCTTTGATGTGCTTCTATCGGTTGTGGAAACGTTGCTGTTGTTGTTACAGTCGCTGTTGTGTTGTTGTTGCACAGTGCCGTCAGATGTTACAATTAGTTGATCGTTAGTTAGCGCCACAGTATCTTTATTGGATTGTGTCATCTCGACGTCATCAGCATTCTTTGCCTTGTTTGCATCTGGATCACCATTGTCATGGTTGCAACGTTGTGGGGACGATGGTTGCACTGAGATAGAAGGTACATCGCAGGCTTGACTCGTTTCAGATTTTGAAAAGCACAATTTGAAGCGTCAATATTGCCGTCTTTCGATGAAGAACCAGGTTGCTTACTCTCATTTTCATTTGGAAGTTTAGTCGCTTTTTTCGGACTGTTAACTGTGTTATATAAATAATATAGAGCATTAGAAAAATCATCATAAAACAAATAATTCACTCGTTCATTTAACCACAAGAAAAGTAAGTGGAAGGGAAATTTCGCTTTGAGTTCAATGGCATATTTTAGACATAAATCATTCAATTTCTATCTGAGCAACTATAGTTGACCAATTTTTTGTGCAAGTTAAAACATCACCTGAGCCAAAATCATTTGGTGGCAGCGGTGCCTGACGTTTCAAATTGATTGCAACGCTGGATGTCTTTGATTTTATCACATCTTTGCTCTCAATATTTTGAGTCCTGGGTGGTTTAACTGGTGGAGCATTTTGATCGGAGCAGAGTTGCTTCTCGGTAGCTTCTCCAGAAATGTTGCTCTCGGAGGTTGTAGAGAGGAGAGATTTAACAACCTTGCCCGCAACTGCTGCACGAGGTGGCTTTACAGGAGTCTTGTTTTCTTTTATCACAGATTTGGAAGCTTCAACCTCTACAGCACGGGGATCATTGAAGAAACGTCCACCTGCTAAACTAGATCTAGATTCCTTTAATGAAGAGAACATTTTGTGGGAGTCGAAGGACTTCTAGAAGTGATTGAGGAAAAAATGAATGAATTAATAAATTGGACAAATAACAGTGTAAGTTTATATTAAAACCAATATAAAATATTTATGTAGGTGATTTGTTTGTACATACCTTGACTGTTGAAGAACTAGTTTTTCTTTGATTGATGTATTTGAATCTTCTAACACCTGCTTCATGTATAATGCTGTTCGGTCCTGAAGGAAGAAAATCTGTTTCAGATTTATATTCTAAGTAAAGTGTAAATTTATATTATGGTACATTACTCACTGAAATAGTTTATCTAACCTTAACTGATGGACTTTCCACTTTGCCAACTTCATCTATCAAAACTTTCTTTAGCTTTGGTTCATCAGAGCACAACCTATCTAAGCTTGCTTCTCCACTTTTCACCACCTCTCGTTTTTTTGGTGTGGGTTTCAATGTATTTTTTGCCTCTCCCAGTTCATTGAAGCATTCTTTTTGCTGTAGGCTAACTTGTTTGGCAAGCTTCTCAAAAACAACAGTTTTGGGTGCAAATGTTTCAGTAGTTTTCACAACAACTGAGGGTGACGTCACTGTTGGTTGCTCTTGTGTTGGGGCGACAACTTCACCAGGATTTTTAGGGTTCTTCTCTGCTAATGGTCGGCGAGGGGTAACCACGGGACTGCGACTTGCCACTTCCTCGCGTTTCTTTGCAAGTGCAGCTTTTCTTGCTTGCGTTCGTGCTAAAAGTTTCTGATGGGAAATATAATCAAAAATAAGCAAGCAGCAGCTCACTGGATACCAAGAACTTATATTTTTTCAAAATTTGAAGTCCTGGGAGGATAAACACGCAAGATCTCTTTGAACAAACGAGCAAGATCTCTCAGTGATTCTTTAAGCTTCGTGAGCCAAACAAACTTTCATTGTCAAAAACAGGCGTTATGCGATCAACTTAAAAACATGATACACACACACAGACTTTAACGAAAGCTTACATAAAGTGTCCGTCTACCTTACGGAAAGCGAAACACAAATATGAAGAATTACCACGAATAAAAACAACAACATTGAAAATGAGACACAAACAAAAAACATGGAAGCCAAGTTTGCTATCTGTCAAATAGCAGTGATCTCATCCCAAAACCTTAAGAGTGAGATTTCACTACACTACCTCGGTGAACGGATCCATTTATTCCAGAAAACGTAAACCAAAACACATCGATCGATTTTCGATGTTGAAGATCAAGTTCGTTGGTCGCGAAATATTCGAATTTCGAAATTTTGAATGGAAGGCGGGAGGAGTCACATGACAAAAACACCCGAATCATATTGTCAAAAATTTGCGGCAAAAAGTCGATACCAACAACCACGCTAACGTAAATTTGTTCGTTATTGCCATGATATTACTTAACTCATTCTTTTCGAGCTTTTGGCAAGGACAATCGACATTTCAAGGGATTTCAAGGAAGACAATCGATTTTTGTAGGTTGTAGAAACGTTTTACTTAGTAAACAAAACCTAGATCATCAAGTACATGGGGATATATCAATGTACCCCAGGATACACTGAAAGGTGGCTGTCTTCAGCTGTCTTGTCTGAGCTGTTTTTGAATTCCTTCCTTTATGTTCAGGTACATGAAAACGCGAAATTGTGGAGAAGTCCATACCTGAACCTTTAACTTAACTATTGATAATTATGTACACAGAATGTCCCAGAATGTCCTGTCAAGTCAATGATATTTCTGTTTCTTTTCTGATCTTTTTCCATTGTCTTTAACAATCTTTAAATTTGAATGATTTGCATGTATGTATAGACGTTACTTGGAAAAATCTCATTTACGTCTAGCTCCATCTGCCAGTAATATTGCATAGTCAGCTATCAATCAACACATGAATTGTTTGTCTCTCATTCACCCACGCTTTCTGTCTTTCATTAAATCGGCTGAAATATGTGTTTGGAAGAAGTTCTCCACACAGTTTTGAAACAAACATTAGGTTTTTATTTTTCCCATCATGTTCAGCAAGGATGTTAAATACTAATGACGTCAATAAAAATTTAACATTTTCTCAAACGAAACACATGTCGATGTTAAGTATAGGGACAGATCTTTTGAAAGATCGTTTGGAACATCTGTTATTGTTATTTATGCATAATAAAGATTGAAAAGGTGTTAAAGAGCAGCGTCGCTTTCTTTTTCTATGCTTCTCTTGAAAGCAACAGCTAAATAAAGATGGCCAAATTGCCGAAAAATCCAGAGACGCGACAGATACTTCTCCTCTGCATCGTTGAATCGGTAGGCTACTTATTCTCTTCTTCTTCTTCTTTTTATAAACTATTAGACATTTGTAAACATTCATATTGTAGCTGTTAGGTGTGCATCAAATGTGAATTCTAATATGAGAATCCAATTCTAATTGAATGTTGGGAAAACCAGACAAAAACGCTAGCAAAAAACCAAAAGTTAATGATAAAAATGTCGATATTTATTGCAAGCCAGTGTTGACGATAACCTCCGATGATTCAGAAAGGCTGCAATCTAGATCAATTTAGTTCGATTGTTCGAAAGTTAAAAAATGAAAAGCGACAGGAAAGAATCAATAGCAAATAACAAATTCAAATGGTTCATTGTAAATCGTCATAAGTACACATTACTTGGTGATCTAGATATTTATCAAAAATTCTAACAACTACATTTCCTCGATTTTTCTCACCAGCTTGCTATACTTCCTGCGTCAGTTACAGTTATTTTCTACCTAACGATCAAAAGATGGTTGGGAGGTTGTTTTGTTTTCTTTACCTTTACGCTAGCCTTCTCCTATGGCGCCGTCGTGGTGCCAGTCATATTTCTGAAAAAGCTGCACAGAGCTCATCCCAGTTATAACTGGAATGCTATGGTGAGTTGATAAATCTACTTATTATAATCAATTCGAAAGCCTCAGGACTTCCTGGAGTATCATTACCATTGATTCCTTTCCTCTTGATATCTTAACTAAAGTTTTGTGAAATGAAAGAACACTGACAATTTTTATATGTCGTGGGCAATTTTTCAAAGAAGTATTTTTATTTTTAGTTATCAATCTCAGCACTTTTTATTTCCATATTGTTGCTTGCTGCTTCCATTTTAACATCAATTCACGTGACTCGCGATTGCCACAGATATTGTGGTCCGGCATTCTTTACGATGGTAAGTGCTCTATGACGTCAAAATCCACGGTTTCGCCAGGTTGTTCTTGTGGATTTCGAGAGCATGCCCCCTAAGAAGATTTTTTTGTGGGACCTCCAAAACCTTATTCCGCACATTTGAAGGCAAGCTTTTTGATAATGTAAAACAAATAGAGAATTTCAGTGAACGTCAAAAGGGGGCTTGATGGAGTCCCCTAATGCTGCTTTCCTTCTAAAATTTTGCATAATTTAGTTGTAAATTAAGTAATCAACTAGTTCTCACCACTTCTAGTTTTCACCTGGATATTATCTTTGCAGTCCTTCAGAAGTTTGAGGAGACCAACTTTCCCCCCACTTCAACCTTGTCTGAATTTTATCGCTCCTTTTTCTCATATTTAGGTGATGACTTTTCCGTTAAGTCTAGTTTATCTTTGCGAATTCTTCATGTTTTTGGTCAAAGCCATCAAACACAAGAAAAATGAAGGAGAGGTGGCCATCATTGAAAAAATGGAGACACATGAACACGCAGATACTTCGAGTTTATGACTCCTTTAAACAGATCACAACTACTTTAGAAAAATAGATCATTTTTATCGTTGTACCGTTGGATTGTTAAGGCGTTTATCAATAACATGAAATAACCAAGCATAATTTTTGATTCTCCTGTGCAAGTTGCAACAGCATTGCTAATTTTGAATCAAATGTTGCTTCCAAAGATCATGTATTGTCCAATAACAAAGAGCTTTGGTCTTAAATTTCTTATAGTTTCCTTGATATATGAGCTTGGTAACAAACCTTGCAACACATCAAGAACAAAGATTACAAATACAGAACATTTGAAAGCAAATCAAATCGACAGAAAATCTAAAACTAAGATTAAGATTTTGATTAAGATTATGACTACTTCGTCACTTATCAGTTCGGTGCTTGTTGGTATGTTTGAATAATGTTAGGGAAATAATCTGTCTTGGATGCAAGCCCTTGTATTGTATGCGTGCATTGCTTTACGTCATTGCATTTCTAAACGAGACTTTGTCGCGATCTTATCATTTAACTATCACAAAAACATCGTTTGATTCTTATATTGAGGCAAATTCCTTAGAATAATGTCAATAAACATCATTTGAGCAGTCAGAAGATGCGAAATTCACGAATTCTTATCAATCGTGTTTATACAGTTGCCTCTTCGCATCCTTACATATTAGATATTAAACGGCAATTTCAGATCCATTAACATTTTCACACATTAAAGATTGACCTCTGTCATCTCTTCTGTCATCTTGAGGGCGGGTATACTCCAAATTTAGCCAGCTCAGCTGATTCAAAAAATGTGAAGATGAACACATCATGGTATATTCGAATTAACAACGGACCTACAAGATCGTATTACCAAACAGAGAGAGAGAGAGAGTGCATCTTTCATTAATTTATTGAATTGATTATCGAGAGATTTTTCGACATCCGAAGGCGAACAGTTCCCAGAAAAATAAACACAAATAATCGTCAGTGAAGTAATGAATAACTTGAAATAATGAAGAGGTAAGGACGATGATAACGTAAGGAATTCATCAAGCATTTTTGACGCATTCCTGAAAATCCATCGTAAACGGTTGTATTTAGCTATGTAAATGTCGACAGAACTGCGCTTTTCATTTCAGTTTATTAGCACTGTTCCCTGTTGTCGTGTCCAATGTGCTCTTGATGAATGCATAATTACTTTTTCCTTTTTAGAAAATCTGATAAAACACAAATTGGTCAAGGCTTTCAGTTCATCGTTTCCCCTCCAGGAATTTTAAAAATATTCGAATTTGTAAGTTATTTAAAGGCTTGTACAAAGGTCTGCATCATTGCGTAGAAAACATCGCTGTGATCATAACAAGATAAGTGGGGATCGTGGCGATATAAACGGGGGTTATCAAAACATAAACAAGGAACATGAAGAGATAAATAGGGATCATCACAACTGAAAACAAAGTAAATGAGGATCATCACAATATATATAGGGAGATTTTGACAAAACAAATAGGGATCATGATGAGATAAATAAGGATAATTACAAGGTAAATAGGGGTCACGCAGCTTTCTTTTACTCCCAGTGACGTCAGTAATGCAGTCATATGCCCCATTATCCATCATTTGTTCCTTACTAATACATTTCTCTATCATTTTAAAATCAAAAAAGGTGGCGCTCTTGATATCTCTGTCATGTATCGCAGCTTTTATGAGCACTTTGAACAACACTCGAGGCACGTGGAATTTTTTCATATTTTGCGTGGCGTGCACGTGGATTTTCACCATAGTCTCGTTTCTCTTTTTCACTGTTGGCGGACACAAGATTCTTCACCAAGTAAATTGGGTTTTAGCGGTATGAGAAACAGTATATACTTGTTCAAGAGACCAAATATATTGAATATATATTTAACGTTTTTGAGACAAGATTATTACATAATAACATGTAGATAAGTCTTCCATCCATATGAAAAGTGATCTAGCGTTTTTTTAAAAAAAATTAGATGAGTAAAAATTACAATGGCCAATCAACTTACCGTGCCTAATCAACCAGCTCATAATCAATGTAGTTGTGTTGTTGAGATCAGCTTTGAATGATATTATAAATAATTCTTCATTATAAATGCATTTCAGATGGCAATAATCTATGTCATTTTCACCGTAATGCTGTTGATCTCTGCTGGTATTTTGGCCGATAATACGAGATCATATAAAGCTTCGGGTCTTTGCGATTCTTGGAAGTCTGTTCATAAAGATATTGAATGCAATAATCTTGTTGTCGCCGTGGTAAGTCATGCTACAAATGTAAGAGAGAGTGGACTTGATGATCACAGTTTTATGATACATATCGAAATAGAGTGCGCGCTCTGCAGAAATATCAACATGTTAAGGTCGCTTAAATTACCATAGAATTTCTATGAAAAGTAAATTCTAAAGAGTAAATCGACCCATGAACTGTATGCACTATGCAGTAATCCGATATTTTAATTCTAAAAACATTTGAATGTCAATTAAGGTTTGTGTATTTCAAATGTGGAAAGATGAAAGTCAAAAAAATCGAATAATTTTATTATTAGGTATTTGCCTTTACTGCATTTATCCTGTATATTGTGGATTCATCATTTCACTTTTGGCTGAGTGTCGTTGCGACTGATTCTGGCAGTGAACTTGAAACGGCCGAGATGGAGCTATGAAGAATGGAAAAGAGTGGTTATCTTCTTGGTGTTAGATTGAAATGGATTAAAAGAATTGAGTTATGGAAGCACCATCTTATCTACCATTTGTATTACATCATAGCTTGTCAAGTGTATAGAGAATCAGAATGTATGCTAAATGTATCAAATGCGCATATGAAAGCCAGAAAAATGGTTTGTGAAAAAGTTAAGAGTCTTTACGACTTTGCTGGCAGTATTTAATATGAAGAATCGTGGGCGTTTTGTGTCTCGAGTTGCTATTTTTGCGACTTTCAATTTGGGTCTTTAATCTTTTAGCTGTGCAAGCTTACTTACATGATAGCCATTTTTTTAATTCCGAATGCATCATTGCATTTGCGCCTTTTCCCTGCATTTAACAAAAATAAACGTTCAATAACACGGTGCAATATATTGATAAAGCTTTGCAATATTCATTAGAACAAACAAAAACTCATTAACCTTTTCAAAAGTTCAACTAGATTAATCGATGACTTAAGATGAAAGACGAAATTCAATAACATGTTAACAACTTCATAAGGAAAAACTAAACATTCAATACAAATAGAAAGAATAGCTATGGGGCAAAAGGTTTATCCTTTTATGATTTTCACAAGATGAATAATTGATAGAGAAAATTGAAACTGTGGGGGGAAAATCTTACATAATTGATACATTGGATAAAAGAAATTGCATGCTTTCGTCCAATTTTACTGTTTAAAAGGTTTAATTTCAGTAACTGAAGCTAAAATCTGTTATTGCTTGTTGACGTTTGCACCTTTACTTTTAACGCTTGTAAAGAATGAATAAGCAACAATGTCGTTGGAATTGTTAAAAGAATCATATTTACGTCATGATTACACTGAAAGACGACATGACTGAAAACTGACGTAAGTAGGAAACAACAGGAACATGTAAAATTGATCGAAGTTCCTCCACGGAATTCATCTGAGGAAGAAGATAGAAAGTTCTAATAATTCACACAACGAGAAATCTAGTGACTTTCTTACATCATACAGCTCGGTTTGCGTTTCAGTAACAGCTTGCATTTTTCCAAAAAAGAAATTTGATAGGATAAAAGCGGAATACAAGAAAATCATGCATGAGCGCATTTATTAGAAACAATATACAACGCATGCATCTACACATGCATAAAAAAATTGACGTGTATTTAAATAATGGTATATCTAATCAAACCCAAAGAAGAAGATTAACACCAACACTAATTTTAAACTCCTTTAAACCTGTCAGAATTTTTGTAGATAGATATTTTGTATTATGGCAATTATTTATGTCGCCGCAACTAACTAAAGAGCTTTTCCAGAAAATTACAGGTGTGTCAAATAGTTAAGGTATTTGATTGTAATACGACAAGCATTAAGCAAGTCTGCAGTCAACTAACTACATGATTTCGAGTTTGACAAAATTTTAGTCTTTAACTTGATATTTTATAATCTTTAATAGTTTTCGTGTTTACTCATATGTTATAAATAAATAGTCAGATATTTATTATATCATAAATACATACATCCGGGTTCTTTCAGCATTAATCAGTATATGCTGCGTGCAAATGTGCATGCTCATGTTTTACTGGTGACGTTATTTTGTCGTAGTTTGCTTGTTTATCAAATGTATCAAGTCGTCTGTTTGACAACAAACAACGTCAACCTCCTCATTTTTTTATGTAGCAGTGGGGTGTGATATTCACCATGACGAGGATTTCCGTTTGACAGTTGACAACTTCATAGAATAGAGATTGAAGGGCAACTCGCGTCGGTAACCTTTGATGTAAGCGTTTCACAAAATTCCATGATCTTCCAAAACAGTTTGCGTTTTAGGCGATTATTATCCCAAAATCGCACTTTTCCAATATTATTTTATAGTACACCAGCGTCAAGTTACTGGCCAGAGTAATGGCGGACCTAACGCATGCGCACAGAAAATATGCCACGCGTTTCACCTGCGAGTTGCCCTTCTATATATTCTCTATTCTATGACAACTCGGTGACATATACTTATTACCATACCATATAAAAAGCTGGTTGAAACCAACCTTTATTCGTAAATAGATAAGTTACCTTTGAGACACATAAAGACAACACTCAACAACTAAAAGCAAGAGCCTCGATAAAAACAGGACTTTAACTTGTTATGAAGCAGTTTTATTAATAATGCATGATAGCCTTCGTTTTCAGTGTTATAGGGATTATGATTTTAATACAAACCATTTACTATATATATTTAAGAGATAAGGGTCAACGGTGGACATCCAATTCGTAATTAAATATAGTTTTCAAATGATCACTGCCAGTGGCGTAACTAGAACGTTAATTTTAGAGGTGCATATTCATATATTCTGTTGTGTCCTGCTGATTTCTTTTCAAAGTAATTTGAATTTCAAAAGAAAACGGTAGGGCACAACTGAATATAGGATATACACTCCCAATTAACGTTCTAGTAACGCCTCTCATCACTGGAATAACGTTTAGTACGTTTTGCACTTTCAGATCAAACAATGAGCTTCACTTTACCATCAGTCATTCTCAAAATTTGTCAAATTGTAAGTATTATATATGAATTAATATTTGTAATTTTGTATATCGCTATCGCCCACTGAAATACTGCACGTACATAACAATATAAATGATTAAGTTCTCTTAAGAAAACTTACATAAATCCTTCTTTTACATATTTCAGGTTGCACTTGTCGCTGGTTTGGGATGTGTTGGTCACTTCACAAAAGAATACGTTGATCATATTGACGATTCTAATTCAGAAGCATATAAACAAGGCGTTTTGGTCGAGAGGAATTTTTCTTTATACGACCGGCGTTGGAGTTATTATTTCAATCGTTGGATTGGTTCTCAACTTTAGTGGATTAATCAATAAAAGCACAATGCTGTAGCTGTAAGTTCATTATGTTTAAGACTACAAGAAGAGTGTTTGCTACAAAGTTTACATTTGTAAATCAGTTCTGTCAAATTTTTGCTGCATATATAAGTATAATCTAGTATTTAAGTCTGTCTGCCAGGTTTATTCTTAACCGTTTCAAAAGAGTGCCTTTTCTTACTGTTTAATGGTGAATAATGCCATTCCATTTTTACAGATGGCAGCAGTGCAAGGTGTATGGACGATACAGTTATTGGTCACCACAAGCCTAATTACCGTTTCTCTTCGTTCAACAAGGACGAAGATAGGAGGCAAGTCTGTATGTGAAGTTTGGGATGACGCCGCAGACAGGAAATATGATTACACCTGTGGTCAATTGATTGGTGGAATCGTAAGTTGAACAGTTGATTTTACATTTTGTAAAGGCAAACTTTGCAACTGTCGTTTCGTTCATATAGTGATTCTTGATGAGAAGAAGAGTTTAAATACTTCTATTATCTTTCATAGGTCTCTGGTTTTATTGCCGCCATATTGTATGGAGTGGATGCTATTTTCACTTTCAAAACTTCTACGGAACAGAGTTAACATGGAAGCAAATTTATCGCATTTAGTCCTCAACCAACAAACAAAAATTAATATTTTTGTGTCATTTAGGTTATTATAACATTTTCATGTAAAGTAACTGTTACATCATTAAGCATGCAATTGAATAAAAATAAGAATTTTCGTCCTTGCTGTTGATTAAGAGAATTGTCTTTGTAGTGCAAACTGCTCATGTCTCCGTACTTTTTGATTTCTGAGATAAAACACAACAAAATTATTACTTATTTATACAGCATCAATATAGATTTCTTCTTTTATCGAAAAAGTATTTCGACATATATGCGTTTCAATTTTTTCAAACATAAAACGTAGGCGAGGGAGGAGGAGCTTCTTATTCTAACTTTTCTACGGGCTGCACGTCAAAATTAAACCTTGCCGGTCTTATTATCAAACTTAAAATTTAAATATTTCAAACACAGCAATTCTTACTAAAACTGCTGCTGTTAAAGTGTTAAAGTACTTTCATTAATTTCTGTAGTCTATCTGCAGGTCACAGTCCTAAAATAGAACGACTCGGCACTAGCAAAACATTTTTTACAAGCAAATCTTGCAAGCTGGTATATTCAGACAGTAAATTTGTTATTCTTATTGTGGTTAACTTTTCTTCTAAGATCAGAGAAATTTTATACAGATCAGATTATCGCAGTGTTTGTTGTTGGGATCTGATTGGTTGGGATCGCTCAAATACCTTGGACAGTGTTGCCAGATTGTGAACAAAGTTCATGGATTTGTTAACTTTTTGCTCTCTTCATGAACATTTCATGAGCATTAAAAGTTTGTGAACTTTTTGTGAACTTTTCTAAATATTATGCCTTTTTGTATTTTCATCATTTTCATAAAGAATGCATAGATAAATCATAGTTCAATGAAAAGAAAATCTTCATAGCTCTACAGTTCTTTCAAAACAATGACGATTTTAAGATAATCCGATGTTTTCAGGATACTTCCGAGAGTTTCCGAAAATTTCCGAGTTAATCCGTTAACTTCCGATCTTAAAGATTAGATGTAATATGAACTTTTTGCCACTTTTGTGAACTTTTGACGCAAGCGAGCATGAATATTTTAAAATTTCATCTGGCAACACTGACCTTAGATCACGTGCAATATGTATCACACTTCATTTATAAAAACTCATGAAAAAAAGCCCGTAGCTTTAGTCAATAAAAAGAGTAGACATCCACTGTGCTCTTGATGAATGCATAATTACTTTTTCTTTTTTAGAAAATCTGATAAAACGCAAATTGGTCAAGGCTTTCAGTTCATCGTTTCCCCTCCAGGAAGTTTAAAAATATTCGAATTTGTAAGTTATTTGAAGGCTTGTATAAACGTCTGCATCATAGAGTAGAAAACATCGCTGTGATCATAACAAGATAAGCGGGGATAGTGGCGATATAAACGGGGGTTATCAAAAAATAAACAAGGAACATGAAGAGATAAATAGGGATCATCACAACGCAAAACAAAGTAAATGAGGATCATCACAATATATATAGGGAAATTTTGGCAAAACAAATAGGGATCATGATGAGATAAATAAGGATAATTACAAGGTAAATAGGGGTCACGAAGTTGTTTTTCACTCCCAGTGACGGCAGTAATTCAGTCATATGCCCCATTATCTATCATTTGTTCCTTACTAATACATTTCTCTATTATTTTAAAATCAAAAAAGGTGGCGCTCTTGATATCTCTGTCATGTATCGCAGCTTTTATGAGCACTTTGAACAACACTCGAGGCACGTGGAATTTTTCGTATTTTGCGTGGCGTGCACGTGGATTTTCACCATAGTCTCGTTTCTTTTCTTCACTGTTGGCGGACACAAGATTCTTCACCAAGTAAATTGGGTTTTAGCGGTATGAGAAACAGTATATTCTTGTCCAAGAGACCAAACGTTAAGTATATTGAATATAAACTTAACATTTTTCAGACATGTTTATTACATAATAACATGTAGATAAGTCTTCCATCCATATGAAAAGTGATCCAGCGTTTTTTTAAAAAAAAATAGATGAGTAAAAATTACAATGGCCAATCAACTTGCCGTGACTAATCAACCAGCTCATAATCAATGTAGTTGTGTTGTTGAGATCAGCTTTGAATGATATTATAAACAATTCTTCATTATAAATGCATTTCAGATGGCAATAATCTATGTCATTTTCACCGTAATGCTGTTGATCTCTGCTGGTATTTTGGCCGATAATACGAAATCATATAAAGCTTCGGGTCTTTGCGATTCTTGGAAGTCTGTTCATAAAGATATTGAATGCAATAATCTTGTTGTCGCCGTGGTAAGTCATGCTACAAATGTAAGAGAGAGTGGACTTGATGATCACAGTTTTATGATACATATCGAAATAGAGTGCGCGCTCTGCAGAAATATCAACATGTTAAGGTCGCTTAAATTACCATAGAATTTCCATGAAAAGTAAATTCTAAAGAGTAAATCGATCCATGAACTGTATGCACTATGCGGTAATCCGATATTTTGATTCTAAAAACTTTTAAATGTCAATTGCGGTTTGTGTATTTCAAATGTGGAAAGATGAAAGTCAAACAAATCGAATAATTTTGTTGTTAGGTATTTGCCTTTACTGCATTTATCCTGTATATTGTGGATTCATCATTTCACTTTTGGCTGAGTGTCGTTGCGACTGATTCTGGCAATGAACTTGAAACGGCCGAGATGGAGCTATGAAGAATGGAAAAGAGTGGTTATCTTTTTGGTGTAAGATTGAAATGGATTAAAATAATTGAGTTATGGAAGCACCATCTTATCTACCATTTGTATTACATCATAGCTTGTCAAGTGTATTTAATATGAAGAATCGTGGGCGTTTTGTGTCTCGAGTTGCTATTTTTGCGACTTTTAATTTGGATCCTATCTTTTAGCTGTGGAAGCTTGCTTACATGATAGCCATTTTTTCGATTCCGAATGCATGATTGCATTTGCGCCTTTTCCCTGCATTAAATAAAAATAAACGTTCAATAACACGGTATAATATAGTGATAAAGCTTTGCAATATTCATTAGAACAAACAAAAAATCATTAACCTTTTCAAAAGTTCAACTAGATTAATCGATGACTTAAGATAAAAGACGAAATTCAATGTTAACAACTTCATAAGGAAAAACTAAACATTCAATACAAATAAAAAGGATAGCTATGGGGAAAAGGTTTATCTTTTTATGATTTTCACAAGATGAATAATTGATAGAGAAAATTGAAACTGTGGGGAAAAAATCTTACATAATTGATACATTCGATAAGAGAAATTGCATGCTTTCGTCCCATTTTACTATTTAAAAGGTTTAATTTCAGTTATCTGAAGCTAAAATCTGTTATTGCTTGTTGACGTTTACACCTTTACTTTTAACGCTTGTAAAGAATGAATAAGCAACAATGTCGTTGGAATTGTTAAAAGAATCATATTTACGTCATGATTACACTGAAAGACAGCGTGACTGAAAACTGACGTAAGTAGGAAACAACAGGAACATGAAAAAATTGATCGAAGTTCCTCCACGGAATTCATCTGAGGAAGAAGATAGAAAGTTCTAATTATTCACACAACGAGAAATCTAGTGACTTTCTAACATCATTTAGCTCGTTTTGCGTTTCAGTAACAGCTTGCATTTTGCCAAAAAAGAAATTTGATAGGATAAAAGCGGAATACAAGAAAATCATGCATGAGCACATTTATTAGAAACAATATACAACACATGCATCTACACATGCATAAAAAAATTGACGTGTATTTAAATAATGGTATATCTAATCAAACCCAAAGAAGACGATTAACACCAACACTAATTTTAAACCCCTTTAAACCTGTCAGAACTTTTGTAGATAGGTATTTTGTATTGTGGCAATTGCTTATGTCGCTGCAACTAATTAGAGGAGCTTTTCCAGAAAATTACAGGTGTGTCAAATAGTTAAGGTATTTGATTGTAATACGACACGCATTAAGCAAGTGTGCAGTCAACTAACTATATGATTTCGAGTTTGACAAAATTTTAGTCTTTTACTTGATATTTTATGATGTTTAATAGTCTTCGTGTTTACTTTATGTTACAAATAAATAGTCAGATATTTATTATATCATAAATACATAGATCAAGTTCACTCAGCATTAATCAGTATATGCTGCGTGCAAATGTGCATGTTCATGTTTTACTGGTGACGTTATTAGGTCGTAGTTTTCTTGTTTATCAAATGTATCAAGTCGTCTGTTTGACAACAAACAACGTCAACCTCCTCACTTTTTTATGTAGCTGTGGGGTGTGATATTCACTATGACAAGGATTTCCGTTTGACAGTTGACAACTCGGTGACATATACTTATTACCATACCATATAAAAGCTGGTTGAAACCAACCTTTATTCGCAAATAGATAAGTTACCGTTGAGACACACAAAGACAACACTCAACAACTAAAAGCAAGAGCCTCGATAAAACCAGGTACTTTAAATTGCTATGAAGCGGTTTTCGAATAATGCATGGTAGCCTTCGTTTTCAGTGTTTTAGGGATTTGATTTTAATACAAAACATTTACTATATATATTTAAGAGATGAGTGTCAACGGTGGACATCCACTTCGTAATTAAATATAGTTTTCAAATGATCACTGCCAGTGGCGTAACTAGAACGTTAATTAGGGAGGGTGCATATTCATATATTCTGTTGTGTCCTACTGAATTCTTTTGAAAGTAATTTGAATTTCACTGATCACTGGAATAACGTTTAGTACGTTTTGCACTTTCAGATCAAACAATGAGCTTCACTTCACCATCAGTCATTTTCAAAATTTGTCAAATTGTAAGTATTATCTATAAATTAATTTTGTATATCACTATCGCCCACTGAAATACTACACGTACATAACAATATAAATGATGAAGTTCCCTTAAGAAAACTTACATAAATCCTTCTTTTTACATATTTCAGGTTGCACTTGTCGCTGGTTTGGGATGTGTTGGTTACTTCACAAAAGAAGTCGTTGATTATTATGACGATTTTAATTCAGAAGCATATAAACAAGGCGTTCTTGGTAGACAGGAATTTTTTCTTTATACGACCTGCGTTGGAGTTATTATTTCAATCGTTGGATTGGTTCTCAACTTTAATGGATTAATCAATAAAAGCACAATGCTGTAGCTGTAAGTTCATTATGTTTAAGACTACAGGAAGAGTGTTTGCTACAAAGTTTACATCTGTAAATCAGTTCTGTCAAATTTTTGCTGCATGTATAAGTATAATGAAGTATTTAAGTCTACCGAGGTTTATTTTCAACCCTTTCATATGGAGTACCTTTTTCTTACTGATTAATGGTGAAAATGCCATTCCATTTTTACAGATGGCAGCAGTGCAAGGTGTATGGACGATACAGTTATTGGTCAACACCTGCCTAATTACCGTTATCTTCTCTTCGTACAACAAGGATAAAGGAGGCGAGTCTGAATGTGAAGTTTGGGATGACGCAGGCAGGAAATATGATTACACCTGTGGTCAATTGATTGGTGGAATGGTAAGTTGAACAGTTGATCTTACATTTTGTGAAAGCAAACTTTGCAATTTTAGTTTCGTTCGTATGGTGATTCTTGATGAGAAGAAGAGTTTAAATACTTCTATTATCTTTCATAGGTCTCTGGTTTTATTGCCGCCATATTGTATGGAGTGGATGCTATATTCACTTTCAAAACTTCTACGGAACAGAGTTAACATGGAAGCAAATTTATCGCATTTAGTCCTCAACCAACAAACAAAAATTAATATTTTTGTGTCATTTAGGTTATTGTAACATTTTCATGTAAAGTAACTGTTACATCATTAAGCATGCATTTGAATAAAAATAAGAATTTTCGTCCTTGCTGTTGATTAAGAGAATTGTCTTTGTAGTGCGAACTGCTCATGTCTCTGCACTTTTTTGATTTCTGAGATAAAACGCAACAAAATTATTACGTATTTATACAGTATCAATATAGACATGTCTTCTTTTATCGAAAAAAGTATTTTCGATATTCGTGAATTCCAATTTCATATAGGAAATCAAATGTGAAATTTTCGTAAGGGGTGGCTTACCCAAAGATTGGAATTGTAGAAAGAATCATATTTACGTCATGATTACACTGAAAGACGACATGACTGAAAATTGATGTAAGTAGGAAACAACAGGAACATGTAAAATTGATCGAAGTTTCTCCACGGAATTCATCTGAGGAAGAAGATAGAAAGTTCTAATTATTCACACAACGAGAAATCTAGTGACTTTCTAACATCATATAGTTCGGTTTGCGTTTCAGTAACAGCTTGCATTTTTGCGAAAAAGAAATTTGATAGGATAAAAGCAGAATACAAGAAAATCATGCATGAGCGCATTTATTAGAAACAATATACAACACATGCATCTACACATGCATAAAAAATTGACGTGTATTTAAATAATGGTATATCTAATCAAACCCATAAAAGAAGATTAACACCAACACTTATTCTAAACTCCTTTAATTAAACCTGTCACAATTTTTGTAGATAGGTATTTTGTATTGTGGCAATTATTTGTGTCGTCGCAACTAATTAGAGGAGCTTTTCCAGAAAATTACAGGTGTGTCAAATAGTTAAGGAATTTGATTGTAATACGACACGCATTAAGCAAGTCTGCAGTCAATTAACTATATGATTTCGAGTTTGACAAAACTTTAGTCTTTTACTTGATATTTTATGATCTTTAATAGTCTTCGTGTTTACTTATATGTTATAAATATGTAACAACAAATAAATAGTCTGATATTTATTATATCATAAATACATACATCGAATTCACTCAGCTTTAATCAGTATGCATAATCCAATAACACCTAGCATAATCCTCATAACTCTAGGAGTTTGATGATTAGAGTATAAGATTTCGCATAAATTCAGTATTGCGTTCACCCAACTTTTATTTTGTAATCATTACTACCACAGTGGATACGCTTCATTACCATAAATTCTAAACATATGTGTCATATACTCAGAAAGATCATATTTTAATGCTTTGATTAAACGTTTTAATTATCTTGCATTTGTTTATGTTTTATTTATCTTGATTTTATCGTTATGTTTTAGTTTTGCTTGCAATAATTCAGAAAAGTGAGCCGCTTTGTATTTAATAATTTTATCATGATCTTATCGCGTTACTTAAAGCAATAATAAAGTCTGAGAGATAAAAGGCTTAAAAATCTAAGTTTGACATACACATTCGTTTTTATTATGGCATAATTAAATTAAAGAAATAGAACTCAATTTTTGAGTAACTAAAAAACAAGAGAAAAAATAAGTCTTGTTTTTGAGTAATTATATATTTACTTGGTATTTTATTGCGCTTCATTTGGTGATTAAATCTTTAAGTTAAAACTAGTCCTCTTTTCATAGCTGTTTTGATCTACTTGGAACAGAAAACCTTGCACACATTAAGAGTTGCATTCATTTACAGCTTTCTTTAAATTTAATATTTCTTGAATTGAGAAACTGATGTCGTGATATTTTGTGGCATCTAGCTACAACGCCTCATACTTAAAAGTGCACCCGTTGATTTCATTGTCTAAAGCATTGACATAAGAATTTTGTAACATTTATTAAATAACTCATTACTTATAGAAGAGAGAAGACGTAAGGGAAACCCGCATTGCACAGAAACTGAATCATATATGATTTTTAGCCTTACTTTGATTGTGTTTATGCAATTTGGAAAAGTTCTTTGAAAAAAAACATGACAAAAAATTTTTGGGAAGCAAAGAGTTGTGCTTTGGTTTAAACATAGAGATTATAAATA